ATAGTTGGTTATAAAGATGTATATTTTAATAAAAATTATATTTCTGAAGAAATCGCGTTCTTAACACAAATAGTTAGCGTCTAATTAACAATTAAGTGCGCAGTTTGAAAAGTTGAACGCAGCGTGCGACGCAGCTGAATAGGACATAACCGAAAATTAATTTTAATTAATTTCGCGTAAAACGCACGCATCGTACAAAGTATGGTGTAGATGACATCAGAAATTAATAAAGCATCAAGCACAGCGCAATCAAAGGGTTTGCGTCGATCGTCAACACAAAAGGATTTCGCTCCATCAAAACACAAATAATTTTTGCTCCAATTCAAAGCTCAGTTTGTTTAATATTTCACCAAACATCACACGTTAACATAACTAGTCAACAAATTTTTCGCAACAGCCGTGAGAATAACCCCTTAGTAACGAATTATGATTAAAATTTGCGGGTGGCGTGCGCACGTTGAGTAGACCCAGGAGATTTGGCGCCAGGCGGTATTATAATCACAAAAGCTTATGCCGCGCATTCTCTCGCGTTCCGCTACCGCCCCCGCATCTTGCCGACGTGTATAGATCATGTTATCTCCGCGCGGCGAAGACGAAGACAACTGGGTAATTAACAAATATTAAAGACGCATTTTTTACAGAGTAAGAATTTAATTGCGGGTGCGGGTTGCGCTACTAAAACCTAAAAACTTGTCGCGCTCATCAAGAGGGACGCTTTTCAACCCTTATCGCTTCGATCGTTGCCGGCGAGGATGACAATGGGGTTGAAAAGTTGTCGACGCGCGTTTTTAAAGCGCTGCAGACACAAAAAAAAGGATTAGATCAAGTAATTAAGCATTTATAAAGCGCAAATATTTCGTGAGTGTAATTAGAGGTGAGAAAGGAAACAAAATTCCACGAAAATAATAAATTCATTTTGATTGCAATAAAGTTACAAACTTTTTTTCATTAGAGAATCTTCCGTACACTCCAAAAGATAAATGTGAAAATTTATTGTACAATAGGGTGGTCCTTAAAATGCATTTTTTTGAATTTCTTTGCTCCCAGGGGCTTAAACGCTTTCAAATTAATAAAAAAAAAATTCCTGAAAATTTGAGCTCTTAATATTAACTTTAAGATAGTCCGCACTCTCAGATAAGGTTTTTATGGGGATTACTTGGCAGAAAATGGATTTTAAGTAACAAATCGCGACATATTTATTGTAAATTTAATTCTCCATGTAAAAAATACCTCATACATATTTACTGCACCTATTGACTATTCGAATACTAAGCCCTAATCTTTTTTCATATTTTTCGAGTATCACCATAATATTGCTTATATTCTGATAAAAATTGAACAATAAACTCCTATTTGCAATTATTTGCTATATATTCTAAATAGTATCAAGTCAATAGGTGCAGTAAATATGTATGAGGTATTTTTTACATGGAGAATTAAATTTACAATAAATATGTCACGGTTTGTTACTTAAAATCCATTTTCTGCCAAGTAATCTCCATAAAAACCTTATCTGAGAGTGCGGACTATCTTAAAGTTAATATTAAAAGCTCAAATTTTCAGGGAATTTTTTTTTATCGATTTGAAAGCGTTTAAGCCCCTGGGAGCAAAGAAATTAAAAAAAATGCATTTTAAGGACCACCCTATTGTACAAGTTTCGAAAGAAGAGAAATATTTTCGTTTAATGAAACGTAATTAAAGAAACTCTACTATCACTATTCACTCACTAGTATACTGCTCGTGATTTATGCGTCCACGAGGCGCAAATTAATGAATAGTGGTCGCGGCCACCGAATAATCTATAAATAGAACAAACAGGGTTGAACTACACAAGCGAACGTAAAACGACGTTAGGCAAACAACATGCTCGAAACAAATTACGATACAAATAACCTTCAGCTGGCAGAACATTATCGCGCGGCGCGACGCGACGCGAGAATAAACATCGAGGCGCGTAAATGCGGCCGGATTAAGTGATATCCGTCTGTTTAGGGCGTGTGCGGACGATAACGACATCGAGGTAATTTTGTTAACTGGTCGGCTTAAGACTTATTTTTCAAGTGCAAGGTTAAACGATACCCAACAATTTGTTAAACTTGATTTATTACATTATTTTCACAAAAATTTCTATGAAAAATATACTGCAGAGACCTAGAATTATGTCAAGTACACGTATAGATAACAAACAAATGATAACACGACATATCCACGTATTTTATGACTGCACCAAATGACTTTTGCAATTTTTTTTCAATTTCGTGTAAATTTTACACGTAGTAATTTTACACCCGCCTAATTAATATCGTTCTGAGTCATACTTATAGACACACGTTTGTTTAGCCCATCCCCAACAGCTACTCGAACTAGGAGTGCTGACATAATCGATTGTTACTTCTGCCCCTGAAGAGGGAAACACGGCGTGCTGTAGAAACAAACAGAGGCTCTCCTCATCCGTATACAAACACTATGTACGCGTAAACGTACGCACGCATACGGAGGATTCACTTACGAGCGTGTTTTGTTTGCGCAAATAGATCCATCGAAACAGATCCATCATTCATTAACTAATCACGCATTGAATTACTGGTGCGCGCTATCAGCTGCGACTGCGTAATCCCACGAGGCGAATTAACTTTATCAATGGTATTAAGTAATAAATGGCTGATATTTAGGTGATACGTAGGGGAAATTTTAAAATTAACTTAAAAATAATGAATTTTCGAACGTGAAATGATGCAAAAATAGTAAGAGTTTTCAATCAACTTGTGAGTAAAATTTGTTTTTGGTCGAATTTACAGCTCTGAAGCTGTAAAAACTTTGCTAACTTATTATTGCAGAGTTATGAGTACTATTCGCTTTTGTTTTCAAGCGTAAAACATAAATAAGTAAACCACAAAAAAATTACCTAAAATCTTTCAAAAAAATAAAATAAATTGGAATTTTCTATCGATTTAAAGACAAAATTTATGTTTTTGGAGGAATTTGCAACGCTAGAGCACTAACAACGGCCAACATAGAATTGCAGTGTCAATTTGTGTTATAAACTCTATTTGAGTCCAAGCTTAGTGTAAAACATAAACATACACTAAAATAACCATAATTATATTTATTCTAGAAGCATACCTCCGGAAATAATCTATTAAAAACTTTTTTTTTCTATTTTTTTTTTACATAAATATCAACAAAACTTGTTACAAAACTTATGCAACACGACTACACATCCGAAAACCATGTAATAAATGAGCAACCATCGAAAAATTACGTAAAACACGCGAATTGATACAAATGAATCAATTATTTAGCAATCAAATCATTGTGTACACCAAACAAACGCACACGTAAGTGCATGTAAGTCATTGTGCATTGTGCATTGTTGATTCACTCCGCACGTAAAAAAAGCAACAAAACATCGATGGCGATAATTCACCGCGATCAAAATATAACCGTTTATCGGCGACCAAACATACGAATTCGAATTCGCTGTTGATCAAACAAATTCATCGCCATCGAATGGACGAGTAAATCACACACGCTGCGTGTCCTGCAGTCTACCTGGGGTTCCAGTATCAGGCGTGTATTTCGAGCCAACAGTTTCATTTTCATGTTATACATTTTTTTTTGCTTGCGTGTTTGTAAAGCAAGCATTTGAATATTGACAATGCGGTAAACGCCGTCAATTACTTAAATGGACAATACTTATTCATTCGATTTTATTAATTAATTACTCGGAAACCAATTAACTTATTATAATTATTTTTCCGTAATTTATTAGGTATAGAATTCTACGTCTATTAAAGAAATTATTTTATTGATAATTAATTTTTATCAAAAGTTACAGATAAATTTGTGAAAATTTTCTAAAACCTTACAAAGTCGAAATTTAAATGCTTATAACTTTTTATAGGATACTTCAATGAAAAAAATCTTTTGCAGGTCGATAAATATTTTAGTTGAAAATATGTTTTTTTGATTATTTTGTTAATAATTATTTTTGATTAAAAACTACAGACAAATTTTGAACATTTTACATTATCAAACTTTAAATATTTATAACTTTTATGTAATATTCCAATTGGATAAATTCTTTTGCAAGTTGATAAATTATTTAATCGGGAATATATTCTACGCTCAATTATTGGTTGTATTTATTTTATATAAAAAGTTTCAGCCAAATTTGTAAAATAAAAATTAAAATTTTACAAAATCAAACTTTAAATGTACCTATATAACTTTTTATGTAATTATGCAATTTAAAAAATTCTTCCACAACTTGATGCATAATTTAATTGAGAATATATTCCCCACAAATCATAGTTGTATCATGCTTGGTTTCCGTGTAAATAATAAATAACTATAAATATCCATCAATTAACCACGCGGCATGCAAGGGCAACTGGAACTCTAACCTTGTAGCACATAAACGAGCAGTAAACTCGTCAATAAAACAAAATTCATTGTCTTGCTACTACATGTGCCATCAAAACAGGACTACTGTTGTTAATTAAATTATAAATTACGATGGCACTTTATTTAATTAGCTGCCGATATTGATTCGGCATGTGTAACAAGTTTTTGTCGAGCTTTGGATATTTACCGACGGCACGCCCACCGCTTGCAATTAATATACGTGTGGGTTAGGTGCTGCAGGCCTGCTGGAAACAAGTAAAAACCTCGACGTGTGCAGGCGCAAACATAACACACCTCACTCGCCGCATTTGTTTATCCAAATGCCAACGTGTGCGACAACGCACGCACAATGTAAATTTATGCATGCGGATCGATTGTCACTTGTTTCATATTGTACCCTATGGTTTCATTTATGTTTCGCGTTTGTTTTATTTCATTTTATTAGCGGGAATCCAAACAAAGTCACTTGTTCTTCTTCTTCTGCTTCTTGTTGTACACCCCCGCATCGCGTAACCAGAAACGTCGCAAACAGTTTACATGTGTTGCGATGTTTCTGCGCATTTTGCAGGTTTTAATTAAAAGTGTCAGCTTACCAATTGCAGGACGGTGTTGACGACTTCCCGGTTGGACACCTGCCCGACTTCGATGAATCCAATCAGCACGGCAAACTTAAGTTTATCATTCACAGTCATCTTAATCACTTCTTCGGGATGCTTGATGTCGCCGATCGGCGGCGGCTGCGACGCCGTCACCTCCGCCATTTCCATGGCGGCCACCCGGCGCGGTATTTACAATGTTCTCGTGCACGAAATCGTCACTGCTGGCGCGGAAACGGCGTATTTTCCACCGTCACATGACACAAGCGCTAGCGACATTCTGCCATGTTGGAAATTGACAGCACTGTTGACAGAAGCGCCGACTGTGCCGGCATCTCCTCTCCTTATCAATATTGTCCGACTAGGGACTTTCTATGCGCAACTTGGTGATTTCTAATAGAATTGGAATTGTCGCCAAGAATTCAAACAATATTAAAATAAAACAACAGAATTAATTGGTAATACAATAAATACACATTACCATCATTTAAACAACAAATACTAAGTCATTTTATATAAAATAAATGCCTAAGTTTTAGTATAATTTGTATTTGTAGTTAATTTAGTTTAAAATTAAAATACTGCATAGTGTCTATTCCAATTCACTTGGTGGTACGCTTGCAAGAATTAATGTTTATGTAACCCACAAAATTGTTTGAATGTTCGAAAATGTTTTCAATCAGTTCCAGCGATTATGATTTCTAGTAGAATATGAGTCTGCACTTACTAATTGAATTTATTTTAATATAATTTAATAATTCTACTAAAAAAATAGTCTACATTCTTAAAATTTTATAAAACAAATCGAATTTTGCGGATATTGAGCAACATAATGATGCAATCATTAAAGCTTTATGATTCAATACTTAATTCCAAGTGATAAAAACGTCTTGATATTGATTATATTGATAAATGCACACATTTATGCCTTGTTAAAGGTATTTAGAGTGGCAAAATTTCTCAAAAGTTCTTATCATGTTTATATCAACGAACCTAAATAAAAAAAAAAACTATATGATAACAAATCTAATATCAACTTGACATCAACTTTGACGGTAACAAGTACAAACGAAACATCATAATACATCATGGCTGAACCAGAAGAACTCGAACAAATGTAAGTTACAAACAAAAGATAAAAAAGACTGTCATTAAACCAGATTAAACCACAGATCAAACCCAAGCGGGAAAAGACTTGATTATATAAATTGGGATGACTTCTTCATGGGAGTCGCACTCCTAGCCGCAAAACGCAGCAAAGATCCAAAAACGCAAGTTGGTGCCTGTGTTGTAAGCCCTGACAAACAAATATTTGGCGTTGGGTACAACGCAATGCCATACACGGCAGAAGAATCGAATGATGAGAAATATGAATGGAAAGGATGGGACCAAAATAATGAAGCCGATCTTAAAAAACATTTATATGGTAAGATTTTGAAGAATAAGTTAAGAAAAAGCATTTACATTTTTAATTTTCTAGTTTGTCATGCGGAAATGCATGCAATCGTGAACAGAATTCCGATAAACGTGATCAACTGCACCATTTATGTCACCTTCTTTCCGTGCAATGAGTGCGCCAAGTTGATCATCCAATCGGGAATCAAAAAAGTCATTTATCTATCGAATAAATATCACTATCGGTCGATAACGAAATTATCCAAGTTGATGTTGAATGAGGCGAATGTGGATTTGATACAGCATATACCGCAACGTCAATCGATCGCAATCAATTTTAATTGAAATTAATTACATCATAATTCCTTTTTAAACGCTTATCACTTATTTGTAATCTTCGCTAATATTTTCCCAATATATTAATCAAATAAACTTATTTAGTATCAGTATAGAATTGCATCAAGATGAGTACTCCTAAAAAGATGAAAACTGAAACGAGCGACGCCATTTTGAACAGTGAACCGTAGGTATCAATTGTAATTAGTTAATAATTGTCTAATATTGATGATATTAAAGACCAGTCCCTGGGAAGAGGGAGGATTACATTAACTGGGATGATTTCTTCATGGGCGTTGCAGTTTTGGCCGCTCAACGCAGCAAAGATCCCGAAACGCAAGTTGGAGCATGTGTGGTAAATCCAGAGAAACAAATTGTTGGAGTAGGCTATAATACCATGCCGTATCTGGGAGATAATAAAAATAATGATGATCACGAACATTTTCCTTGGAAAAGTTTGGGGAAAATATTTACTAAGCACGAATATGGTATGCTATTTAGTTTTTGTGTGTCCTGAGAAAGTGAATTTCAATAAGTAAAGTTTTAGTTTGCTACGCAATAACGAATGCAATTGTGAACAAAAATCCGATGAATGCAAGTAATGGCACAATCTACGTGACACTATTTCCAAGCAATCAATGTGCCAAACTGCTTATTAAAACAGGAATCACTAAAGTATTTTATTTAACTAATAAATATGGCAATTTTCAGGAAATGAAGGCAGCGAAAATTATGCTGGAGGCAGCTAATATTGATGTTCAGCAATATACTTCAACGAATAGTATTTTATTAGATTTTTCACAAATGTAAAGTAATTTAAAATATGATAATAGATTTTTTTATCAAATAAACTGGTTAGGGGCTGTCCATTAATCACGTGATCTTTTTTTTTCATTTTTTGGACCCCCCCTCCCCCTTGGTGATACGTCGTGAGGTTTAAGATTACCCCCACCCCCCACCCCCATCATCACGTGTATTTTAATCCCAACAACAACACGCCGCTTTTCTCTTTAGAAATCGTGCGTTTGACGAAAAAATAAATACACGTGATATCTTACTCCACTCCCCCTCCCCCTGGTGATTTTTCGTGATTTTTAACAAACCCCTCCCCTTCATGACTCACGTGATTAATGGACAATCCCTTAGAACTGTTATTCTTTATTGATTTAACCTCACTTCTTCACAGAGTGTGAAAAACTTTAGACACACATAATTTACTAAACATCACCTTGTACATCATGGAAACTCCTGAAAACCTTAATGCTGAAAAACACACACATGAAGAATTAAATTCTGAGTATGTTTCTTTTTACAATAAAACAAAATTTGCTTTTAATTTATGTTTTTTGTTTAGAAGTACAAATTCAACAGGAAAAAGAACAGATTACATTGATTGGCATGAATACTTTATGGCACTTGCATTCCTAGCAGCAAAACGCAGCAAAGATCCTGCTACCCAGGTTGGTGCTTGCATAGTCAACTCAGAAAAACGAGTTGTAGGCGTTGGATACAATGGTATGCCATTTGGTTGTCATGATGATCAGTTTTCATGGGCAAAAAGTCAAGGTGGGAACCGTAACTCACTTAACACAAAGTATCTGTTTGGTAAGTATTTAAAACTCAAACTAAACATTGCCTATACTAAATTATTTAATACTTGCAGTCTGTCATGCTGAAATGAATGCGATTTTAAACAAAAATTCAGCAGATGTAAAGAACTGCACAATGTATGTGGCTCTATTCCCTTGTAATGAATGTGCCAAGTTGATTATACAATCAGGGATTAGGAAGTAATTTACATGTCTGATAAACATGCTCATAAAACCAGCACAAAGGCTTCAAAAATCATGTTTGATGCTGCAGGGATTAAGTACTGGCAGTACACACCAAAACATAAAAAGATAGTGATTGATTTCTCAGAGATTGATTGGAATAACATGAATCAACTTCCACAAACACCAGTTAAGGAATTTTAAATAATTTGTACTTCAAAGTAATATGTGTGAACATTGGAATTTTTAAAAGTTTTGGTTTATGTAGTTCAACGGACCAAAACTAGGCAAAATTTACACCAAATATTAAAATTTATACAATATTTTACGATTTAACTTAGACCACTTTATTAAATTTAATATTTCTATACTAAGTATCCCTAGGTTCATCTTTTGCCTCTCTTTTGGTCTTTAGTGTGGATTGTGAACATCTGTGCGCTTTATGCTGCCGTAAATCGACAAAAACCAAAATATAATTATTTTAATTGACCGTTTTCTTTCTGAGGCTACGTGAGGCTATCAACAATTAATTTTTTATGTATTTATATATATTTTGATAATATGTTTCAATTGTTTCAACTTAAAATCTAACATCGTTAAATTCCTCTTATTTGTACTGTTTAATAATTATATCTTCAAACGTAGGAATGCCCTGAAGCACCAACATTTTCTCGTTCGCCAAATGCAAAAGCGCTGCGAATGTCAATGGCGCCGACAACGCTTCGCGCATACTTTTCGTGATCACTTTTGGAAGTTGTGCGTACATTTCATTGAAATGTTTCTCTTCAGTCACCTTCATCTTATTACTATCGATATCGTTCTATAAACAAACAAAAATTAGATTAAAAACATGTTTATACAAATCAATAATAATAATAACTTACTGTACGGTACGTATCAGCCCCAGACAAGTAATCCCAAACACTACACTTCAACCTACGCATGTTCATCTTCTTCGCTGTGCGCGCATATCCAATCGTCGACTTGGGCACAACATCAGGCACCTCAATGCCTTCCATTGCCAGAAAGTCCCCATTCTCGCCCGCCTGACGATGTTCACCTACCTCACTGGTGTGTGAAACATTCATGCCAGCATCATCATCATCGTAACCATTCTCATCGCCATCATTACAATATTGGGAATCATTGGGATTTTCATAATTATATTCCTCATTATTGAGTTCGTGGCTTTTCTCACCAATATCTTCCTGATTGTTGTTAAGTGATGCACCAACAGGTAAAACATATCTTTTTCTGAATGTCTCAAAAGGTTTCAGTGTTTCGTCAACTACTTGACATGGAATACGATACGGAGAAGGCTTTAACTTCCTCGTATTCTTTTTTCGCAATTTCTTTAACATAGCACTCGGGAATTCTTCCTCGAAGGAGTAAGTTAGTTCGATGACATCTTTCTTTTTTGCACGACGTATTTTTTTCTCTTTGTGCTGGATTGAGCCCGTAAAAGTTGTTTCTAAATGATTTTTTTTATAAAATTAGTTTTATTCTGACAATTTTTGTAATTAACTTCAACTTACTTGCTTGTTTGATGCCTTTAAGCTTCCAATGTGATGGTCCTGCCCACAAATTGATCAAAACTGAACCTGAACCAGATTTTAACGTTTGATACAAATATTCCAAGCCGGATTCTTCGATATTCATCAATGGTCGCGTATCGCTGATGAATTGAACATTCGGGCGTCCAATTTCAGCGTGGACTTCCTCCTCTTCCACTGCATCGTCATCGCGAAGATAATCTGGATCTTGAAATGGGTCATGAATGGACCCATCAAGTTCCGGAATGGGAAGGCCGGTATTATCGTAGACTACTTCGTCGATTTCAGCGTCACCTTCCTGTTTATCATCATCATCGCCACTAGAAACAAATTTATAAAGAAATGATTGAATTTCTAGTAAATTCACTTTTTTCTTACTCTACGTAATCGTGAAAATTAGTAAAGCGCTGACAAATGTTGTCGCACATTAATTCCTCGGGAGTGTCGTAATGAATAAAATCCACTTCTTCATCATATGCTTTCTCATCCCAGTTCTCAAGTTCTTGTTCACTTCGACAATACGGTTTATCTGTCCTGTAATTGAATTGATAATTAGTATTTAATTAAAACGGACGTTTTTCACTTACATAAATTTATATGTCAGCGCATGATCATATCGTAGATATTGATTAAGTAATCCTTTATGTTTGATTTGAAAGTCCATTTGCGGCATCATTTTAAACGGCGCATACAACTTAGTCAAGTCGTGGTTCGTCGTGCTGGGAAATTTAGCGTCACCAATTAACATTTTCCTTGCCTTCGTTGCTTTTTTACGTTTTTTTGCCTCCTGGGGGTTTTCATCAGTTGGTGCTCCTTCTGGTTCTTCCTCTGGCTGATCACTTTGAAAGTTACGAATAATATTTGATGCCAATTGCAATGTTTGCGCATGGACACAATCCACTCTCAAACCAAACACTTTTGATCCAGCATCCAGTGAAGATGTAGCAATTTTCAGTGTGTCTTTATCAAATGTATTATCTCGGCAGATAACACTAAGAATATCAATGATATTAAAAGCCCACACATTCTTTGAATCAATTTTCTGCAATTTTTGTGTAAAATATTAATTATTCTAAATGGCTGTGTGTTTAGTTGACTTACATTATTGGCATATAATTTCATGCACATTTCCAGTTGTGGTTGGATGTTTTCCTTAGAATAATCAGTTTCATTGATTCTACTGGCCACAATAGCCAAACTTCTCCTCCTGGATCTTTCAGACTCATCATCTTCATCCTAAAGTAAAATAATAATATATTCTCTGATGAAATAACAAGTAGAATAAAACTTACTGGAAGTTCTAAGAGATGGGACCTTTTATTTGGTGTTTCTTCGATGATATCAACACTGACTCGAACACTCTTTCGTTTCCTGCCATTTGAAGGTGTAGGCAGAGGAGTAGAAGTAGCTAAGGTTTTGGCTGTCATTTTGAAGCCTTTCTAAAGACAGAAACAATAATTATTAACGAAATTATGTTTTAATGTCTAAAACAAATGTAAGAACAATTTTGTGTTGCAAAAACGGTTACTTTAGAGGTTACTAACTCTAACAAAGAATAAAATATTGAATATTCTTTTAAATTAATCAATAAAATTATAAGGAACTTACTGTTTATGGTGCGTACAAGATGAGCAATGATAATTGGTCTTCTAATCACAATTTATAACAAAGTTCATCAACAAGCATCGCGTAAAACAGTGCACAAAAAACCGTTAAAACTTATTAACTTGGTTAGCGTCTTTCGTGTTTATATTTTCAAAATTAGTCGACGCCAGCGCCACGAACGGCATTTTTACAACACACAAAATACTTCTATACGAAATCCTCATTATCTTAAATGTTTTTAATCCAAATTCAAAGAATTTGCAAGCTTTTGTAATATATATGTATGTCATAGAAGATTATCTGTCTTGTAGTTATATTTTAATTACGCTTTTCCATATAATTTCTTTCAGTTAGACATTTTTTATAGTTTTGATAAATTTTCTGAGCTCACTAGTACATATTTATCAACATGTTTCATATTAATTTCTAAATTCTAACGTTAATTATTGGATTTTTGAATTGATGATAACAAAACGCAAAATAAATAAATTATGATCTATGTACAAAATGCAACTGTTAATTTCACGCTTATTGCGACTTCGGCGAGCAACCAATCGAAGGTGGATTGCTGAGTCTGGTTGGCACTTGGTCTAAACCCTGTTCGCTCTCATCCTCTGTCTCCAAATTAAGTTCTTCTTCCACCAAATGTATCTAAAAAATTCAAATATATTATTTTATACTTAAAACAAAATTCTTCTATACCTGTCCTGTATTACTACTGGAACTTCTCTCTAAAATATTCAACAAGCCACCAACAGCTCCTTCATCGTCTTCTTCCGCCGCACAACTCTGATCAGCCTCGGCCAAGTCACCATTCTGCACCAAAATCTGCAACCTGGGCATTTCTTCCTCACCATTACCAAAAGGCATCATATACGCATCATCCTCATGGCGCATATTAAGAAAAGACGCCATTGGTGGCTCATGAAACTGTTCCTGTGCATCTTGATGTTTCGAAATCATCGGCCACATCAACGTAGCTCTCTGCATGTCACTCTGCGCGTCCGCAACAATATCGCTCATATTACCATCACTTGTAGTAGCCGATGCATCATGCTGCATTGTCAACAATTCATACTCTGCACTTGATTCTTCAGCGATGGAATATTTTTCTATCGGACGCGCTGGTTCAACTTCATTCTGTTGCTGCCTGGACGCATTAGTTAATGAACTTGTGATTAATTCTTGCACACTTTGTAAGACATTCCTTCTCAGAGGATCAGAACTAACCAATTGTAGATCTTGAAAGAGTTGTATTAAAAAATGCGGCCGCTCTTCGTTGGCAGAGATTAAAGAAGCGACTTCTTTGTATACATTCTCACGCAAATCTTCAATAAGTTTAGTTTTCTGCGCATTGCTCGCAATTGTACTTCTATTAACAGCCGCCTCGCAGGAATCCGGAATCGTATGAATCGAAAACTGTGAATCAATGCGTGATAATGGCGGTAATGAAAAACTATCTTCATTATTCACTGGTTTATCTTGTCGCCGACGTTCCGGCGAATTCCCAGTTCTCACACGCCGTTTCGGCACGGAAATACGCCGTGGTGAATTCTCCACCGATGCAGAAGCAGATACAGACACAGAAGTTTCATTATGAATACTATTTGACTTCGCTAATAGAGAACTTATGCCAACTGAAGAAGTTGATGACACTACGTCTTGATTAACCCGTCTTTCCGACGTTTGATTCGATCTTTCATTGAACAAGTTTTGTATCCCATGCGTTCCATCATTACTTTTCGTTGAGAACAAGTTTTGACGCGAATAACTGAAAATGACTCACTTTTAGCATAAAATTCTCGCATGGTACTTAAAAAAACTAACCTGAGAGTGATCTTATGACAATATTAATAAGGTAATAAGCAAAAAACACAACGCAACAAACGAGAACTCACACAAAACAAAATATTACCTAATTTTACGCTGAGTGTCGCTATATTTTATAACTTATAATATACAATTATTTCATAGTATGTACTGAATAACAAGTGTTATTCTCACCTGCGAAAGTTATCCCAGTAATTATTCGCTCGATTACCAGGTGCGACTTGATTGTTCAACGCCTGTCCATTCCAAATGGGCGCGGGGACATTCAACGGATGATCATGGTTCTGATGGTGTACTACCGGTGCGGTGGCGCTGTTAGTCGCGTTCGCCATCATGTTATTGCAGAAAGCGGCATGCTCCATGTTAGTAGCGTTACTAGCGGATGAATGCGCGCAGCCATTCAGATTCGGCATCGATCCAGAACTGAGATTCGCTTGGTGTTGCTGTTGAGTCATTTGATTCGCCTTCGGGACCATCGGATGGCGATAATTGTAGTTATTTGGGATGTTTGGTTGATATAAACATGGATTTGACTGCATACATAATGGTGTATGAGTATTATCATCGTGATAAACATTTCCAAAACGATCTTGCATCTAAAATATCAAACTTTTAAACATTTTAACTAATTAATAACAGAATACTTACAACATTAACTGTGTTTCTTAACGTAGACAGTTCCTTTTGTTGATGCCACAACATCTGACAGCATTGATTCAAAGTATTGAGTATAAAAGCTTGAGTTTGTAGAGAATTCGTCGTCAGCCAGTTATTATAAGCTGTGGTATCGTTTGGCGAGAGATTCGGCGGCATTTGCATATTAATCTGCGGTTCGGGACAATTTACAACATTCAAAGCGTTTGTTGAACTAGCAGTAGGAAGATTCGAGCGTGGCGAAAAATGTCTAGGTTCGGAATAAATTGGAGAAGGAGTGAGATTATTCCGGACGCGAACTGGCGCTGTCTGTTCCGATTCGTCATTATTCGAATCAAGCATCGAATCGCAGACGGTTTTGATCAATTCCAATTGTTTCTGTATCTAAAACAACAAAATATTACATGTCTTAAAAATTCAAAATGATTGTGGATCAATTTTCGCAACAAAATCAATTCTTTGAATTGAAATTCAAAGAATCTTTGACGGAACTTCTTAATACAAAGCAAGAAGAACCTTCAAGTCCTGCTACGATACAACTCCAACGAGATTTGGACGTTTTAAAATTTTAATCTGATTATTCACCTGACTTCTAGAAGCGTTTTCGTGATTACGTGCTGGGAAAGCAGGAGTTGCGCTGCGTACACTCCTAGCTGGACTTCTGGACGATATTTGATCATGTGGCATTTCAACGCGAGGACTTGCCGGTTCTTGTGACCGTTTGCGGATGTAATGCGCCGTCGGATACGAAAAAACAGGCATTGGTTGAACACCGGCTGTGTTTAACTCACTAGACGAGTGCATCTCCGAAAACTCCGGATCTTCCTCCTGACAATCGTCACTAGAAATATCATGTAACATAAAATTTAATTTTGCACCTTAAAAAACTATTTAAAAATACCTTTCGCTTGAATGTTGTTCTCCTCTGGTGTTAAAAATATTCGAATCCATCGGATACCAGGCATTTCCAGCATTTTCAAAGTTGCTATTAGTGTTACTATTACCACACGCTCCCATTTCGGAATTTTTCTCGCTGTGATTGTCATGATTGAGATTCGAATTCACCGCTTTGTGTTTACACATTAACTCTTCTAATTCTTTACGCTTTGCTCGCATTTCCGCTTGTAATTTCATCCGTTCTTTCTCGTTAGCATTCATAGACTTCTTATTCACTTGTTTTTCTTTCACGTGACGTTCGTTTGAACTATTCTCAACGTTCTCCACGTGCGGGATGCGATTCTGCTGCATTAAATTATCGGTTTTCGCAATCAACCGATTAACATTCTCTTCAATCTCTGAATTAATCCCGTCTTCAATTGCTTGTCCTTCAATTGAATTCTCAGTGTTTTGAACTAAATTCAACATGTCTTTCAATTTCGTCAATTGTTCCTTCATGTTAACAATCTTTTTAACATGACAACCCATTTCGTCCTCCTCGGACTCCTCATTCATCGTTTGTAGTTGAACCACAAGCTGATCAACTTGATGTTTTTTATTCTGCAACTCTTGAAGTTTTCCCTGAAGAGAATTATGTTGTGCTTGAAGTTGCGCATCACGCGAGTCCAGTATTTGAATTAATTGTGACCGATTGTCGTTACTTTCGCGCATCTGCTGAATATGATTCTGCAAGTGATCAATTTGTCCTTGGAATTGTTCCGGGAAGCAAACTTTCGTTTCGTCAACGTTAAAAGATTTAATTCGTTCCTCCAACTCGCGCAGGTCAATGTTTCTTCCGCTGGAAGCTCCGGACATTGATAAAGTATCAGAATCATTACACCATTCCGATTCGGAGTTGGTGTTTGTATTGCGGACTTGCGAAGGCGTACTCTGCGACGTTTTCGCAAGTTTGGCTTGTGCGCTTCGTGCCTCGCGTAATTTATTCTCAGCATTCAATTGCAACTGCAATAAATAATTTTCTTGTTCTTTAAGAATTTGTAAATCTCGTGTTGCTACGTCTACTTTACGCTCAAGCTCGTTCTTGTTTTGACGGACTACTTCAGGGTCTAAATGTTCCGATCCATCTGAAAACTACACGAAAAAATTAATATTTATCTTAAAAATTAAAATTTTCAACCAAAAACACTTGTAATGGCAAAAATGGTACAATTTCTAGCTGTAGTTGTTAAAAACGCTGATGAAGTCAGTTTAGTCACACCCGTATCACCTGATTCGGTTTCTTTCCATCAATCTCATCTAAAATTGTTTGTAATTTATCTGCACTGTCAGTGAGGTCTTTGATAATTGCATCTAACTGCTCATCATCCATTGGCTCCTCATCACTCATATTTGGTGATTGAATTGAAATGCTTTGAATCTTATTAATTAAATTAAACAATAATTTGGATGCAGTTTAATGCAATAACACTTGAAATATTTACCTGTTCATCAGTTTTCTTCATATTGGCTTTCATTGAAGTGGCAACTTGAAGATATTCTTGTATTTGGCTGAGTTTGCTCTCAATTTGTTTCTTGTCTGGATATTTTGCGACATTATCACACTTACTCAGCCCAGATGAGTTTCTTCTTGATATTGTGTTGCTTTCATTGGAGGTGAGTGTTCCATTGGCTTTATTTCAATAAAAATGTTGCATTTTATGCTTCAGATGGATATAAAGAAGTTATACTTACAAGAAAATATTCCATTTTGCACTCCATTCTCCTGGTTTAGGTCCATCATGTGAAAAAAGTGTAAATTTCTGTTCTGATTCCTATTCCCTCTGTTTGTGTTCACTTCTGGTGCTTCAAATTCATTCCCCTTAAAATTGATTGATATTTTTAGTTACTAGTAGGAAGCTCTAGAGCTTGATATGCAGTGCAAGTCTGAATGAGAGTTTCTATCGCATTCAAATAGCTTTTTAGTCAGTGTTCTAAATATAAAAGCTTACAAGGTTGTTGGAAACCAGGTTGCTGCGGCGTTCGCCACCGCCGCTTGCGTTGTTGTTATTACGTTGTTTCACTTTTGGAATCGTGCCGGTGCTTTTGGGCGACATATACACGCGCTTGTTTTCGTGCGGCATCCTGCTGGAGGCGTGAAACGCTGCAGGAGATGTTCAAACACACGTTGAAAAGCTGTTGATATCGTCAGTCTTAACCTCAACCTCTTCAGAATTCAACAGTACGCAGAAAGCGCAACAGTTCCAAAAGGAAAATACACGTTGATTTAGACATTAGAGGATTATTTACTGCTTGCGTATCTAAATATGGTGATGGATTATTCAGATTTTGGGAGGGTTTTCGGCTATTTTTGGATTGATACCTTTCAGGAAGTCGCAAAATAATAAAAACAAGTGAAGACTGTTTTCCATTTATGTATGCAACCAAAACTACATTTCACGCTCTTTTAAAAAATTAACTTGTAAAATTTTAACAAAACTAACTTGGTTTTCGATTAAACATTCAATTTCTTCAGCATTTTACTACGCAAATCTTTCATTACACCAGCTAAGGCAGGTAAATTAGCTAAATTAATATTTTCTTGAGGATCTATAGCATGACTATACAATTCTTTTGCATAAACATTTGTCAAATTAGCTTTAAAAGTTGTTGGATCAAAACCAATCCATTCTGTGTATCGATATGCTGAAGTTCGTATAGAATATCCCATTATTTTAATTTGTTTCAGTTTTGGTTTATCACTATCCGGTTTTACCGTGGGGAATATACCCGGACGTGGATATTGACTGATTGCAACGTATTCATCTTTCTGTTTAGAATTTTCATTCAATTGATTGACTTTTAGTTTAACCATATCGTTAAATAAACTTTTGCCTTCAGTGCAAAGCTTTTCTTTTGGTATTTTTGTCTTTACGCAAGTATCCATCGCTTTTGAGACTGCCGTAAAATCTACTAAAGTCGGGAAAGCATCTAAAAGTTCCACCGGTTGATCAAATATTAAAGATTTCTGAGTGAATTTTGGTATGTAGATCATCAATGGAACTTTCGTTGCAACATCAAAAGTGCTATACTTTGAAAATTCACCGTGTTCACCCATGGAAACACCTAAAATTTGTAAACAAATTGTTTTTTACTCTTGTTCTCATGCAACTTTTACAACTCACCATGATCTCCTAATAAAACTACAACAGTTTTATCTAAATTCACCTTTTTAAGCAAACTGCCAATCAAATCATCAATATAAGTCACTGCAGCTGAATAACTTTGAACAATCTTTCTTGTATAATCATCTGGTATCCTACCAAATGGATAATCAAGATTTAAATTCTTTATATCATCCCTTAGTCGCATATCATTCCACGGGTTGTACGCAACTGTCGGCATTGATTTCTCATGAAAACTCGGCACTGAAACATTATCAATCGGATGAAAATCCAAATATTTCCGAGGATATTTCAACGGAATGTGAGGTTTTTGAAAACCAACGCCTAAAAAGTATGGTTTGTTTTTGTAAACCTGAAGAAATTGTGAAGCAGCATCTAAAGTTTCTAAATCTGGTAATGTTCCACCTGGAGATTCTTCAACTCTCACAGGACATACAATATTCATTGCATATGTTCCAGTGTCATTTATACATACTTTCGCGTTTTTATATTGTTGAGTTTGAGGGTGGAAAGGTTGAAGAGTCCAACTATTTGGATAATCATCTGTAAAATTAGATGAAACACCAGGATGAAACACTTTTCCAACTGAATGGGTCACATAGCCATTGTCTTTAAAGTGTTGAGGTAATGTTGTGAAATCTCCAACTGTTTTCCTCCAGTAGTTGTAGAAATCATAGAGGTGAAGAGTATCTGGTCTTCTGCTGGTTAAAAATGAGTTTCTGCTGGGTGCACAGAGTGCTTGCTAAATAACAATTGCATAATCTTGCAATAAATAATTTTTTTCATCATTTTTTATGTTTAAATATCTTACCTGCGTGAAGGCATGTTTAAAAATGACACTTTTAGCTCCAAGTTTGTCTATATTTGGAGTGTATGCATTTGTGTCATTGTAAATCCCCAATGCCGGGCGTAAATCATCCACAACAATGAAAAGCACATTATATTTATTACACCTTCCTAGGTTTTTATCATCACATAATATTATAACAATCACAAGAAGTAATTTTAGTAAATTCATTGTAAATTTCATTTGTTTTACTTTGATGCAAGTGTTATTATTGTGAATAGAGGTTATCTTCATTGATAAACTCTTCGAAAATAAATGGATTACATATTTCAAAATATATTTAATTAACATACATATGAACTAATAAAGCAACACATTCGAATGCGTAAATAAGAAGATAATACTGCAATAATTGACGATTGTAATAGTAAATTAACAAAACTAGTACAAATCATGATCAAATGTTTCCAATAATATGTTTACCTGTAGTACAAATTACATTTAATGCTTCTTTCCAGTCTTCTAAAATATTAAGAATAATATCAATAAATTTATTGATTTTTTTAATTAAAAAAATTGATATCACCTTGTGCAATTGTTTCTCATTAGACAGAGCGGCAACTTTGGAGCGTTCCTGTTCCAACAATCCATGAAGACGTGAAACTTCTTGTGTTAATTCATCTTTGATCACAGTCAACTTTTCAAGTTCATTGATTATTTCAGCTTTGCCTTTCACTTACAGTAAAATGTATTTTATAAACAATATTTAGAAGAAATTAAAGATTCTTACTTTCTCCAGTTGATAATAATGTATATAAAGTCTTGTTTCTTTCCTTGACGGCAGTGATTTCCGCACGACTTTGTTCTAATTCTTTACTTAAAGCCTCGTTTTTGTTTCTCTCAATTTCAAGTTTTTCCTAAAAAAAGGTTTTAGTAAAATACTACATTCATGTTTTAATAATATACTTACTTGATATTGAGCTGAAGAAATAATCTCATCCATTACATTTTGTCTCTCACGGACTTTATCATTAAACTTTTCTCGATTGAGTGCCTCTTTGACATCTTCAACGTTTTTTTCAAAAAAGTCACCTTTACTTTCTTTCACAACACTTAACGGAATATTGTCAGGTGTATCCTCTATAATATCAATATATTTATTATAATTTTTAGTTAAATTTAAATTTATTTTCTTACTAGCAGGTTCCCCAGCTAAAAACTCATCCAAACTAACTGTTTTCTTTGAATTCTTCTTCTTTTCCGGTTTTTTGCCTTTTGTTGAGTCTGCTTTTGAGTATTGAATCCTTGTTTTCTTCATAGTGAATCTTGGACATCATCAAAGCATTCTCCAAATCCTGCTCAAAGTTGCCATTAACAAGTTTTTCATCTTTTTGTTTCCACTCCTCCCATTGTTTGGCAGTTGCTACTTTGGCAGCTTTCTGTTTTTTATTTGACTGCAAAGATTTATCAATTTAACATCCATTTTTTTTAATTTTAATACAATACCTGTTTGTTGGCGTTGTTATTGTTAGTAGTTTTCTTATCTTTTTTGTTTTTATTGTTGGCATTATCCTTTGGCACTGGTTTTGGTGCTTTAGGAACAGGTTCCTCTTCTTCAGACTTCAAGCAAGCAAATCTCGATTGGACGACGATGTTCATGTTGAATTAAATTTTAAAACAATGTATTAGGCTCTGCAAGCAACAAAGTGTAATTTTGCAGGATGTTAACCTCTCACGTTTTTGTTTACTGTTTACAGGATCGAGTATAGTAAACAAATCAACCGAACACCGATGACTAGATGTAACAAATTCAATGTCAAATCAAATTTTAAGTTGGTGAATGATCATATTCAGCACTAGTAATGTTAATTTATTCTTGATGATTTGGTCCTTTTGGTCTATCACATTTGTCAGGTGGAATTTGTTTTTTGTTTGCAGGAAACTTGTTTCAAGATAAAATATTTATTTATTAAAGTTCTACGTGATTTTTACTGGATTTTACAATTTTATATAATGAGTTTGACATGTTTCGCCCTGAGGGCTTCTTCATAAAGTTTATGAACATTAGAACTTTAATAAATGAATATTTTTAAACTATACAATGGATTACGTATTCATAAATGAAAGTAATAAAATACATCAAAATTAGAATCTTGGTTAACTTATTTTTATGAATGTGTTCAAATATTGGAAGCAACAACGAATATCTTAAATATTTTTTGTATTTTTAAAGTATTAGATATTATTGAAGCCCATTTTGCTATGGTAAATCGTTTGATTGACGAGTTAACAATACCTTTGGTATTACTAGAGCCTTTTCATGATGTTCATGAAAAGAAGCTCAAAAATATTATAAAACTACATTCCGCTTGTGATGATTTAATTCGACACTTCAACATTGTGTTTAAATGGAAAATCTTTGCGTATTTTGTGTTTAGCTCGGTTGTATTGGGATCCAGCATAAATTTGGGGATACGCGAAGGTTTAAATATTTTTGCAGAAGATATTCTTGTACCAGTCATCATATTTTTTGCGGCAGTAAGTTAAAAAGAAACCAAACGAAGAAAACATGTTAAATATTACAATAAACATTACAATATTTATTTAATAGATTCCAGTAATTATCATCACAAAATGCAATCGTGTGACTAACGAGGGCAAAAATGCGTAGGAATGTGTATGAAAGCAGTGGGAAGATTCAGGAATATTCGAAACTTGCGCAACTCACTGTTTTTCTTAGCAAAGGAAGTTACAGCATGTCCCCCGATATTTTCTGCAGTGTTTTTCAATATTGACAACTCAACATTTTTCACACTTATTAATTTGTTAGTTAGCTACATCATTGTAGTTGTACAATTTTCATTAGCAATGTAAACAGTATAAAGATAGGTATACACTTATTAATGAAGTTTAATAAATATCTAATGCTCACTTTTGTTTTATTTTTATCTGAAATGCTAAAAAAAATTGTTATCTAATCCAAATTGGGGTTTTGTCTGTTAGTTTTAAGAATACGTTGAAAATAGTGCCAAAAATAAGTTACATTCCTAGGTGTAACTAATTTTGCATATTTGGTTGCCTATATTATGAAAAATTTTGCCTTAAAATATGCAAACAATTCACTTTCATTATTATTAATAAATAATTAATTCGTTTTCTGCCTACAAAGAATTAAATAACCAATAAACAGAAAACTACCTGTTTGTTTTTGGTACTTATAATAAATCCTCTAAGTAAAAGTTTAATTTAATTGAAATGATTTTTCCAAGAAATATTTTAGTATTTGTTCATTATTATAAGTAAAAATTGAAATTATTACAAAATAAATAATATATCACGTAAATTAAATCATCTCTGAAGCGGAAATCTAATCAATCAATGCCAATCCAAAACCCTTTTCGCATCAATAAGTATCCAAAAACATTAGTTTTGTATTCGTTAACATGCCATTAATCAATTCAGTCCTAAAAATTGCCGCCATTTTTGGAGTTTTGCCGTTTTACAACTGCAAAACTCGAAAATTTTACCATTCCTTCTTTACCACTCTGATTTTGTTAGTCTACCCAAGTATAAAAATAATCCGGATGTGTTTAATTCAAATTCAAAATCAAAAATTTAGAATATGGTCCCTAATTCCCATTACAGAAGACATTGTAAGAATAATATCATTTTTCTCTTTGCGCATTTCAATAATCAACACTTTTATTCAAATTGTACGTTTTGCAAATCACATTTTGGCTGAACATTTCAATGAGAGAATAAACTTCAACAAACGACGATATTACCGGCATCTTGCATTTGCATTTATATTATCACCGTTACAATTTCCATATTTTTATGATATTTGGAGAGACAATGCGCCCTGGACTAGTTACTTTAAACACTGTGTTATAATATTGGAGTCAACTGCTCATTACTTAAATACTCTTTGCATTTTTGAAGTGTTAGATATTATTGAAGCACATTTGGCTATGGTAAATCGTTTGATTGACGAATTAACAATGCCTTTGGTATTACTAGGGCCCTTTCATGATGTTTATGAAAAGAAACTCAAAAATATTATAAAACTACATTCTGCTTGTGATGATTTAATTAGAAACTTCAACCTTGTGTACAGATGGAAAATCTTTTCATATTTTGTTTATGGCTCGCTTGTAACTGGCCTCAGCATCAACTTCTGGATACGCAGAGGGTTTAATATATCTACTGATGTTGTATTCGTAGAAATGAATATATTTTTTGCCGCAGTAAGTTAGGAGAAAACAAAATTTACGCATAAAAATGATTTATTTTATAGGTGCAAGTAATTATAATCACAAAATGCAATCGCGTGACCAACGAAGGCAAAAAATGCGTTGGAATTTGTATGAAAGCAGTGGGAAGATTCAGGAATATTCGAAACTTGCGCAACTCACTGTTTTTCTTAGCAAGCGAAGTTACTGCATGTCCACCAATATTTTCAGCAGTGTTTTTTAACGTTGACAACACAACATTTTTCACTCTTATTAATTTGGTTGTTAGCTATATGATTGTAATTGTACAATTTTCATTAGCAATGTAAAAGTAGTAAAAGAATGTTAATGAAGTTAAATAAATATCTGACTCACACTTTTTTGTATTATTTTCATCCGAAATGTCAAAAGCAGTATTTTATTAACACAAATTAAGATTTTGTCTGCTAGTTTTAAAAATACGTCAAGAAAGTGCAAAGAGTTGGTTATATTCAGAAGTTTAGCTAATCTTACTCATTTGGTTGCCTATATAACAAAAAAATTTATATTTCCAATTAATTCAATTTTATTAATATAAATGAATGATTAATTTGTTTCCTGTCCACAAACAATCAAATAACCAATGAACCGATAATTTCTTTCTTATTTTTAGCACCTATAAAAGACCCTGCAACTATGAAATACCTTTAGTACTCTTCAAAATGAAACTACTACACATTGTCTTGAAAATATCTGCGTTTTTGTACGTGCTCCCCTTTTACAATCATCGCACACATAAATTCTACATAATTCGCTACGTCCCATGTTTTACCGCAATAATTATTTTTGCTAAAGTAATCATTCATGTAATAAATACTTTCGACGGCCAGTTTCAAATACCATTGATTAGAATATGTTACATGTACCTGCGTGACATGACAATGATAATATATCTGATCTATTCTTGTAATGTGACTGCTTGCAATAACTTTTTGCGCACCGTTCGGGCAATTGACAGCAATCTCATGCGAATATTTAATATTCGAGTCAAGATTTCTTATTATGGTGCCTTAATTCGTGGCTTGTTACTGCATTTTGTTCTAATATTTTATTTAACATTAGTCTATGTAAAGCTGTATTCCAGAAGTCCATTTTTTATGCCTAAACTGGGAAATCTCTTGACTTTTTACTACAAAATTGTGTTAAATCACGCAGTTCTTTGTGGAAATGAAATTTTAAACGTTATTGAAATTTATCTGAAAAAACTAAATGATGTAATCGACGGATTAGCAGAAATTAAACCTTTGGAAACAGAAGAACATTTATTGGAAGACAAAGTTCGCAGTTTGATAAGTTTACATAATGCCTGCGATGATTTAATAAGATATTTCAATAAACAATATCAAGAATTAATGTTTACGTTTTTATTGTATTGTGTTATCGAGATTTGTCTTCAATTGCATATTTTTATTCAAGTAACACATATTTCTCCAGGAGCTAGAATATATTTATTATATCCTGGGTATATAATAATTGTAAGTAGAAATATGAATTAGACTTATTCATTAAACTTAAAATTTATGATATTTTTAGCTATTCACGGCTGTATTTCTTAAATGTGGTCGTGTAAGCAAAGAAGGACGTAAAACAACTGCAATTTGTTTTCGAATAATGTGTCGTTTTAGTAATATGCGTTTGAAAAATATGTTGGGTGGATTAGCGAAACAAGTTGCTGATTCGCGCCCGAAATTCAGCGGGAAATTCATTGTTATTAACAATGCGATGTATTTTACGATAGCAAATATGTTGGTCACGTATATGATTGTTATTGTACAGTTTACCAACAAAACTCACAATGAATTGTAATTAATTTATACAAAATACAAAATAAAAGGGTTTATAGTGCACAGAGTTATTGGTAATTAAAATTAGGTAAAGTTTACAATATTGACAATTCAACATTTTTCCATTTCATTAGTTGTTTAGTTATTTTTATGATTATAATTGTATAATTATAATTAGTAATTTAAAATTTATCTTACTACACAATAATAAAACCTACTAAATATTGGACGCACACTTTTTCGTCTTATTTTCATTCAAAATGATTAAATTTTGTGTTTTCATTAACATATATTTGGATTTAGTTCTTTACATTTAACAATACGATGAAAAAGTGAGCTTAAAATTGGTTATACTATAAATTTAACCCTAAATTTTTTCCTGTATTCCATCATTTATTTACTTTGTTTATATTCACTTTTCTGCCTACACATAACAACTAAAAAAAAATGGTTGTTTGTAAAGTAGGTTTACGATCGAGATGTTTACGTGATAACGTCTTATTGGTGATATAAGTTTTGTTTGTTGCAATTGTTGTAACACTTCACTTGCACTTCACATTTTGTTTTACTGTTAAACATTCAACGAAAACTTAACCGCACGAGAAAATCTCCATTCGTTTGTATGCCGCTAGAGTGAGAGAGACGGAAGATCGGTCAACTCACTCGAACGCTATGCCTGCCTCCGCTCGTGAGGATTCCGCGTGTCAAGTTTCACGGAATGACTGGCAGCGCTCGAGATGAGAAGGGAGATCGGTCCGTCTCTCTCTCGTTATAACGAGAGGGGGGTATACCTGCGATCGGCCTCGAGAGGCCTCGTGACACAGTTTCTGAACATGTCACCCGACTAAAACGATTTTAAAGACGTTATCACGTCAAAAACCTATTTCTACTTCCAGCTTTTTTACTCCCAGCGCCAGTTTTTTTCCATATTTTTTTTAGACACAAAAAATGATATTTTATATACGGACGGCCAAGCCAAGTGCAGGACCAGACCATACGAAACAAGTCAAAGCAGGCGCTGCTGTTGCTTGTGTCGGCTCGTCACGACCAAATTTGGAAAATTTAAAATACAAAACTTCAAATACTCGTACAAAAGACCTAAACGTGCAAATAGAGTAGAAGTGGAAAAAATAACGTAAACATCACGTGGCTAAAAGTTGTTAAACACTCGATTGATTAAACAATCATTCTCTTGTGTAAACCTCTTGTTCAGCCACTTGATATACTATTAAAACTATAAACATTTATAAGTATTAACACGGAGTGTAAAATACAATTTCACTGAAATCACAAAATATATATCTCAAAACTCTGTTGAAAACAACACAGTTAGCATGTCATAATATATGGTTAGAAAAAATATATTATATTATATCTATTAATGTTATGTACAATACATTGGACCTAATTGTGTCTCCCATTAACCCCTCTATATTCCATTGATTTTACTTAGCGCATTATAATGATATTTTTTGTGAAAGTTTATCATTAGGAATGTGTACAGAACGCAAAAAGTCAGAAACACAACAAACTAACGGCAAGCGACACATGAAAAGAACTAAAAAAAACTAAAGAACTTCTAAATAATTTGTAACTATATAACAATCACCTTAATACATTCGTTTTGGCGTAAGTTTATTCTACCTTTTTAACACTAAAATATAGTTTTTCTCTTTTGTAGCGTTATGCTCCCTGCAAAACTTGTTATAAACCATACAATCAATATAAATATTCCAGGGATATTATTCAGCATGAAACAATAAATAATTAAACAGTCTATTCAACAATTTATTCATATTAATACAACAATTATAATGTTTTTAAAAATATCATCACTCATCTACGTTTTGCCATATTACAACTCTCATACAAACAAATTCTACACAACTTTCTACGCATCTTGGATCACAGTTGGTTTTGTGCTTATCAACGTTGCTGTTAATCTAATATTAACACACGAAGAGAGTAATGCCCACCTTGGCTGGGGTAGAATTGCCCCAATATGTAGAAGATTCATGCGTGATATTTTCATGATATTCTACCTAATCTACGTATGCAATGTGTCAGTTTGTAATAATTTTCTTCAAGCTACAAAATCAATCAATCACATTCTAAAGAAAAACTTCAATAAACACATCATAATCAAAAGATACGGAGTGATATACAGAGCTTTCCTATGTTACACAACTTTAATTCTTCATTTTACTGTTGTTATTAGGGCTGTACAAATTAGCCGGCCAAGCCGGTTAAGGAAGTTAACCAGGCTAATTAGCTGGCTGACTACTCGGCTTAGCCGGTTAACCGAAATTAGCCAGGCTAATCAGCTAAAGGCTAAACCGGCCAATTGGCTAATTTTATATTTTATACAATATCTTTGTTTCCAAATGCAAGTTATAACAATTCGCCGCGTTATCCATACGTTTGTCGGACTTGGTCCGAACAGATATTGTATAAAATATAAAATTAGGCAATTGGCCGATTTAGCCTTTAGCTGATTAGCCTGGCTAATTTCGGTTAACCGGCTAAGCCGAGTAGTCAGCCAGCTAATTAGCCTGGTTAACTTCCTTAACTGGCTTGGCCGGCTAATTTGTACAGCCCTAGTTGTTATGTATTTATGGAATTCAATGCGTCGACAACCCACAACGTGGAATCAAATCAGTTTTGGCCTGAGTTTGTATTACAAAACGATTCTGACGCAAACATTTCTCTGTGGATACGAGGCGGTGAATGATATACAGATTTATTTAACGGAATTGAACAATATTATCGATAAGTTAGCGAAATTTGATCATGTGGGCATCGAAGTAAGAGAAAACGAAGAAAAACTGCAAAGTTTATTGAATTTACGGAATTCCTGCGATGATTTAGTCAGATATTTTAATCAATACTATAAAGCATTAGTTGTTCTGTTCCTGACACATGCTGGCACGCAGATATGTTTGAAACTACGAAGATTAGTCGCTGATAAATTTGTTATGCCACTTGTACAACGCGTACATTTGATTTATCAAGGCTATTTAGTTATTGTAAGTAATAATTATATTTTATTCCCTAAAAACAACAAATTTTAAATTTTGTTTGCAGCTTTTGACGATAGTGTTTCTAAAATGTCATCGCGTGAGCAAGGAAAGCCAAAAGACAACTACGATTTGCTTCAGAACAATGAATCGCTTTCCAAACAAGCGTTTGAAAAATATTTTCTATAAATTAGCGAAACAAGTAGCCGATTCACGGCCAACATTTAGCGGGGTGTTTTTTATCATCAACAATGAGACATATTTTACGATTGCAAACATGTTGGTCACTTATTTAATAGTGGTCGTGCAGTTTACACAAGATAACTGAGTAACATGTACTTTGCATAATGGGCTCAAAATTAACGGGTTTCTATTGTCGATGGTACAATTAGAACATGAAAACCATAATTTGTGATTTGTGACAGTGATTAATTTCTATAGAGTCATGTTTGAGCAAGCCGACTTGAACATTTGAGCACAAGACATTTTGTGAATGTATTAAATTATAGCAAATTAGTAGTTTTAAGTAAATTTGTGTATAATTTTAGATTTGTATGCAAAGTAGATGTTTTATTTGTAATTATAGGGTTGTTGTGAGTTGATGGTAGTTTTTGATGGTTAAAGACGACGCAATTGTGTAATTATACAAGAAATCCAGAAAGACTTCTTGAAATTATGTGTCTAAGCATTTATGTATTTGTTTGTCATGATGACATACAAGTATACTATGAATATTTTATTAATAATCACGAAAATCCCAGTGATGGGTAATTTTACTTATATATTATTAATTTCATAGTTTAATTTAAGTGTATTTTTATGAAATATTGAAATTTAATACTAATTCAAATTTTATTTTATTGTATAATATAGGAAATCAAATTTAATATAAGAAATCAAAAACATCAACTTTATGCTTAAATTTACGTTTTATAGCAAAAATCAAAGTAAAACAACACAAGTTTTAATAATAAACGCAATTGACTTAAATTTTTACCAAAATAATTGCAATAATTTAGAAAACATCTTTTATTAAACTTATAAGCATCTAATAAACCATTAAAATGTTATGCTTCTTGACGAAAACAACTGATTATAATGCTTACATTGGTGAATAATTTAAAGAAATGATTCTAAAATTATCTGTGAAAACAATATTGCATTTAAGTAAATTATTTATTTGCTTGAATACACGTGGAGTTCAAGGTAGTGTAAACAAAGCACAGAAAGTAAGAAACATAACCTATCTTCTGGCCCCAATCAATGTGTTTCTTACAAAAAAGTGGGGACTAAGACGTAATTGTATACTGCTAATGGCTAAATAGGGCTATTATTCAACAAAAACTAAAACAAATGCTTAAATATTCATGTTGGTTTTTAGTATAAAAGTGACCAATGTTTACTTAGTCTTCACTAGCAGCCAGTTCTTCACAGAGCAAACATTAAACATTTAAATAACATTAAAGAAACAAAAAGTTTGCTAATAAACATGAAAGCATTCGTTGTCCTACTAGTTTTGGCTCAAACTTTGATGGTACATATCTGCATTACATAAATAATACACTGCATAATGTTTAAATTTTAGCCATTGGTTCTTGCTGAAATTCCCAAAGAAAGATACGATGAAATACACAAAATCTGTGTTGGAAAAAGCGGTGTTTCAGAGGCAGTCATCGATCGGGCTCGTAAGGGGGACTTTGAAAACAGCGACAGCTTGAAACAATTCATGGTTTGCATTATGGAGGAAGAAAACTGCGTAAGAAATTTTATCAAAAATTTATTTGAATAAAAATTTAATTTAAATATTTTAAGATTGTGGATGGAAAGATCAGTGAGGATCAAACAGTGGCTGCTATTCCACCGGCATTTCTAGCAACATTTGAAGGACCAGTTCGTGATTGTGTCAAGGATTGTTAGTTATTAAATATTTTTCACAATAAAAACTAATTATTGCATTTTTCAGCTGCTTCTGAAGCAAATCTCATTGAAGCTGCATTCAAAATGACTTATTGCGTTTATACCAAGACTTTGGACGTAAGTTATTCAACAATAACGCAATAAATATTACTAAATATTAATAATTATATTACAGAAATTCTTTATCCCATAAACAAACTAAACATTTGACTGAAAATGTACTAAAATACCAGCATGGCAATGACATCGCAATGAATACATTACTAAATATCTATGAATTTTAATTATGCACTAAATGCACTTGCAAATTGTATGTTTTTTTGTTGAAATAAAGTAAATTATCAAATATTTTGAACATTTCTTACCCGGAAGATGGCAGTATTATCAATTTTAACCTACTTGACTTTTCAACTCAAGTTAAATCGTAGGTATAGTCGATTTTACATTTTAATTCCTAACTAGCACTATTACTCTCCAAAGAATATTAAATCTATTACGCAAAATGGATAAATTAAGCAACGTCCGATTACAACCACTACAAAAATCAATGTACATCAAGCCTTTGTCTCTCACTTACGATCAAAATGGTAAGCCACACAAATGGGACTTTCTCACTGTACATGACAGTGTGGCTATAATTCTGTACAACACAACTAGAAATAAACTCCTGATGGTGAAACAGTTTCGACCGCCAGTCTATATAGGAAGCATTCCGGAGAAAGACCGCACTGAAATCATTGACACTGAAAAGTATCCAGCTTCACTAGGTGTAACTATTGAATGCTGTGCTGGGATTGTTGATAAAAATCTTTCACTGGCTGAAATTGCCTCAGAGGAGATCTTGGAAGAGTGTGGATATAAAGTAGATGCTAACAAACTTGGTACAGCTTAATATCTGTATGTCTGTATACATGTTTTTAATTGTAATTTTGTATTTTAGAAAAAGTAGCTGCATACAAATCTGGTGTAGGAACCTCAGGTAGTATGCAAACTTTGTTTTACTGTGAGGTCACTGATGATATGAAGGTGGCAGGAGGTGGAGGAGTGGATGATGAGTTGATTGATGTGATTGAGATGAGCATTCCAGAGGTGCAAGCGTACATGAAGCAGGAAATGGTTGTGAGTCCACCCAGTTTCATGTTTGCCATGCAATGGTTCTTAGCTAAGATGAAAGTACCTGCTGTGTGATTTATTGTACAAAGATGTTATTTAGATGTAATTTATTATTATCATGTAACTTGCAATGCATTTACTGCAATAAACTTTTAGAATTTTTGTCACATGCAAAAGTTTTCAATTATTTTTGAATGAAACTTAGTTTAAGACCATAATTGTGAATTCTTTTGTTGATTGGACTTTATTTTGTGTTCTAGTAGGAAAGTAGAACATACTTTGACCTGCACATACTTATTAATGTTGATATCAGTAGATATTTTTTAAATATTAAATAGTATAAGGTATTCTGCCGCGTAAATATCTCAAGGTTACCCGCGTCACATACATCAAAACGTACGCATCTACACTACCATACGCATTGTGTTGGAATATATAGAATTCGACAGAACGTTTCTATGTAAAACATAATCAAACAAGTAGATTAACCACGCCGACCACTCTGATTCGTGCTAGACTTGTGTGAATCATTCCATCTTTACTCAACAACTCACAATCATGGCTTTTTCATCGCCGATGCCAGATCGCCAATTTCTCTGGGATGTATTTCAAAGGTAAAGAATCTAAATAAATATTTTGGACTATAGGTATTCATTAATCATGTGATCTTAATCTATTGTTATTTTAGGGTTGACCGTGATCGCAGCGGTTACATCAATGTTGAAGAACTAGGCAGTGCTTTATCAAATGGCACATGGAGCCCTTTTAATCCAGAAACTGTTCGACTCATGATTGGTATTGCACAATCAAGTGTAAAACAATGAATAATACTAATAGTTGAGTATTATTTTACAGGAATGTTTGATAGACAAAACAAAGGTCAAGTAAACTTTGAGGATTTTGGTGCTCTGTGGAAGTATGTCACTGATTGGCAGAATTGCTTCCGATCATTTGATCGCGACCAGTCTGGAAACATCGATCGTGGCGAACTTAAAACTGCTCTCACGACGTTTGGCTACAGGCTTTCTGAACCACTAATTGATACACTTATGAGAAAGTTTGATAGGCTTGGCAGGGGGACTATTTTGTTTGATGACTTTATTCAGTGCTGTATTGTTCTCTATGTAAGTAAAAAACATTTCAATGTTTTACAACAGGAATTATAAGTGTTTATATTTTCTTTTGTAGACTTTGACTGCAGCATTCAGACAACATGACACTGATGCAGATGGCGTGATTACAATTCACTATGAACAATTTTTGGGCATGGTTTTCAGTTTAAAGGTTTAAATATGGTACTAATTGCTCCATGTGCTTTTGATAATTCTCTCAATTGGCATTATTATCAATTGTATGCTAATTTCAACGACTGTTCAATGAGTGTGGCAAACTAATAAGATAATCATTGTAATTTTACGTATACTACGCTATTGCAGTACTTTCCACGTTCTCTTGTTATCTTTAAATATGTATTAATGTTACAAACTACTATATCATATGTATTTTGTAAATGTAGCTCTAAACTTGAAGAAAATATATTTACAAACACTTTTCTTTAAAAATACGAAGGGAATGATTTTATTTACTTTTTTGAATGTGTAATCCAAGTTTAATTTTTAGAAGAAAAAAAATGAGGGGAATGATGATGAAATTTTAAGGATTTATTCTTTAATCCAGTGTCATAATGTTGACATTACATAAATTCCATTAAAAAAAGGATTAACTTTGTAAGATTACAATCCACACAATGATAATACTCATCCTTTATAAGTCTATGGGTAAAAGTATAAAAACACAAAAAACTGAATATTGACGTGTATAATGCTCGATTTACTTGCTAATTCGTTGATACGCGATAAGCAGGTAAACCTAGATGTTTTTAGTTTGCACTAGTGCGAATAATACCAGTTTTTACCCTGTTGCGGCCGCAATCACTGTAATTCATAAAAACGTACGTCTTAATTCGGTGAGAATCTACCTGACTAATTTAACCTACTTCTTTGTGCACTTAAAACTAAATTTTGTTTGTGCCTCGCTCCCGACTACCAAGCGAATCGATGAGCAGCACAAAGCGAACATTGAGTGATTGGTGTTGACTGTGTTGATTACACGTTGTGTACTCATCTGCCGTCCTTGCGTTGTTCTTACGCATTGTTTCTCATATCCAATCGACTTCCAGCAACCGCGATGCACCAATGCCCGATGATTAATTCGATTTGATGATCAACCTGGCATTACCTCATGTGCAAAATCTACCTCTAACATATCTGGCATTGTCGCCCCGCCATCCAGATGGAATTTTCTGGTATCGATAATATGAGATTGCGGACGTTTTTATTTTGGTTCCTTGGCTTCTCAGTCTTTATCATCATTTACAAACTCAATGCCATTGAATCAGGTATGTAAAACAAAAATAAACTTTATAGTTTACTAGTAGTAAACAATAATTGATTACAGATGTAGAAAAATTACGCTTTCTGAAAGAAACTCTCTCACTGAACAAACAGCAATTACAACTCACAGAACACCAACTACAACTGATTGAGCATTTGTACCAAAACAAAGTTGGTCAAGGTTTGCCCATCATCTATGCAATAACTCCTACATACTGGAGACATGTACAAAAAGCAGAGCTGACTCGAGTATCTCAAACACTAGCACTAGTCCCAAACATTCACTGGATTGTTATTGAAGACTCGGAGGAGAGAACTGAATTAGTAACTAATTTGTTAAATGATTCTAAAGTGGTGTACACACATTTAAATGCGAAGACACCCCCATTTGAAAAGTTACAAAAAAAAGAAGAACGATGGACGAAACATCGAGGAATCGAGCAGAGAAACGCAGGTTTGCAATGGTTGCGCGATAATTTGGAATTAGGCAGGGACAAAGGCATCGTATACTTCATGGACGATGACAATACATACAGCGTTAAACTCTTCCACGAAATATCAAAAGTTAAACGTGTGGGGGTCTGGCCCGTGGGGCTGGTAGGAGGTTTAAACGCAGAAGCGCCGATTGTTTCCGGCGGTGTTGTAACCGGATGGAAAACTGGCTGGAGATCAAATCGGGAATTCGCCACGGACATGGCCGGCTTTGCGATCAATTTGAATCTCATTCTGGAGAAAACAAACGCGGGATTTTCATACAAAATGGAACACGGATTGCTAGAGAGTGAATTCTTGTCTTATTTTACGACAAAAGCCGAGTTGGAGGCGTTGGCTGACGGATGCACAAAGGTTTATGTATGGCATACCAGGACGGAAACACCAACCGTGAAAGGAACGATACCGTACTTGGAGGTGTAGACAGGAGTCGTTTAATTTACATTTATTGTGTCATTTAAGTAGCCGATAGTTTAAAACGCTTGAAACATTTGTACATTGGAACCTCTTGCAGCATACAGCGCAGTGATTTTACAATTTTATTATTGTATAAATGTGATAAATTGATTTGCATGTATTTGCACGCAGTAATAAAGATCGCCATACGTAATTTATTGATGCGAGCGCAATAAATTCATTGGAAATCACAGTAAACAGAATTTCGAATGTAGTTTGAGCAGCTGCAGTGCTCAATTGAGTAATATTTTCAAGAGATTCTGGAAATAACTGCCAAAACCAAAACAACTTATTTTGCTTATAAAATAACAAAGTAGCAATAATTTGAAGAACTTTTCAAGCAATTCTGTATGATTTCCTCATGAAATTGGCAGTAAAAAGTCAAATTTTACTTGAATACTCAAAATTACTCTAAATTCTTCATCTATTTCTCGCTTTTCATAAAAAATATACAAAGTAAATGCAAATTCATATTTTCCTTACAGCTATATCGACAGATTTAAAACATTTCAATAAATAATCGCGCCTTTCATTCCCTGTTCAGCCCCATGCCTGTGTTTTACAATAATGCAAGACTAGTGTACCATTTGTACTGTAGCAATCATATAATGTCTGCACAAGTTGATCAGGAGAGGGTGCAAACGTTTGATTTACATATAGGAATACTCGCTCGTTTTCGTCCAGTTTGAGATATCTGGTGATGAATTCAATAATCCAGCCTATTGTCTTCTTGGGTTCCACAGCCCACTTCTTCTGCTTCATTATGGGTGCATTGCCAGTTGGTTGCAGGAGAATATCAACTGAAAATTAATTAAAATTATATTCACATTTATTTTTCCACTTCTGTTTTAATACAACCAATTTTAATGACTTGCAACATTGTGAATTATTAAATATTCAATTAAATCTTTGAATATTTAAATGTGAAATTTAATATAAAATTTAATTTTCTTAAATTTATTATTAGTCCTAGTTGTATTTGTTAATTATTAATTAAGAACTAAAGAATAACAATTGAAGTGCACTACTAACTCTTTTGTTTGTCTTTTTTCTCCGGTTCTTTGGGAGTTTCTGTCGAGGTATTCGGGGGCGACTCATTAGTACTCTCCGGATTACTCATTACTGTCACAATCGCAATTTATGTCTAGAAATTATAGCAATAAACGATTCTCTAACAAGTGTGAGAACTTGCGATATTCTGGTTGTAAATGTTTAGGGGTTAGATGCATGACAGCAGTAATAGACTACCAACAACACAAATTCTAAATTAATCGAATTTATCTTATTCTTTTAAACTTTATTATTGATTTAATGATAATTAAACCTTAAATTAATTTATAAATTTGTTGAAATAATAAAACCACTCATAATTGCTTAAATTAAATTGATTTATTTATGTTATATAGACTTCCCAAACAGCATGTGACGTCTCTGGCAATGTGCGCAATCAACGTTGATCAGCGCATGGCTTATGAACAAAACGTCAGTGTCAGTTCGCCATCTGATTGGCATCGCACAAGTTATGCTTCAACACATTCAATAACACTAAACAGAAAATTCAGTGCATTCTCACTAAAAACATGTTAATATCTCAATCCTGCGAATGAAAGCATTGAATCGCCGAGCATGTCACGCCTAAATTAATTAGTGTCGCCGTGTTACACTCATTTCCTCAACATGTCAAACGAATCCGCGGACGCCGCGGAGCGACCATCCGCACAAGAACAGCCACAGGCGAAGGACAATTCTTCTGCAACTGCAACGGAAGTCAATATCGAAGCGTTCAAAGAACTATGCGCGAACAACGCGGCATACTTTGTAAACGATGTCACCGAAAACGGTCAGCGATTGCACATCTCTTTCATGTCTATGCAAGAAGAGATTGATCGAATTTGGCCGCTGATGGTGCAGTTGAATTCCGAAGTGCACAAGTATGATTTCGATGAGAATGTGCCAGGAAATGGGTACAGGAGTTTTCTGGGTATTATTACCTCAGCACTGACTTATGGCATGCATGTCAACAAGAAAGTTTGTCTGAAGAGGGAGAGTGTGCTATTTCGCAAGACAACCATCACAAAGTATGTAATTTTCTGATTATTTTAATGAAAGCTAGACATATACACTGTAAATTATAAATAATCTTGGTGAAAATTGCATGTTTTTGTAAAAATATTGCATTTTCAAGTTGTTATTCAAATATGAATATAGAATTAGTTGTTAAATACATATGAAAGCCATGTTGTGACGCAAGTTAAAACAAGTTATTTAATGTTTAAAGTGGTTTGGGAAGTTTTATTACCTTTTTTCATGTGTCTAGTTGTTTTTATATAATTTGCAAATAATTTCATGGTTATTTGCAAAATTTAACCACGTGGTGCGTTGTTATGGTAACGGTAAACAAACAGGATGACTAGTGATTTTACAAATTATAGAATTTATATTCATCCATAAAAAGAAAAATAATTTTTGAAATGTCAAGGATTTATTACACATAAAACATGTTTGTAAGCATCAAGTTTTTTTTTGCTCATAATAATGAGCTAATATTAATGAAGGCCCATCAATTCACTTAATGACACATATTTTTACTAGATTGCGATAGCGCTGCGCGTATAATCCGGCCGATAGCGAGCGGCTGCCCAGCATTATCAGTAAATAATCATAGTTCAAAGTCATGAAAACGTACGCAAAAGTTCACAATTACGACAGATGAGCCTTTGTGGAGCTTGTTATGACTAATATTGATAGACAACCGGATTTGATGATGTTGATATAGATGCTTATTATTGTTACAGGGAAGTCGAGGCGTGCGCGCAATTGTTCGCCAGCCTGCAGTCATGTCTGCAGCACTTGCAAACGATTATGAAATGGAGTCAGCCGGGCTGCTTGTTTGCTACCGAACATGCGGCGCCGTTCGAATTGATTGCGCAAACAGAGGATATCAATCAATATTGCTTTTATGGCCGACCGCTTGGGTTTCAGGTAATTTTGTTGAATTGCGAACTAAAAACACCGATAATTTAGTAAAATTTTATCAAAAATTAATGAATATTTAATTTTTAACATACAGGGTGTTTCAAAATGTTTATAGTATTTAATTTTATAGTTTTTGGAAGCAATGCGTGGCCCATTAAGATTCATCACGCTCTCCATGGTAATATTTTCCGAGGCGTTCTATAACGACGGCTCGATATTCTCGAAAGCACGCAATTCGTTCCTCACGACCACGAAATACGTTTCCGACCCAGAGCATCGCGCCAAACGCGTCGTGAACATTTCCAAAAACACCGACGTCACATTCTGCAAAGCCTTCTGGTTCCTTGCCGAAAGTGAACTCATGCAATACCTACCTTCGGTAGTGGCACAAAGTGTTGCTGTATGCAAAGTAATCAACATCCCCACTGAACAGTTGACGATCACATCCGGCGATAGAGAGATCAACGTGCCGATACCAAACGCACATGTCGGAAGCAAACCCGTTCATGTGCGGTTAATCAGTCACGTGGCGCGTGAAGGTATGGTTGGCGAAGGGCGAAGTTCAAAACTGGCCCCACCTAGCCGAGGTTTGCTGATTCACTGTCATGGCGGCGGTTTTGTTGCGCAAAGTTCAAAGTCGCATGAGACTTATCTGCGCCAATGGGCAAAGGAGTTAAATGTGCCCATTTTGAGTATTGATTATAGTTTGGCACCAGGTGCACCATATCCACGAGGATTGGAAGATGTTTTATACGCGTATTGCTGGGCGTTGAAGAACTGTCATGTTCTTGGCAGCACTGGAGAAAGGATTGTTGTTGCTGGAGATTCAGCAGGTGCTAATTTATTAACGGCGATGACTCTGAAGTGCATTGATCTTGGTATACCTAAACCACACGGTTTATTCTTAGCATATGTCCCGATGTTCTTGAATTTTATTCCCTCGCCGGCGAGGTTATTATCCAAAATGGATCCGTTACTACCGTTCGGGTTTCTTGCGAGATGTATCAAGGCTTACATAGGTTCCGGCGAGTCGTCAACACACATGAACGGCAGAGCTGTTTCTCCGGACACCGAAAGTTTCGAAGAGATCAGCGAATCTGATCTGGTTGAGTTACAAGCACATAAATCTCCGACTTCTGAAATGTCTGACACGTTGACATACGCATCGTTGACATCCCAAGTTGATGATCAACGTGATGTTAGCAAGGATAACAGTTCTGAACCGGAAACAAGTCAGCGATTTGATTTGTTGGATAAATTTGTGTTGGATTCTGACACGGATACAGACGGCACTAAGATAGCTGTTGTTACAAGCAAGGATAAAGTACAAACCGTGGAGCCTGAATCTCTTTTCAATACGACCGTGCAGGGACGCGTGTCGAACTTTGTTAGCAAGTGGAAGGGTAAAATGACGAATCTCGTGAGACCGAATTCATCGGCGGCGTCCATTTTGGACATCGAGCGAGAGCATAGTCTACTGGACGAACTCAGCTTTCCCATTCCCAATGATCCGTACCTTAGTCCTATTTTGGCCAGTGATGATGTGTTGAAACAGTTTCCAAACACGCATATTTTGGTAGGTTATGTTTTCTGCACTATTTTATCATTAAATATTAATCTGGAAATTATTACAGACCGTTCATTTGGATCCTTGTTTGGATGATTGTGTGAGTTTTGCGCGAAAGTTGAAGAATCTTGGATCTCCGATACAGTTAACCATTTTGGATGGTTTACCGCATGGATTTTTAAACTTTTCATTGGTAAGATCTCTAAATTTTTAAAATGACGTGTGTACTATGTGTATTTTATGTGTTTAGGTATGTAAGGAAGCATATGAAGCATCCAAATTATGCGCAATGAAGATTACAGATCTTCTGGACCTGGATGCGCTACCGCCTCTGAATATTCCTTCCCCGAATTGCCCTTCCACATAAATCGTCCGTATTCATATTTTAGGAATTGGTAGTATATATTTATTGATGCTACTCATCAACCAAATCTCAATACCAAAGTATTGTACTGCAACACAAGTGAAATACCTGCATATAATAATTACGTTCCGCCTTTGGACTCATTTTTGGCCTTGCGTAAACGGACAATAATAATTGCACACCGATATAAGCTTGCTGGAAATTTGCCCGTCTAAAATTTTTCAATGTGTTAGTGCCTAGAATGCTAGAAGTATCTTATTCTACTACATCTAAATATCATGTACATCACTGAGGAAATGTATACAATAGTCATATTCACGGGTAACGATGGCGATATTTACGCATGACATCAATATTTATACTTATGCTAGTGCTAGTCCTATAGGATGTCTGTCTTTATATATATATATATGTATCAAGTGTTACTTATAACTTATATCCCTCTAGAATGTAAGCAAATTTACATAACTATATATTCCTCATTACGATTTAAGTTTTAAGTGATGGACATTTGTCACAACTGGTTGAAGAATGATTGTAAATTGCGCGGAAATCCTTTAATAAGAAAGGAAGCGCACGCAGATGAGAAGAAGATGAGACAATGAGGAAATTACAGATTTAACGAGTGCATTCAGCAGCGGAGGGCAAAAGTTATTATTTTATGAATGTCGCAATTAGGAATGCGATTTATTGACGAAGAAGTTGGCACGCTGTAATCCATCATGACATGATTATGATTATGGGAACATACAATTGAATACGAGTACGTCCAAGAGATCAATAATAATGAATTTCAATGATTGAATATCATTTAAGAGAGAATCTCGTTTGTTTTTTTATAAATTTATTACTAAAAGTTTCATATTTGTTTTGGTTTAGAGTGAAATATTTTTCTATTGTAGGAATATATTGACTGAATGAATAATATGTACATTGAGTGTTTGATACGCATAAGGCTGGTATTAATTTTAATTTGTACATATATACAATCATTAAAATATAATAATTAGAAATTTTGGGTATTTTAGCTTCTATATGATCATAAATTTGGATAGTTACTTCCTGAAACCAAGAGCCGAGGATGAAAAAAAGAGAAACCAAGGGAATTGCTGGATGATTCAAAGCACAACTGAGCACCGTAGTCGTTGCGCAGCCTTTTATATCTACGGGTGACCCACAAAAAGTGGTGGGGGAGGAGCGTTGCAAGACATAACCTCTATCTTTTTTTACCCTTTGAATTTAAAATTCTTATCGTTTATCTCTTTTAGTTCTCAAGATAAAAAAAAGAATTTAAAACAGGAATTAAACGTGTTACACCCAACACATTACAATAAAACAAAAATCATTTGAACCATCTATTATTTAACTTAATATACGCAATGCTTACAATAGTCACAAGTAGATCGGTTACACTCGATGGTAACACTCAAGAATTTGAAGATATTGACAATGAAGTACACGTTATTTCAACTTAATCTAGCTTATATCATACACGTGTGTTAGTATTGTAATATCTTAAGTAATATCTTAGTATCTTAAACGTTAGCTAGAATATTTCGTATAAGTTGTAATATTTCATGTATCGCAACGCAACATTTTAGTATTGTATGACGCGCACGACGAACATGGCGGACAAGGCGGAAGTGCAGAGTCACTGCGGGTCACCAGTGTCCGCCGGACTGCGGCACAGAATCGTCGTCGTCGAAATAATCGTAATCAGGACGAAGATGCACAGCAGCATGCGATCGAGAATAATCGAAGTCTGCTTCCATTCCATCTCGATCAACTCACGGCGCTCCTGTTCCGTCAAGCGCGTTTCGTTGCGGTCAATACTCGCGTGGACTTTGTTAAGGATTCGTATAATTTGATTTTCGAATGCATCTGCGGACAGAAACCCAAACATTATTATAAATTTTATACAGTAGTTTGGTAGATTGGCATTGATTGTAGTTTACGCTCGGTGGCATTTTTTGATGTGTGTACATGTGTCGCCAAGAACTAATATGTCGATGTCGATATGAAAAGAATATTGGAAACGTGCGCGATTGCGATTGATGTTTAGAGCTGTGCAGTGCGACTGTGAACTGTTGAACTATCTCGGCACAAAGCGCTGGACAGACAATCGCCATGGATGCGCATTGATTCACAACCAGCTTCACATTCACCACACATAGATACATCCTGTGCTGACAGACGAGCTAGACGCAAAAGTTATACTCAAAGTGAAGTGAATGAACATTAAAAAGAAGAATACGCGTGGAACGCATCGAATCTATTTTAGACTTTTGCAGGCGGCCATTTTGTTTTGTATTCTTTGAATTTACAACGTCACTGTGTAAATTACATGGATTTACAAAACACAATAAGTTTTGAAATCGAGAGTGAATGAAATTGAAAAAAAGGAAAGAAAGGATTCTTTTTTTTCTATGTGAAGAATGAAAATTGTGCCAATCTTGGAAGCACTGAGTAGAATTGAACTCATTCAATCGAATGAAATATTTTTTATTCGATAATTTTTTATATTCGTTAAATTCACGCTTGATTTAATCGGTTATTTGCAATGAGCAAAAAGTATTTTTGTCTTACCGAGGTTTTCCGCGCGATTCCGAGGGACAAATCTGGGGGAACGTTGTTGATGTCGATGTTGAAGATAGTATCCGTCTTCGGTGGGTACTTTATCGGTCCACGGCCATGGACTATCAAGTCTTGTGCCCGTCTGTGGATTGATTTCCTACAGAAAAACAAACAAAAAATATTCAGAAAACTTTCAAAATTAATATTATCGTCAGCTGGTGATATTTTTGCCAGAAAACTTTTTCTAATCACATTTTGCTGGTATAAATTGCTGCAAATTTTTATTATTAAAGGTGAATGATTTTCAGGGGAGCGTAATTGCATGAACACGAAGAGCATTGCAATTTAATACATTTTGGCAATCGACCCACAACAAAGGCCGCCATAGAAACCTCGAAACAAACGCTGTGTCGATACGGTTACGGTTACAGGCACACGGGCGTAAAACACTATCAAACCGTGGCAATTTGGGGAGCCACAGGAGCCGCACTCTCGCGGCACAACGCGATGAGTATAGGATTGAGATCGAACATCTGAACATGATCATTTCAGGGTTGAGGGAGAGCGCACAAAAGGGGAACTCGTAAATTCGGCGAATTGCTGGAATGTTACAAGACAAGAGTTAAAACTTGATTCAATTCACACTTCTACTATTTAAGTAGTGCTGTAATTTAATTAGGGTTGACTTATTTTACAGTTGAATTACTCTTTGGGTAAAAATCGTAGAAAGTTGATTAAAATAGTATTTGAAAGATAATTTAATAGTGTATTACACAGAATTTTTAATCAGGAATTTGTTTAGCTGATAAGTTAAAGTTGAAACAATGCATTTTTGATTGAAATACTTTGCATTATTAATTTAAGTAAAGTAAAAGTTAAACTTAATTCAAGAAAATAAGATACGAATGCGCATTTATATTTATACTAGCTTTTACCCGCGGCTATGCTCGCATTGAACAATGAAGTAGCATCACAAAAAATACACCTAATAATATTGTTAATTGGATTGAATGTTGACGTGTCTGTCGGTAATACAATGTCATGGTATTAAGATACTCAGGGCTATACGCTAGTAAAGTATCTACCTTAGCGCCGCCTCGTGGCTTATTTCTTAAATAGTGAGATCTGAAACCTTGAGTACCATATGTTATATATATACTAGTTAACCGGGCAAACGTTGTTTTGCCATATAAATTATTTCTAGTTTCTAGATAAATTTTAGTGTAGGCAAAGAGTAACTTACTTATTATAAGTGTGTCAGTATGAAAAATTTAATTAACGGAACTAATTGTGCCAAATACACTTAAAATGAATAATTTTATTATTATGAATAAAATAGTAATCTATAATATAAAAATGAATCTCAAAAGTGTTGTTAACCATTGTAAACGTTACTTACTACACTTGATACGTATACCACAATGATGGCCGAAAACTGTGTAGGGTGTGACAGAAGTCTTATTGTGTGAGTGAAATAGAAGACCGGCTTCAGTCTCATTCCTTCGAGCGGGATGAAAAGTGAATAAATTACTAAAATGGCTATAAAAAATAGGGTATTTAGTTCTTCTTCACTAAACATGATTATTCAATTTTAATAGCAAACAAATAATTTCAATTATTGTCACAATTTTATAAGTAAAGCTCTGATTGCAGGAGTGATGGAAAACCGTGGCAGCCTGGAAAAAATTCCAGAATTTGCAGTGCACATTTTGTTGGGGGTGAAAAATCTAACAATCCACTCAATGAATCTTATCACCCAACTATATTTCCTCTAATATACGTAAAAAAAAAGAAATTCTAATGCAGGTTTACGAGCTGAGAGATTGCGAAAACGACGGGAAAGAATTTGATCTGCAATAATTAATACAGCTCCAGCAGATGCTGCAGTTGATGAAATAGTTGTTTCTGAGAAACATGATATTGGCATACAAACAAAAATATTTTTTTGTCGACATTTTTTTTTAATGTTTAATTATTGATAATATATTCAATAATAAAGTGTAAACATTAGCTTGACAGGTGTAGCTTACCCACCATTTAAAAAATAAGCCACGAGGCGGCGCTAAGGTAGATACTTTACTAGCGTATACACTAGTTTGCGAAACACATGACGCAAAACGTGACGTACGCGGTAAAATTGCGAGCAATTTACGAACTAAGAAATTGCGAAAACGACTGGAAACAATTTCATCTTCAATAGTCAATGCAGCTCAAATTGTAGTTAACAATAGTAAGTAAATATAGAGTTATTCTTTTCATTGAAATATAATTTACTTATTTATTATATTAAACCTTATTATAAATTTTGTAGAGGATGAAGTTCTAATGGACCACAATGGAGATGCTGCAATTGATGAAACAGTTGTTGCTGAGAAACATAATATTGGCATACAAATTGATTCCGATTTTGAATAAAATAATGATTGTAATGACATTAATATTATGTTCTGTTGGAGCAATTATAATGAAACAACAACACAAACAAATATTTTTGTTCATCCTGGACAGAATAACAAAGAATGTGGCATTGTTGTAAATTTAGTATTTTTTGCTAAACTTTTTTTTCCTAAAAATGTCTAACTGAACAAAATCAAAATCAAATGCTGTAAAACTGCTAGAAATTAATTAAGAATACTGATATTTGACTCTTAAATATACAAAATCTTTCTCTTTGGAATGGCTGACACTCTGACAGTATTCTGATACTCATTCTTCGAGTTTTCCGGGATTTAAAGCGGGATTTATGCACAGTAGAATAATCTTCATTACCAAAGCAGCACTTGCTTCACTCTCTTCCTTAATTTGAAAGCTCAACGTTAATTATTAAATATCTACCGAGATTTAATGTCTTAAATGATGAATTACAACCATTTTCGGGAGTAAAACATCGTATTTACATTGACTAATATGTCGTATCAGAAGAGTTGTTTAGATAAAATATTACTACGTAATAAAAAATATTTATAACTGTGTGTAACCCGCGGGCATCCCCGAAAAAACGTGAATAAAACATGTATAGTGCATGAAAATATCTGCCGTCTTCTGCGGATGGCAGGGCGCGCGCGTTTCCGAAGCAAATTAAATCGTTACGTTGTCTCATCTCAATGGAATTTTCAATTTTCTCCGCGGCGAGGTTCGCGATGTTCTCCCGACGTTAGCAGCAATCTGTGATGTCGAGCGCAGCGTCGCTCATAATTCAATACGCGCGTTGCCCGTTCAGCTGATATTTCCCATCGGTTTGGTTTTCCGGACGCCGGAGACTCACGAGAGTGAAACAAGTGGGTGCTCACGCTGTTTTCTATCTTGTTTTCGTGTTTTTATTTTGTTATTTTCATAATTTGTCAATGGCGGCGGGATGAGATTTTTATTAACCTCAAACTTGATGAAGTTGACTTATGAGCGTTTTCACGAGAGTGATGTGGATGAATGAGGTTAATTTCAAGCTGTGGCGTTAAAATATTTCGATTTTATGCTATTTTATTCAAGAAGTGCGCCAAGAGAATAAAATAAACATAAATTAATCTGCATTTTAGTCAGACGCATTTTTTAAAAACTCTAGGCAACCAAACATACACAAAAACACAATAAAAGTGAAAAAAACTTTCAAACATAACCATTTATTCGTCGATGAAAGAAACTTTTTTACGCCACACCGGGGTTGTTTTTAATAGAGTTAGAGCACGAGTTTTAAAACGTTAAAACATTTGTGTTTTACAAAAGATTTCCGCGCTGGTAAAGGTGTTAATGTTGTTACGGCCGCTGCGGCGGTTAATTAAGAAGTAAATGGAAATGGCAGGGGCGTAATTGTTTGAGCGAATGAATAAACATGTAAACGAGGTTCGATAAACGCCCAACTCTCCACTTGAAGTTGTTTGAAAGTAATTTTAAAATTTTGCGCGACAAGTATTTCTTTTCATTTTCCACCGTCAAAAGCAATAAATTTAAATACACTGCATTGTCAAAATATAAAGTGCCTTAAAATTTGTTAGCATTTGTTGGAATACACGCCGTTGTTCTCCTGGCGTAAACGTAAAATATACGAAAAAGTTAAAATAAAAGAGCGAAAGTATTTCATGAACGTACGCATTTCGTATGGTTTATGCAAATATTGAACGTGATACGGGTGATACTCGCATGTAATATGAATATCTGCATGAGTTATGCAATATCATTACATGCTTATTGTTTATAATATAGCAGCGCATGAATAAAACCTGTGGAGTTTTGTATTTCATGTTTAAGAAATGAGTTCTAAAAATACCGTATACTATAGACAACCATACATATAGAATAATTTTGAGTTGTTTTAATATAGGCAACCAAATATATACAAAATTCATGTACTTACCTTATTGACTGTCCGATTTGGGAGATTCTGTGTGAGTTGAGTCATTTCGAAACGCATAAAGATCAGTCTGGACATCCGCTCCAGGACGACAGTGCGTACGATATTGGGGACGGCAGCGCCGCGCACTCCCCGATGGTAAATGTTGAGCGTGACTACCGAGAGGCCGGAGGCAAACGTGACCAGACATATGCTCGTGCCGTAATAGAGGCCTGCAAAACAAATTTATTCACTATTAATCTCAACCAATCCAAAATTCGACCCGATGTCGTTTGATTTCTTCGCTGCGACGCATAATTTATTTCCACTTTGAAAATTAAACTCAAACAAAAAGCTGTCGATAATATTTAACACACAAAACGGGGGAGAGATATGAGTTTACTTTGTAAATATATGATTTTTTTTACGTGAGGGGTTGCTTTGAAAAGTGGCTGAACGAAATGGGATATTCGGCTGAAAAGCTAAATATTGCACTATGGGTTGCGGGAATCAGAAAATCCGTCAAATGGATACATTTCTGGGTACATTATGCGCCGGAAATGGTTTTTGGTATTATCTTAATGGATTTTTTCACTACCAACACGAGTAATATAATTATTTCTTTCTAATTTTTAGTTTTTAAATAGTAACAAAGCATTTATTGCATCACAATGTGTGTATGTGGTTGCATAGCGTCGTGTGGAGTGTAATATGGAAAAACACAAAAGTAGAAAATATAGAAACGTAATATTTCAATTATAATTAAACAAAAACATCAAAAATAATGAGGATACATAATGAAAACACAGGGAAAACGTTGTAAAGTAAAGCTACAGGTAGTAAACGTATAGATAACATTCCGTGCTTTACGCATCAAAGCGATGAAACAGAAGTATAGCTTGCAAAGCGCCAGCAATAAAACCTGAAGAGCAATTTCGTAAAATTGCAACTCGGATTGATGCTCCACGCCGGTAACCATCAAACGAATTAATCCGTTTAAAGTATTTAAAAAATTAAACAAATTTTGTGTTATTTGTAACCAAATCTCGATACATGGCGGTATGTGGCTATGCTTTGAAGCATGTGCTGACTATCCTTGAGATTATTAAGCCTGTGTGCTTGTACGGCCGAAGGATGTCGGTATGATAAAACGCTGACGCTTCTTTATACTCGGTAACATCTTAAAGGCTTTTTAATACGTTCTTATTGTGCATGTGAAGTACGAGCGCTTTTGTGCACATTTTTCCTTTCCACGCACACAAGGCTAATATATCATCAGCGCATGAATAGGATCTGACTAATAAGACTTCATTTTGAGCTGCCTGCGTTAGTATAATCAGATAAATCTTAAAGAAAATACTACTAAACACATATTATATATTTTATTTGGGAAATAGTATAATTTTTAAACTCTAGGCAACCAAGTATACACAAAAATGTAATAAATGTAAAATTGCGTTAAAACATTTGTATTTACAAATGATTTCCGCATTGAAATAATATGATGATAGTATAATAAGTTGCCTACTTTGAGGCGTAGGTAGTAGTATTGAATAGCTGTCGATTTACAAAGCCGACTTTTTGTTTTTTTGGCTCTTCATCAGCGCTGCACGTGCACGATCAGTCGATTTTGGTTTGGCGCTGCGCCGCCAGCAGAATTTTACTTAATACGTGCGGCCGCCACCGCTAACGCCGCCGCCGCCGCACTTTTCCAATTCCACAGTTCCGCAGTTCGCTTAATTCGTTTGCTTAATACGTACGGTGGTGACTTATTTCGGCTGCGCACGATGTTTTCACCGCTAATGAAATTAGGAGCTTAGGCGGCGCGAGGCGGCAAGTAACGCCTCGGGCTCACCTGATATAAATTCATGCCGCCCCAGTGTCGATCGTAGGTAGATTTTTTTTCTCGAGTACAAATTTGGACTATATCCACACATTTTTAGGCAAAATTTAATGAAATACTAATGTTTTGAAAGAAATCAAACTATTTTATAGTACCTATTTTATTACTTTTATAGTAATTACTCAAAAACTAGTTGACTTTTAAAACTTATCTTTTTGCAGTTTCATTCAGAATTAAATTTACTTTAAAACTATACTTATCTTGAAATTTCATCTTTAAAAATATCAAAGTTATAGTAAGAAGAACAATAATTAATTTCCCTATAAATTTATCAACATCAACCCTTAATAAATCTCATCCAGACCCACTTATCCCATCAATTCGTGCTCATTCCTATTAGAATAATAAAATAACACGCGTAAGGTCACAGATGCGTTCTCAACACGCTCGAAAAGTTGAGATCTCCAAAATAGTTTTGGTTCTGATCTAGGTATGTAAATGTACTGCTACTTGGGTTTGGGTCGACCGGCGGTGTTTGCAGTTGATAGTTGCCTAATACATTTATACTCGGGTCTTATCACACGGTCGGATGATTAAACGTATCAGTCGCATGTATGCGTTCCAGCTGACTGGAAGGACACAACGCTGGGATAATGAGTGTCGGATTATTCCAGCATTGTGTTTACCGAAATTGACACGATTACTTTCCTCCATCCCCAAAATATTGACTCAGTGCACTTTGTTTGACTAAAATGTCAAACATTTTAATAACTTAATATATTAATTAAAACTTTACGTAATTTATAATACAGAAAATATTTTTTTCAGAGTCTTCCGAAGTGCGAAATATGTCTACTTTAATTTTCCATAAATAATTACTCCGTGAAAAAGTTGAGTTTCATCTGATAATGTGATTCGCTCGCGTCCGGCGGGAAAGTTTGATCTCTGCAACCCGTAAGTCACAAAGAAACACTCGGCGCGCAGTGAAACTAAAAGAAAACGCGAAAAAAACTCAACACACAGATGTACTTACTGATTAAAGGAGTTTTTTCCGTCGGTGGCAAAGTTTCGCGTATCGTCATCAGGAACACTGTCATTGAGAGCAGTGCACTTATGCCGAGTGTCACTTTTTCACCGGACTCCGACGGCACGTAGAAGACCAGTAGTGCTGTAAGACAACAAACACAAGTTTGAGGTTAGTTTTGTACTTATACACACTGCATCTATTCTACTATAGACTTTGTGTAAACTTACCAATACAATTAATCAAGATACATGGTAGAATCAAATTGAAAACGTAAAACATCGGACGTCTTCGGAGTTTAATACTGTACGTGATGTCCGGATAAGGTTCCGGACAACAGGAATACACATGTATGTGTTTCACCGCGTAGAAATTGAGCAAGTCGAATTCGCCATTCGGTTGATAATTCGACATGTCACCCTCTTCGGTTTGCTTCTGTAATTCTACCTGCAAATATCACAAAATTGAAATATATGGCATTGTATTGTATTGTTGGTTGCCTATAACGGAAATTTGAATGGCGATGATTTTTCATTCAGATATCGCGTAAAAATAATCGTTTTGCTTTAAATTTCGATTTCGTACGATTTCGATTTAGATAATCGTGCGTGCGCTCACGCAGAATCGCGCGAAATGCAATAAACGTGTTGCAACCTGCTTGTGCCACCGCTAATCCCCTAAACAGAAGCAAGGAATGAATTAAGGAAGGGAAGGCGCATTGTGCGCCGGAATGTTTGTTCGCGAGCACGTCATTCCGTACGAATCGTATACTCGCGCACAAATAGTATAATTAATCCGTTCGCATCGCAGTTTACAACGTTTACAACGCGTGCAATGTGACAGCGCAAACTGGGACAGGGGAAAAGACGAACACATACATAATATACACACTGAAACATTAAAAAACAATGCGGTATGACGTGTAAACGAAAGGATTTTCGTCTAAATGTTTTGGTTTTGGTTTAATCCACTGTGAGATGGATAATATGGAGTTTTTGTTATGTTGGTTGCATACATTGCGTGTATATAACCTACAACAGGCTGAAATTACTGAAAATTGTAATTTAATTTGCAAAAATAGGAACTTTCAATGTAAAACTACATAAAACTCTATTTTACGACTTTTTTTTACAATTTTGTTTTTAACTCAATTATTTACTAACCAATTTATAACAAATTTTGAACACACATAGTCTTATACTTATTCTATACATGTGTAAAATTTCATTTTGATCAGAGTTTTCTGGGTTTTTAAGGACTTAATTTTAAAAACACAAAAAAATTTGTTTTGTAATGTTGGTTGCATACATTGCGATCATATAACATACAACATGCTAAAATGGCTGAAAATTGCAGTTTAATTTTAGAATTAATGTCTAACAGTTTAATATTAAATGAGGATTGTGAGCCACAAGAAATCGGAAGTAAACTCCCAAGACCGACGCTTGGCATTTTGTGCAAAACCGGAGGAGATGTTCTTATGCTGATTACGATAACTTGCACAAGTTGATAACATCCAGTTATTAGTTAATGCGATTTCCACAAACTGATTGTTACCGCATTGCAGTCTTTTTTCATAAGTACTACTTGATATTTATATATATAGGCAACCCAAATTACAATAACCTATTATTTAACCTCACAAAAATGGCGTGCCTTTGAATACACGCAGCGTGCGCCCGCGAATTATGGATTATTAAAGAGCTTTCAAGTGTGGGGCTTCAGCGGCTGACTCGACAAGTTTACGCGTACAAACTGCCAACCGGCAACCGCCAACCGCCCTTGATTCCACTTTCCACACAGTTATAACACAGTCGGCTCAACGACAACGATAACATAGAAGTTGTGTTTAACTTTGTGAAGAGAAATGTCAAATAATATCGATATGTTGAGGTAACAATGAAGTTAATTACCACACCACCAGATTTACATTGCGAAGAACTTTATGACCGGAAGCTGAAAAATATATTTATTTCTGCAACAATGTGCTTCATTATCCAGGTTTATGTTTAAAATAAATTTTACGATTTTGTTCACACGCCAACGCAGCAATAAATAAATATTTATGGAGTGTCTTCCACGTGGCTTTACGGAAAAATTCCGGGTATATGGCGGACATTTTTCATATTTGAACACCATACAAGCTTTTATACGCTACGGTTACAAATTTCAACAAGTTTATTCAGGATTGTATCAAAAAGGTAAACGAGTTTAATATATGCAACCAAGAGAGCAGCTACTTGTGTATTGGGTTGCGTGAATTGTTTGCATATTGTTAGTCTCAGAGCAGGTAATTAATTAACCGTTATAGTTGCCCGTTAATTTGATTGTCTTGACGCGCGGAACTAATTAACTCTTTGATGGTTAATTAATTATTTCGTTTGTTTATCCATGCAATCAATCAATAGTAAAATACTACAATTTATTCATGATTTAAATATGTTTTGTGTACGTATATTTTGCACAAATCCAACACTGACATATTCTTGTCATGCGCGGGTTTTCGACTGGAGGAACAAAGCGTCTAAACATCTAAACGCCCGAACGTCGGCGAATAAAAGCGGACCATTTATCTTATCAAATCGCAAAACCATTTCACTCGTCGGCGTAACGTAAACACGCCGCGAAATGCGGAAAAAAGACGTGAATATACGAAAATGAAAGACACATTCATCCGCACTGGTGGTTAATCATGCTTTATCCAAACATCCACTGGATATAATCTATTAATTTTGATGTGATCAACTCGAAGTGCACGCCGATAAAAACACCATGTCATGTTATGACGTATTATTAGTGTTTTTTACTATAGGCAACACAAAACACATTCCGAGTATATAACTTGTACAATTGGTTGCATACCATTTTTATATTGTATAAATATCTTTTCCAAGTTAGTTCGGAATAATTTCGGACGCATTCCGGTGATTATTCGGTCGGCAAATTTGAATAGTAAACTTATTGTTATCTCAAGCTATTCTAACCGCATATCAAGGTCACGACTAATGTGATTGTTGAGTAGGAATGAATAATTATCGCATCATGACTGACAAATTAGAATTTAACCGTTTGTTTGACCTTTGTTGGGCAAATAAGGTCAGAATTTCGAAAAAAATGCACTAAATTAACACTCTATTTGAATTAAATCGACAGAGTGCATTGTATGCACTGCGAGGACAAAGCCCACTTAAAGTGTAAAAGCTCTGCGCAGCAATTTAAATGATTAATGGGTGTTTAAAGTGCGAATCGGCGAAACGAAACGAAGCGCCACGCGAATCGAACAATTCGCCAACGGATGAAGTTGCTAAAGTTGCATACATTCACAGCGCACCATGAGAGTTCATGAATGAGGTTAGGTATGAATTTTAATTGTTGGCAATTATTGCTATTGCGTGCAAATGAACAAGTGTAATTTATTGTCACTTTAGAAGTATTTAAAAGCGTTTTTTTTTGTTAAAAAAGACTGTGGACAAATGGTATAGTGGGTAGTTGTGTGTATAGGTATGTGTGTGGGGGAACAGGGATAACAGTTCCGGACACGTTTGGGTCCGATTTCGTCCGCAGTAACATGTCTTGTTTAGAATGTTCGATGTAAAGTGTTCTGGGGGCCGCCATTGGGCCGTTTCTTGTTTCGCCGCCGGTCGCAAGCGGCCGAAGTATGTGCACTGTGCACAATCGCGAAAGGATAATGGAATTACAATTCACGCCGTATTGAGTAAAAACTTTACTGGAACTTTGTATGTAAAACTATGTAAAACTCATTTTTACAAACTTTTTTTACAATTTTGTTTATAACTCAATTATTTACTAAGCGATTTAAATCAATTTTGCACACTTATAGTTAGTTACTTGATATATCAATGTATAAAATTTCATTTTGATGTGAGTTTGGATTTAGGAGATATTAGGTTTCAAAATGTAAAGAAATTGTTTAAATTTAAATTCCTAAATTACTATTTGTTTTAATTCAATTATTTCGCAACAAATTTCAATTAAATTTTGCAAATATATAGTTTTATACTTGTTCTATATACGTGTTAAATTTTATTCTACTATGAGTTTTAGTTAGTGAGATATTTAATTTTTAAACTCAAATTTTATTTAAATGTAATTTTTGCGGTTGTGACACTTGTGACGCTTTTTGAATTCGTATGGTATAATTATGCCTGATGCCTACCTGATAACCGTCGTAGGTCCACGACGCCCACTTCATGTGGCAGGTCTGGAGATCAAACGGAAAGTACTCGACGTTTATATCACAAGAGGAGCGATAAATGCCGTGTGATAGCCACACCACTTCGCCATTGCTCGAGACTATCACGTTCGTATTGATCACAGACGATTGGTATTGGGGGTCGGCGCTGAAACCAAAAAATAAACATTGCATAAACCCACTCATCAATTAACCATCCAATTAATATAAAAAACGAGTATAAATTTTTAATTTTTTTATCATACACATTTCGCAAATTGAAAAACAATGTTGCAAAAATTTTTGCGTCTATATGAGACTCCCATGTGATGGAAATTGTGTAAAATGTAAAAGGTAGAAGCGTCGACGGCGCTGCTGACGATGACATTTCCACCGTTATGTGCACGGAACGGGCGCAGTGATTGGAAAGCTCGCGCACGCATTCGGGAAACATGATTGAAAATTACCCGCGTATCCATTTGCCCTCGTACATATTGCATACCTACTTATCGCCCCGCGCGATAAACGTTGTGGTGAATTTCGCACCGCAACTATCATTAAATATTCCCCGTTTATCGGTTACTAAAAGGTTTTTGAATTTTTTCTTTTTGAAATTTGTACTTAAAATAGTAGAATATTGTTTAAAATGTCGAAGACACGGAAATTTAACGGAGATTGAATGAATTCAAGGAAAAATATTCAATTTAAACGAAAAAAAGAAATAGGAAAAATTATCAATAACTCCAAAAATATTTGAAATAAATTAATAATATTTAGTCCATTTATTAGTTATTAATAAAAATTATAATTTATTACACGGAAACATGTTTTTAAATTAAAATTAGTCAATAAATCATTAAATAAATCATTTCATTTTAAGATTTGGTAACTTTCCATCAGGAAAACTAAGAAGAATTAATTATAACTCCAGAAATATTTTAAATTAATATCAAATATTATTTATTTGAATGGATTTTAACAGAAACTATAATTTATTGCTTGAAATCATTATTTTTTGTGTTGAAACTGAAAAATTGATTAATTCAAAGATTTCACAAATTTTTGTTGCAAAACATGACAAAAATCATCGAAAACTCCAAAAATATTTTAAATAAATAAATAAGTTTTAGTTCATTTGATAGATCACGTCCAAATTTATAATATATCAGTTTATAACGTTGATTTTTTTGTTAAAATTAGACATAAATTACCCAGAAACAAAAATTTGATTAATTCTAAGATATTCAAACTTGCATTACAAGTTGCCTAAAGTTATATGGAGTGTTTCCATCTAAATGTTGTTGCACAACTAAGTATTTTGTTAGTGATTGCAAGTACGCGCACACATTTAGTATGAGAACGTGTTTATTCGAATGCTGCACGAGGATTACGTGTGCATGTCGGTAACCGAATTGCGCTCACCGCACCGAAACGCAAACTTAGTTGACGATAGTGACGGTGCGCTGCTAATTGTATCAGATGGTAATGTTGCTTGCATTAAAGCGTTTCGGCATAATGATGTGTTAGTAGGCACCAAAATCATGGTCTATCACGTTGACAGCAATCACATCTGTACTAACATCGAAGTTTATGTCTCTAAAATGTATATTAAGTTGCATAATTCACGACTTGTCAAAGAAAAGTTTATTTTTATTATTATAGGTGGCAGTGGTTGAAAATTTAAACGTGTTGAAATGAATTATTATCGTGATTAAAATATAAATATGTTTTGTCAAGGGAAGGAAACTTGAAAAAAGCATCCAATTTGATTTGGTATATTTCAGCGTGACGCCAAAAGAATATTCGTTTTTGTCGAATTGCAATAAACCGTCGTCGACGTGCGATAAACACACGAAGCACTTCACCCTATCAAACCTTTTCTGCTTTGGTTTTTCCGTTTTCCTTTTTTCTGTTTTCCATCCGCCTGTATCGAATTTCTGCACGGTTTGTACCACATTGCGTATTTGTACCTTTTTTTCTTTTTCGCACAACTTTTAAAAAGCATTTTCTGTTTTATTTCATTACCAACCATATTGATACCTGTTTTTTTTTTGTACAAATTCTCACCGCTTTTATCACTCTACCGTCCTCATGCTTTTCGCAGCCAAAAAACGCGGCAGTACACAGATAAAGTAATAAAAGCGTTTTAAATGGAAGGTATTATGCGCCACCAAGTGGGAAACGCGGCTCAAGTCAACACAACATGATGTCGCATGAACGTATTTACGAGTTGTTTTCTCTGCGTTTGTGTGTGTGGGTTGTGTATTTTGCGTAATAAACAGGTGCGCGCCTAGAGGGCTCGCAGACTTGCATCGTTTTTTAATTGAATTTTAAATCGGTCGCACGACTGTGTCAAAAGCGCTCACGCCATTGCTAAACGGAAAGTACGCAACTTAATTAACATACCGGTGGAAATCGATAATAGCAATTCATATTCTAAGCGATTTTTTAATGGTGAACACACAGAATAAGCAAAAATAAATAAAAAATAAAATCTCATTGTATATTTTTATAGGCTACTAAAATATACAATGTGTTTATAGAACTAGAAAAATAATTAGAAACAAAATTAGAAGTTTTTTTTAGTGAACTCAAATAAATACACTGTAAAATATACACAGGCTACCAGGCTACTAAATTATACCATATGTTCATAAAATCATAGAAAAACAATTATTACTAAAAATTTTGAAAGTTATTTTTGTTTTAAATATTGAAATCAATTGTTTCTCACCGTTTTGTAAAATACTTAAAGAGAATTAAGACAAATATGGATTAAAACACACTGTATAGTTTAATAAATTACTAAAATATACAATATGTTTATATAATGATTGAAAAAAAATTAATTACAAACAAATATGAAGGTTATTTTCTGTTTAAATATTCAAATCGATTGTGATTACCATTTCAACCAACCACCCATCACAAATTTGAATAATCTCCACACGTGCATAAAAATTAAGCCAGTTTTTGCGTTTTAATCCCATGCGCCAAATCTGACTAATGATAAAACCGAAATTAAGTGCTTATTTATATGCATCTCTGGTGCCCCCCTTTCATAATCTTAGGATTAATCGACTGCAACTCATCTGCTACTTTTATATTCATTAAAAGTAAGATTTAAAAAGACTAAGTGCTTGCTAATGAAGTTGCTTACAAATTTAATTGTAATTAGATTTAATTAGGCTACGTCTCAACCGTCAACAAATCTCAGTGTGTTTTATAAGTTTTTTTGTCCGCTAAATAATGATGAAGTATATGGTGGAGGCGCCAACAGCATGTGACATTAACTTCTAGAGCAGATTATATCAACGAGCTAGAGGCGGTAATTGGGGAATTAAGTAATTGGATGGATGTAATTAGGATGAAAGTGTTTTTGCGACAGGGATGGATAACACAAAATTGAATCAATAAGTGAGATTTTTGGAGACATTTTGTCATTTTGTCGAAAAATTTAAGATTTTTATAAATTCTGATTAATTTTAAAACATTTCATAGATTATATTCTTATCTAGGGAATAAAGCCAAAATTACGTCTCTATTTGCTTTAGTTTTGGAGTTAGAGTTAAAAAAATATTTAAAAAATCAGCAAAATCTTAATTACTGAGATATTTGGACAAAGTTTGTCATTTTGTCCGAAGTTGTGAGTTTTTAATCTAAATTGCACTGATTTGTTCATTTTTGCATAGAATAATTTATAGGTTTTATTGATATTTACCTTATTAAACAAAAATTACATTTCTATCTGCTCTAAATGGCTAAAAAGTATTGAAAAAAATTAGTTAAACATTAATATTATATAGAATAAAGAAAGGATTTATTTCCGGAGGGTTACGACCTTGGCTCACATCGACCAATATTCGGATTAACGTTGGCTGACTTTTCCGGCGCGCGCTAATTTTAGATACTGCTCCTGTCGTGAGTCAAAGTCACGACTCGTTCGTCCGAATCCGAATTCCGGGATCTACCACGAGTGAATTATGTACGACATTTGATGGTACTAAAATTTTAAATATAATGTTTTTCATTCTCTAACATTTCCTCATTTGCTTGTTGGTTGTAAAATCACTTCAAATGTAAAGTCGCAGCCGTGCGGAACGTAAGGGAACAATCAGCGGAAAACCTGCGCACGTGTGCGTCTCGAGAGGCAGAGCACGAGTTGGTAGCAAAACAAATTAATTAGCACACGATTTCGCTTTCGGTCGCTTCACAGCATTTATAATTGTGATTCTGGAGCTATTAATATGCACAATCGATGCGTAAATCGTTGATTAAGTGCATAAATGATTTAAATTTCCGGTGTTTTAGTTGTTATTCTGCTATTTCTAGTCATAAGGAATCCAATAAATTGAAAATAATAAAATCGGTCCAAACGTTCTTGAGTTATAAACATAACTTGATATTGCTTGTTTTGTAACACCATCTGGTGAGAAAATAGTGAACTTACTTGTTATAAAGGATAATATCCGGCCGCCATACTCGTTGGAATGGTATTCGAATCACTTTGATGCCCGCAAACTCCGATACGTTCCATTTGAGATGATGGTCGATCCAAATTTGTGTAATCCAACAATTTGTGGTCAAAATTTGATTTTTTTCATCCTGTAACACAAAAAACACAAAGTTTGAATGCATTTCCAGATGTTAGTTTGCATGAGCAATGTCTACAAAACAGCATTTCCACTTATAATCGGCGGAAATGCGGAAATAAAAGCGATTGCGGCCTGCCACAGTTAAAACCCACCCACCTACGCCGATTTTCCATTCGAGCGCGTCTTTCACACCTCCGCTAGCATTCTAATTCCTTCTCGCGAATTTATTTATACGGAACGAACACACCGCCAAGCTCTGAAGCAATTTCAAACGTGGAAAAGCACTTTGGCGATGCGTTTTCGCAATGAGTTTTAATCGTCGCAAAGCTCCGAATTCAACAACACCAACTACACACATAGAAATACAAGAAACAGGTTTCACGCGGTGAAAAGGGGAGACGAAAGTGAACGCGAAACAAAACGAACATGGGCGCTGTGCGCTCGACTGAATGAATTGGCCCTCTGCGCTGATATCACTTCCGGTTTTGAAATTGTGTCGGAAACAGCAGTCGTTTCGAAAAGGTGCCGAAATCACAACGTCTTATCACTCTTATGAGGTTTACAAGGATAATAATCCATTATTTTATACAGGATGTTACAGAAAATTCTAATAAAAACACAAAAAATGATTTTTTTCTTTCTATATACTCTGTATATGAGTGTAAATGAAAGTGCGAAAAAGAAACATGGAAAATTAAGCAACTCGTTTACCGAAAAGCTTCAAAGAGGCATTTAGCCCACGCGAGTTGAGCTCGCAGCTCACTCCCGAGGGATTCGTTAACATCCCCCGCGCCAGGAAAACCAAAAGCAGATGCGGAATAAAAGCGGACGACTTTTAATTCGCCATCGTAATAAAGAGATACTCGAGATATCTACTCGTATATGGATATGGCTTTATTTTCGTTTACTTTTTCTTCTTTTAAAGGCTTCACGGGAAAAATCACAAAAAAATTGTGAAATCTGTTGAGATTTGCGGGGCATCAAGACGAATTCACGTTTTTAATTTTGACTAATCCGCTGAGGATAACCCAAATAAAGATGGAGAGTGTTTTTTAATGAAGATGGAGGTTATTTTAATATAAAGTGAAGCTATCATTAAAATGCTAATATTTTTTCGCTGAATTTTTAGTTTTACACTAGTAAAATAAATTTATTTTTTGAATCACATCCCAAAACACGTAATTAGTTACCGAAAATAACCTAATTTTGTAAATATTGTCTTTTAGCGTGTGTTCTGTTGACTTTCAGACAAAATTAATTTTGTCTGATTTAATTACGGCGTATATTAAATTAACCCACACGCGTTTTAGCGAAATTTGTTCCACAAACTTATCAAAACCGCGCGTAGATAGATACACACACAGATACACGCAACTCGTAGAAATGCGGCATGTGTAAACACAATAAACGTAATTATAACAATATTCGTGAAATTGCTCGAATAAGAGCATACTTACAACATCGATGATGTGATGCAGAGAGACGCCGAAAATCACAGTGAGCGGTAGCGATGAGTTTTCGGCTGGTCGCACCGCAGGATCGTAGTTGGCCATTAAGTGTCGCATTAGGCGTGCTTCATTTTCGTCTCCCAAACATTTACCTAGAAAAATAACAAAAATTGTTTTAGAAAAAATGATTTTCAGGTTTTTTAAGGGTTTAGGTTATGTTTTAAAGACTTTAGGCGTTAAACATTGAGATTTTGTTTCATAGATGGCGCTACCAACGTTTTAACAGTCTTTTTATATCCCTTGAAAAATATTTAAGGATTTTATTATTATTTGGTTCTTACAATCTCTTATTTTTCTATAAACCATTGTTAAAAAAAACAAAATTAATTCAAAGTTTGTTGTTAGATAGCGCTACTATTTAATTTTAAAATTTTTAATTTAATATTGTAGTTTTTTAAATTTTATTTTTGCTAAAATACGAAACTTATAGTTTTTTCTTCTAAAATTAGTTTCAAATTGATTAAACTAATTTACCGCTAGATGGCAGCACTCTCCAACTATTAATTCCCCGAAATAAATAAATCTAAACAAGATTGATTTATACCAAAACTAATAATTTATTAATAAAGGTTTTTCAAAGTTTCAAAATCCAATTTATCAATTTTGCGCCCCGCCTTGTAACCTGAAACCTGAGCATGAGTATGAGTTTCGAAGGGGATTTCGAATTGGCGGATTCGAGATCGGAAAGTTTTGCGCTAAAACGCTCTTCTAGAAAAGCCTCTAGACGAGCATTATCTATTCATCGAGAACGGCGCGTTGCGGTGCGCACTGCAATGGAAATTAATTGGGCGCAAACTTGTAGAGCAGGGAATACCACCTGTCTGTTACTGGTTACAACTCGTCAACACCCACGCATGTAATCACGCACGCATACAAACACGGAATATCTAAATGGGTATGCAAATCGGATACTATCAGCCAATGTGTGCAGACATATGTTACATGGGATTCAATGAAAGTTTTCAGACCATTATATGTTTGATTTCATTTTAATTCGGGTTCCAATTTGAATGACGTTTATTTTTTACAATTTTAACAAAAACCGATTTTTTGCTTGGTTAAATTTAACTGCAGTGAAGATTATTTATGTTTGTAGTTAGTTTTATTTGGATTTTGTGTTCAAATACTGCTTTTTATTATCGGTACTTGTTAATTAACTAAAAAGTACAAAATCAGTCAAAATATTATTTTACATTTCATTTTTGAATTTATAAGCTTCGAAATATTGCGCATTCGATAGTCAGCCCTAGAATTTAATTAGAGCGAAATTGCAATTAGCGTAGCTTTTGATTGATTCTATTATTAAATCCTCTAAACTAATGAAAGCAAAATGTTGTGTGAAATAAAACACAAAACCAACAATAAATAAATAAATCTTCTCATCTCTTCTCTAAAATATTAAAAAAATATTTTATTTTATATTGCTGAAAATTTATTATATTTAAAAAAATATTGGTTTGATGCCAAGGCATTTATTTAACGCGTATGTCAGCGTATGTTATCTAGCACCAAGTTTTTTGCGTTTTTATTTTGTAAAAAGTGTACCCTGTACGCTTTACGAATAAAAAGAATAAAGTCTTCGACTAGACGTGAAGCTTTAATGCTCGACCGAGGCGTTGATGAGCACTGAAAATTCGCATCAGATGCTATTAACGGATGAATTCGCGCAGTAACTCTGTTTTATCGACATATTTATTTCGGTGACGTTGTGTAAAGTGAAGATTGTAGCTAGAAGATAATGTTTATTATAGACTTAAAAGTGAAACAACTAAAAAAAGTTATTTTATAAGGATTTCCACAATAAAATAGTTTGCATATTATTTTATACTCATATTTTTATGAAAGAAAGTGTGTGGTGCTTCGATATTTACAGCATAAAGTTTTTTTCTTTCATTGCAATAACAAATTTAAATTAAATTCAGTTAATAATTAGTTTCCGACGACATTTTGATGTGGAAAGCTTGCTAAGACTGCTAGTTATTAATAAACGAAATAAAATCAATAAGAAGTTTTTCCATTTGACTGTTGACTGAAATATTCTTCAAAGAAAAAATGATCAGTTGATCATAGTACCTGCATTTCAAGCATCGATGTGTAATCAAGTTGAAATTAAATTAGCTCTTGAGTTGAGTCTATTCTGAACTAAAAATCATGAAATCAATTTTAACTAGGTACATACAATTGCAATTTTATTAATTTTAAAAACAAGTATCATTTAAAATCGATCCAAACAAAGGAGATTTCCATGTAGAATTTGTCGGTTTTATAGCAACGAATTCATTAATACGACGCGCACCGGAATTACGAAAATATGCGTGAGCGTGAATTTTGCTCATTCCGGCGCGTTTGCAAATTATGCGAGATATTTCAAATCTGCGCGCGGCGCATTAATTCGCCTCGCGCCATTCCACCATTCTTAAATGAATGCATTAGAAAGCAAATCACACCACGGGCAAAACCGCTGCAATCTTAATAATTTCCATCGGTAAATTTTAGGTTTTAATAAGTTTCACGTCTAACATTCACCATTGTAATAAACTTTCGCGACATCTATTGCTATCTATTCATTTCACGATAGACAAATTATTTTCTTATACACTTTTCACTTGGATTCGTTTAGTAGTAAATTATCTGGACGTTTTTACAAATAGTAGAAGGGTTTGCTTTTTATTACGTCCAGAGTGCTAGTCATTAGAAAATAATAATGAAAAACCTGCAGCACGAGACGTGCGCGAAATGTACGAAGAGTAAAAAAAGACAATGGTGAAATCTTTTAAGTGATGGCATGAAATGGCGTCGTGGTGCGCTTTACAGGTGAGGGCATTTTTACCTCAGCACATTTTACTCTCTAACGAGTTACCACACGAACGAATTAAAGGAAAAATATCGTTTTTCCAGCGTGAAAATACAAAAAATCATTTTTTTACATTTAAAATATGAAATAATCCGCACGTAAAATAACGAAATTTAATTAACTAATTCAGTGTTATGTGGAAATTCAAAATATGCTGATTTGGCGATTGTTCCATCTGCTTCCATTTGACAACAAACTTGTAGACGAACGAAAACTTTGTTTTGTTGATTTATGACTTTCATTAAAACTTTGCATTTCGTTTTTGTCCACGTACAATACCACCGGAAAGTGATAACAAAATTGAATATCCTATTTTGTTAATTAAATAAATAAATATACAATATATTGTGTAATATGTAATATGTGTTGCCAATATTAAACAATTTTATATTTCTAACCACAACTCACAGCGCTCTTATGGAAATATGTTTAACACCCAAATATTTCTTGTGGTTCCTGGCGGAAACCGCAAATCGAAACTTCATCATTAGCCCGATGATTAATGGTCACGAGCTCCACCCAAACCAAGTAGTACTCAATGTTTCTTTTGATTCGCTCCATCGCCCCCTTACAAAATACAAAAATTTAATGATTGCGAGTTTTTCATAAATTCAACGACATTTTTTAGCACGCTGTGAATTATTCAACAATTCCGCGTATTCTCTTTCGATGTGTGAATACGTGTCCAGAATGTAAAAAACGCGTGTCCCTCTGGTGTCACCTTTGCTTACTTTACGTATAACTACACGCTTTCTAGGCTTATCCTGGCTTTCAGCACAAAAATAACACACGCACGTGTTGTTTATTCTTATTCCTAGAATATTACAATCATTTTTCTTGTCCCAGATAGCCATACCTTTATAACCTAATAAAAAAATATTTTATAAGATAGGCAACCAAATATGCAGTTATAAAAGGTTTAAATTGAGATTGCAGTCCTTTGTGGGAATTAATCCGTAGAAAATGTTTGCTTTATTAGGCCACTGAATGAACAATTTGCTATGGGGGTGATCGACGCCATCTTAGATAAACACTACGTGACTGCTTTACGTAATGCGTAAATTAATAACCCGCAAGAACGGGCCGTGAAGTCGGCGCCGTAATGAAATGCATGAACTACCCCTAGACGCGGGCGTCTCGAGGCTAGACTAACAAGAAAAAAGGGCGCATAACGAAAATACGAGATTTGTTTGTACAAAGCGCACGAAATCCACCAGAGTTGTTCGTGTTTTTCTTTCACTTTTTTACAATTCAGGTATTTTAGGTCCTAAGAAGCACTCTTGGACCCATACCCACGTAAAAATACAATAATAGTAATTTTTTTAAGTTAAATTAGGTCATGTTTATGTTTTGTTAGGTTATGTTACTAAATTTATGTTATCTGCTTTGCTGACAATCACAAAGCACTCAAGCAGAAGTTTTCCGTCATCTAATGTAATGACATATCGAGTTTCTATACGCGTCAGCGATCAATCACGCCCAACACTCCTAAAAAAAAAACAACAAAAAATAAAAAAACAACGTAAAATTCTGCATTCCGAGTTGGTGTGTTCATAACTTTTGTAACGTGTCAAAATCAAGCTATAGGATAGTATTACTGAATGTCACACACGCCACCGGGTAGAGGGATGTTTTAAGTCTGTGCGCAAATTGATCTAAATGGTCCAGCACGCTATTTGGGTGACAGCGTGACGTTATATCCATCATCGTGTCAAACTCTCCGTCGCGAACACTCAAGGATGACACCTTTTATCTTCTAATCTCTGATACTACTGCTAAAAAAATTTAAGCGTTGGTCTTTTTATAATTTTTTAATGTTTTTTTTAATTTTTGGTTTATGTTGATGTGTGTGAGAAAATTTGGTGAGCAATTTAGCGTACGGAATTTTTAAGTGATTCTCGAGCAATTAATGCCGAACGTAATAAATTTTGCTACCGACACCTCCAGCGCCAACGCAGAGTCCAATTGATCCGCGTGGTGCGCCCAGCAATCGGAGTTTGATTAATGTTCATGTCTATTGGATTTCCACTTACGTGCGAATTTTTGTTGGGGAGTACATTTTCTACCGAAAACAAAAATGAGCAACAAAATCCACTTGTAATCTTTTGTTTTTTATCAATTTCAAGCCGCTGGGACATTGGGGATATTAATTTATTAGCGCGCATTAATGGTGACCAAAATGTGGGGGTGTTTTGGGTTTAAACACTTCCCTAAAGAGCACTTAACGCGGCGAACCGGACACAAGTTCATACATAGATAATTATTAATGTATTAATTATTTATTCCACTATTAAACGTTAATTATTGATTGAAAACTACGTTTCTATCCATTTTAGTGCGTAATACTTCACATATTTCATTTTAGTTTAACGTAACTGTATATTTGGTTGCCTATATTTAATTTTAACTATAATTTAATTATATTTATATTAATTTAAATATTGTTATAATTTAATGTATCAAGTATTTCTTTCATGTTTTCATGTAGTTTATAATAATTAATGAAAAACTAAGAAAATATTATGTTTATATATATACTGCTCATAAAATATTTTAACTGTGCACAAATGTATACTCGGTTGCCAATAGTTACATTTCACCTTAATTTATGTTTATTTATGATTAATGTGCATGTTTTGAGTGTAAATAATGTTATAATCCTTTGAAATTGAATCCCTTGATACTCGTGCACCCTGAAGAATACTAGAATACTGCTATTGGCAGAAGTAATTGAGGATGTTAAAACGATTCAATATGTCTTGTGTTCCAGCGTCCACTTTCGGCACGTTCACAGTTTGCACTCGCATTTAACTTAACAAATCGGCGGTGATATTTCGATGTGACAAATGGTCACCATTACATCTGTTTTAAACCACAAAAAAGTTTTTTAAGGAAAAGAAAAATTCGAAATACAAAAAAAATATTATGCCAATGAATAATTGATAATTTCCAATCTCCTAAGGGTATTATTCCTACAAATAATTAAATTTACCTTCTGGTAAAGTCTTGTTTTTTATTTGGGCGTTTTAGCATATTTTTTGGATTTCCTTTGTGTATTGATGTCCAATGTGCCGCTTGCAGGCCTTAATATATAGCTACCTGTTACTTTTTTGCCTTTTTGGCTTCTTTACCTCCGCCTACGAGTTGTATTTTGTTCTTTGGTTGTTCTTCCGGTTGCTTCTGACTTTGTACACGTTTCCGATTCCGTTAACATTAGAAAAACACATCCTAAACAAGCATAAAGGTGCAGACAAACTAAAACAACCCTTAAAAATACAAAAATAGTATTTTTACATCCGCTGTAAAAATTATTCAATTAATAAATTTATTTTAATGCATTTTTGTGTTGCGACGAGTAAATTTTAACTACTTTATTATGATATATTAATTTCTGCAACCAATTAACTCGAATGTTATCATTGTATAACGTTTTTTTGCAACAATAAAGAATTCACTGCAGTTGTGAACAAAAGCGGTCGACATACAGTGGACATAATGGATATTACGGGATTACGACTTTTTGTTTTCCAAACCAGGATGCGTGACGATCGTGCGTTGCTTTTTCATAATTGCCGCGCGCGTTTCTTTGTTCCCGGCGCTGAAATCCTTCCCATTCCTCTCTCACAAAAAGAACTCTACTTTTTTGGCCTTGGGTTTTTTCGTTTTTTCGCCGTATTAGTCCAATTTGAGAGAATCTGGTCGTGTCTATTAGTCGGAATCACCAATGCGTTTACTCAACTACTGAATTACTTAAATCTCATTCCGAAAACTGTAGAAAAAAACGAACGAATTGAGATAAAAACTATTATTGCTTTATTTATTGCTTAATCGTCGTAAAAATCAAGCGATAATATTAATTTTAATTCAGTTTAGTGTTATGTTTGAAAAAATTGTGATATTCTGGGTTGCCTACAGTAAAATATTTAATAACCTCAATAATACAGGGGATTTGATCTAATTTTCAAGTTTTATCTATATACCTAGTGCTTTTTAACGCGCGCAAACTCAACAATCCATCAAAAGTTAAAATTACGTTTAAAAACACACCACTCGCTGATCCTGCTCATTCCTGGCACGTCCTGTATTCGCACGCGATGTAATAAGCAGCGAAAAACTCGTGTTTAGATAAAGCGCGACCGAAGAAAAAAAAAACGAAAAGTTTTTCAGCAATCTTCATAATCTCATTTAAATCGTCTACGTTAAAAAGAAACTTGAGCTTTGAGCTTACGAATTTCCACTTTTGGTTCCGAACTCATTTTCATTTTCGTTTTTGTGATTTGATAACTTCTTTAGCTTCTTATTTCTCACGCAAAACAACAAAGAAAAAAAAAAACGAAATTGTAAAGTCATTTTAATTATTACTGTAGTAGCTGCTGGAAATTGTCCTCGATCGCGATGATTTAAATTCACGCGACGCAGGATCACTACTCGAAGTCATTTAAATTTTAGTTAAGAGGTTAGCAGGAACACGTTGGCGCTAATTAAACACTTGCAATCGTTGCTGGTTTTAATTAATTTCTCGTTTTGCTATCAACTTTATCAACTTTAGTATTGTGAAGGCACAGGGAGGAAAAAATGTGACGAGGCGAAATAAGTCGAGTGAAAGAAATTCGTTTTGGGAAAGTTATCAAAAACGAATTATGAGCGCGCGACATGATTTGCACAGGAAAAATTGCGCAAAACTAAGCTCAGAATGGAGAAATTAATTGGAAGCTGTGTGCGCGCGGACGGAAAGAAAGGTGTATGCAAATTAGGTGCTAAGAACTTGTCAACGTTATTAAAAGTGTACGCGCATTTTTAAATGTTAATTAAAACACTAAAACGATGAAAATTGCAAAAAATGAAGAAGAAATGAATTAAAATGGTGTTTTAATGTCAAGGCAGTACAATATATTTATGTAAAATCATGCATTAGTTTAAAATTATTAATTAGATAGACTATTTTATTTTTAAAAAAGTTGAAAATGGGGAAAAGTTGAGATTTGTTAAAATTTTGGATAAAATTTTCACTGTATATATGCAGTGATTTAATTGAGTGAATTAATTAAATTGACGTAAATTTAGTAATAAATAATATTTAACATATTTTTTTAATTAATTTAAAATTGAGATAAAACGTAGACAAAATTAAAATTTTCCCAAAAAAAATTCAGAAACATTAACACTAACATTGTATTTTTGGGTTTGGGCTTAAAATGAATTGTTAAATCTATCATAAATTTATTGTGAAATAAAGCACACATTCTTTTTCGTTAATTTTGGTTTAAAATTAAGTTTTCAATTAGAAAAATATAAAAAATTTCGGAAAATTTTGAGAAAAAACGCATGACTATTGTATTTTTGGGTCAAGGCAATTGCCAAACCCAACCTAAATTTTATATTAAATAACAAAGCACATATTTTTCTATTAAAAAATCAAAATTGTTTCCAATAATTTAGAACAAAAACGTATAAAAACAGTGTTTTTGTGTCTAAGCCGTGAATTGTATGCAAAGTCCGACCTAAATTTAGCATTAAATTTAATTATTTCCAAGAAAATTGCAAAATCGCTTTGGGAACAACCAATAATTTTTTTTTTGAATTTCAATTGAATTTGTTTCGCACAGATCTTATCATAATGTTATCTTTATTCTTGTATGCTGCCACAGACAGAGTTAACTTAATCCGTGGTAATATACAGTATACAAAAGCTCTCAAGGATTTTAATGAAATTTTTATTACTGCTTTAATTTTTTTGCCCCGCTTCTTTGTGTGTCTTACTCATTTCACTTTTGCGAACATAAAATTCATAATAAAATACTCACCAAACTTAATGAAGAGAACTAAAAGTATTATCATCTTTTCGTTGGCGAACATGTTAATAGTTGTTAATTTAATTACGAATTTAATTAGTAGCGCACTTTAACAATTTATCTAAATTTTTACTCTTGGTTAGATTTTATGTCGCACATAATTTTAACGCGGTTTAATTTTATTAATTTTACGAGTTGTAATAAATTTCTGTTGAGATTAGATGTGCGCAACATATTATTATTAAATTTTAGTAGTTTTGAAGTGTTTGACAACTTGTTATTATTGACTTTATGAAACAACCATTTGAGTCGCAGTCGAAGGGAATATTAATGTCTTCGATTCGGAGTTGGTGGTGCGTCTGAAGGCCGTCACTCATCTTGCTTTGTGCGCGTTTCCGGCGCGAATAAAAACCGTGCGCTTTGTTCTATTGTTTCAACGGGTTGCGATCATTTTTTCCCGGTGTGACAACAACTGAATCGAACGCTTTGATTTGTTTTGTTTTGGTTTTCGGGGTGTCTTTGGCGAGTTGGCGAAGAGTTGCGCGTCGGACATCGCCAGCGCGATCCGGGGGGTGCGATGTCGTAACGGCGGGAACCGCGAATGCCCGCCGACGCCGGCTCCGGTGGCTGTGCGCGGCTGGTGATGCACAAGCGCGCACGATCCTCGGCGCTGGGGGCGGCAGGACCGAGCGGGATACGCTTATGGCAGTTTTCAATCAACGGACAAATGTCCACAAAAAACATTTGATACATATTTCACATTAATTTACTACAATTTATAATAAAAGTAGCTAAAAATAATATTTTAGTTGTTGGTAGTTATATAGTTATATAGTTTTAAAGTTGAATTTTTACTTTTCGTGATATTTCCGAGTAGTATTTTTAATTTTCCAGCTAATTTCACATCATAATTAAGAAATATCGCTATAACTCAAGCATTGAAGCGTGTTGTAACATTAAAGAATCTGTCAAGCACCCCTTTGACGCTCTTCGTAATTTCCCCAACCACAAGTGGTAGTTATAATCATTAATTGACGTATACTCACTTCCCTCATTTTCTTGTGACCTGTTTTTGATGTAATAATCGCATTTTCTCAAGTTTTTCTTAATTTTTTTTACAAAAGTTTAGATTTTTATATTTTAATTAATTTAAAAGTTAATATTTTATGTCTTACATCACGCAAATCGATCAGAACTAAAGTTTCCCACGCAGTTTTAAGAAACTTGACTAATACAACACAAAGTTTCAATAAAACGCATTAATCACTCAATCCATCACTCACCGTAACCTGTAACCCTGCAAAAACTGGTTTTCAAAGCGTTTTGTGCAACTGGTGCTCATTTTCAGCCATTGTACAAAACATAAACGTAAACACACTCGGCTAATTTACACTTGAAATTTTCTAAGTTAATCTCCTGAATGACTCAATTTATTTGTGTAACTTTAATTCTTTGCGAGTTCAATGGTGTGTGCCGCTTGTGGGGGCGGCGAGTTCGTCGCCTCCGCGCTGTTTGTCTTTATTGCTGATGTCAACGCTCAAGGGCGTCACGCCGTCGGAATTTACTGGTGACCCTAAAGCAGTCAGGACCTAATCCTGCTTACCCAGCGCCTCCACCAAAACTCTAAATTGGTCAAAAGAAATAAGTTTAGATAAAAACAGCAACAAATTTGGTTTAAGTATTTTATGATTGTGGAATATTAAAGTGTTTCGCATAAGTTAAAGGATTTTTTGACTTATTTTAATTTAATTTTCCGAGCTTTTACGAAAATGTGTGTTTTTTGTATTTTGGGATATTTCTATCAAAGATTTTATAGAAAATAAATAACAATTTGTTTTGTGGAGTGTAAAAGTTTATTGAAAGCAATTAAATTCGTTGAATTAATCATTGATTTGATTGATATAAGCCGGAAATGCTAATCTAAAATGGTAGTTTAGCATCTACGTCATGCGGAAATTGCGAATTTCCAGATCCATTTACATTTTGGCTCATAAATCAGTAATTTGATTAAATTTTGACCAGATATTTATCCATTATAGCGTACTGCAATCAAATCATTGTTATTTTAGCGTAATGAGCAATAACAACGCTATATTTACACTTAAAGAACAAAGTTTGTTTTCACTGTATGCAACTTTTTATACACTAAAATACACAGATCAAGAATCTATAATTTTATGTTTGTATCACTTATGTCTGAAACAATATTAATATTTAATTATCGATTCACGCATTTGCAATAAATAACTATCTAAATTCATGTAGCTGCTGCGCTCTTTGAGCGTTGCAAGCAGGCTCGGAAAATAAAGTGCAATTTACAGTCAGGTGCTGTCCTCATACGACACATTCACGAACCCGCTGGGAATTATTCATTTGTTTTCCCATGTGCGACGATAAACCGTAGCGGCTGCAACGAAGCATGTCTAAAAATACGCCCGAAACGCCGAAAATACACCGCTGTGACTTTTAAGACCACACGTCGTCGAAACGAACACGCGTCTTTACAATTACCGCACAAACCGCGTGGAAAATCATCGCCTACGATGGGGAAGAAAAGTCAAACGAAAAAACCCAACTCGCATAACCTCACATCGAAGAGACCAGAAGTAAACAAACAACTCAATGACCTGGTTGATAAACTTCTGCGTGTCACCGTGCAACCGCCACTGGCTAACATCCAAAAGGAACTGGAAGCCACTAAAGAAATTCTAACCTTGGTTGAAGAGATCCAGAGAGCTGAGTACACCAAAGATGCACAACCTGACAGAACCAATCCTACAGTACTATCAAATTTCACCAACTGGCTGAAAGCCAATGGAGCATTATTTGATGGTATGACTATTGCTAGTTTTGATGGTTATGATTTGGGATTGAAGGCTGAATTGGACATACCAGAAGGATCTTTACTCATTGGCATACCAAGAAAGTTGATGTTAACACAAGAATGTGCTTTAAAATCATCACTTGCTCCATTACTTGAAAAAGACTCCATTTTGAAAGGTATGCCAAATGTAGTACTTGCAATGGCACTACTAGTGGAAAAATATAGTGCTGAATCATTCTGGAAGGACTACATAAATGTCCTTCCCAAAGAATACACCACAGTATTGTATTACACTTATGAAGAATTAAAAGAATTGATTGGTTCCCCAACATTAAAACAAGCCTTGAATCAAATAAAAAGCATCTGCAGACAGTATGCATACTTTTTCAAGGTGATTTACACCAGTGATGATGAAGTCTGTCAACTTCTCAGAGGGAAATTCACGTATCAACAATACAGGTCAGTCAAAATACTTAAATATTTATTTATCGCTATAAAAATATAATATACATTGAACAACAATAACATTTCCTCGAGTTTAAGTCTACACATATGAAAAATTAGCATCTTTTGTTGATTTTTCGATATTTACAATGACTGGTTCTTATAAATATTGCACACGAATCACACGAGTGTGATGATTAGATAAAATATGACGTTGATTTACTGATAAGGCCGCTCGTTGCTCTCCCATGAATCGGACATACTCTGTCTGAAATGTTGCGCGTAGAAATTCCGTCGCTTACCGAGCGTCTCCGAGACGAACGTGCGAATCGTGCGCTTCGGCTCGTGCTGCAAAATGGGCGATTTTATCTTGGAGCACGTAAACCCTCCGCTCGTATTGCTTCCGTAGCACAAACGCTTTTTATGCTTTTGTGACCATCGGAAGACGACTAAAATCGTCAGGAACAGCACTAGTGACATGCCAATGATGGCCAGGGAGGCGAAAATCGCTGATTTTACACCAATTGGAAGTTGGATGTAATCATCGTACTCATTTAGATTGTTATTCGTTCGTGATAGTTCATTAAGACCTTCATCGACTGCTTGCTGGATTGATTGCTCAATTGCATCCAGTTCTAGTTTTTTATCGTTGTGCTCGGATTCTATATAAATACTCGGGTAAATTGTCTTCCAGATTGGTATATGTAGTGGTGGAATTTCTTTGGATATTTTATTTGTTTCGATTTTATACGTTGGGAAACTTGTGCTTGGGAGTTTTTCGGAGGTGATTATTTCTTCACTTGACATGTTTACATCTTCAAGGGGTTTTGATGCTATGGTAGTAGGTGGTGGGGATGTTGTGGTTGTTGTAGTTGTTGTCGTAGTAGTTGTTGTACTAATAACCTTAGGTTTTCTGTTTGTACTAGAAAACTCTAAAATAGGTGTTTTGAAGTTTTTGATTGTTTTAACTGTTTCTACCACTTCAATAGCTTCCGGTTCTTTGGTCTTATTATGGAAGATTTCCGCGAGATGTCGCTGACTGGATCCACGCTCACGTTGTTCCACCAATTGTTGTACAGTCATGTTCCTGGAAGTTAACAACTCTTCTAATTCCTCTTTTACGTCACTGTTCCTCATTATCTCCATGATTTCATCTTTTGCACTTACAGTCACCTTTTTAGGAAGTGACGTTGTTGTAGTTGTTGTTGTGGTGGTGGTTGTAGGTTTAGTAGTAGTTGTATATTTTTTGTAAAGCCTTTGAGTAGTTGTCAACTTTTCGCTTATCGGAGAATTATTTGAATTTTCCACCTCTATCAACTCCACTTCCGGTGCAGGAGGTAAAGATGTGCTCAATGGTGTGGTAGTTGTGATTGGTTCAGTGGTCAATTCCACGAATCTTATCGTGGTACTCTGATCTGGGATGACCACATTCTGTTCAGGTAGTTCTTCCAAATCAAAGGACATCTTAAGTGGTCCTTTACTGGTTGTTTGCACGGGTATCTCTTGTGGATAGTTTAAAACATCACTAAGTGGTATAGGGACTGGTTTTTCAATTAGTTTAGTATCAACCTTTTTAATCTTCATGTTCAATTGGGCACTGGTCATTGGTAGTTTTAATGTGGTGCGCTTAGGAGCATCCGTTACAAGTTCAAATTCTGGTTTAAAGTTTACACTGGTGTAATATTTGGGATGTGATGGAACAAAAATTCTTTTCTCCGTTGTAGCTTCAGTTACAACTTCGTATTTCGTGGTAAGGTCACTGTAGATTTTATTCTCTTGATTGTACAACTGCGAAAATCTTTTTCTTTGTTCATCTTTTCTCGTGGCTTCCGAAATTGTTTCTTGTAAAAGAGGAGCTGGTACTTCTCTGATAGGTTCCACATTATCTATTTTTTCTGTAATACTCTGAACAGGTCTTTCGCTCAACGCTGAAATCGCATTCTGATTACCGCGGAGTAAATCATTCAGAGTTAAATTTTTCTGGAGTAAAATTTCACTGAGACTTAACCCGCCAGTTTGTTTCAGAATATCTTTGATATCTTTCAAAGATGTGGTATGTTCTGTTGTTAACGAATCATATTTAGCTGTTGACTGTGGAGGTTGTTCTTGTTTAATTGTTGGTTCTTCCTGATAAATGGGACCTACCCTTCTTCGAGAGTAAGGTCTTTGTGGAACTTCAGTTTCCATTTCTTTCCAGCCATCGTCCACCTCATCAAGTCTCACTGGTCGTCGCCGACGTGGGCGTACGATTTGAATCTCCCCTTGGTCATCTTGGACCATATGCTGTGGCCGGCGTTTTCTCTTTCGCAATCGCCGTCGTTTTTGGGGTCGCGTCTCTTGTGGTCGCTCGTCTTCGTTTTGGATCCTTTGAACGCCATGCCATTGCTAGAAATAGAAACAAATGGTGTCACTTTTTTATGTTGATTAGGAGATTGTTTTAATTCAATTTTAACATTCTGCGCATGCATTCTGGTTAGTGCGGTCTGTCTGTGTGGGTATTTAGTTTCATTAGAAAATGGTTCGTTGGCGAGAATCCATAGAATAATACATCTAGGTTGCAACCTACTTCCTTCTACGTCTAGAAATTGTTCGCGTTCGCGTCTCTCTTGTCCGTGTATGGTGTTTTTATTGAATGATTACGCTTGACCTTGATTTTTCGAATTATCTTCTTCGGCGGCGACCACCAGGCAGGTTGTTAATTGAATATCAAGTGTTGCAATGCGGCACGTTTGTTTTATTCGTTTATAAAACAATTATTTTGATAAATATTAAATTATTTAAAAGGTAATTTTATTATTTTAATTTGAAGTTATTGTTCTTTATTAGTTTTTATTTTGATTGTTTGTGCGTTTTAATTGTTTTGGGAACATCCTGTAGTCTAGAAAGGCATTCTTAGTGCTCAACAACATTGTGCGTTGAATGCACCAATTAAATCATTTACATTTTTAGTAAACAAGTTGGTTTTTAACGCGCAAAACGATTATAGCATCATAAAATGTTATCGCCGCCATTTTTCTGCAATAAACGTTAAAGTTTTGTTGAAAGCTGAATAAAATATGATTTGGAAGTATCGGATATTATTAGATACTGAAAATTATTTTGGTTTTTGTTATTAATTTAATAATTTCTGAGATATTTACGTTTAAAATATGAAGTGTTTATTTTTTCTATTTAAATAAATAAATAATATTTTAAACTAAAATTCCTCTTGTCACCTTATTGTTGTTATAATTATCTATAATTATTACCAATTTGAGTTTAATGCGTCCAATACTTTACGAGATATTTACGTTTAAAGTTTGACATGATAATTTTTCATCTTAATATTGAAATTGTGATTTATTTGCTTGCAATTCTCATGCTCGTTTCATTCATATCATTTAAATCTCATTCATTCATTACTTAATTCCTTAATTCTCTTGTATCTTAATATTTTTCTTAATTCTTGGCAAACAAACCACAAACAACGATGCAATCCTACGCCGCTCGTTCCTCATGTAGGCAAACACCATTAGTCGTCGTCGGACGCGTCGTCGTCATTGTTTCGCCTCTTGGAATTTCGTCTCTTTGCATTCGAGTAACGTTTTTATCATTAAGCAGGAGGCAACATTAGGCGGCTGGCGGCGTTATGCAAGCTCGTAATTGAAATTATACAATTTTACTTGCGCTTTGTTTGCGCTGGCGAAATGCCACCGATGCCGTTTTGTGCAAATTCCTCTCAAATATATCCTCATTACTACTATCGTATTGCAAAATGTGTACGCGTACGACTTGCAGCAGTGATTTTTTTTTGTCTTTCGCTCAATTGGGAACAATTTTCAGTTTTCAATTTGCAACACGGAAATGTAAAACTCTCTCTTTGTGTGCTCAAAACAAGCATCTTATCTATTTTTATTTTTATTCCATTGAGGAAATAATAAATCTTCATCAGTTAACTAAATACTTAACACAATTCATCATCAATGTGTGTTTTTATTTCTTAAAAGTGCAACAGATGCGTTTTTGTTAATTACTCATCGCTTGTCATTGCACATATTTGTCTACTTCTAGTCCTTGTGTATTTTCCAAGAGAAACACGAGAAAGTCCATAATATATTACTCATTGTGTTTGGAAAAAAAAGGTGCAATATTTCATGGGACTTGTACTTTACTTTCAGATTAACTTGTTGTTATTTATATACGCATTATTCCTGCACGCGCTTTTTTAACATTTATCGTTTCGCTTTAATTGCCGTAGAATTTAGCGTGAACAAGTTTTTGAAATAGAAAAAAGATGTTAAAAACAAACATATTTTTCTCCAGTTTGGTTTGGAGTTTAACGCATCATTAGACGTGGATTACATGAATACCGGTGAAAATTATTGCAAAAAAGAGTGTAAAGAGTAGAAAACGTGCGCACGATATGCATCGCAGACTATCGGATCCTCGCCGTTGTTTTGATATTAATGCTCATAACAATATTGCACGTTGACTACCGCATTTTACGAGGTGTCGTGCCGCGGTTGCATCATTTCCGCGAGTGTAATGATTACAATTGAAAGTGTAAAATTGTCAAAATATTGAAATATTAATAGGACAATTGGGGATCAATTCGTTTGGAATTTATTTCAATCGTAAATTATGTTTTTGTCGTAAATTTTTGTTTATTATTTATTTTTGATGCAATTTTTATGCGTAATCTTTGTAAATTGTGAATGTTTATTGATGATTTATAAATTGTTGTTAACACTATAAAATTTGTTGCATAATGAACATAAATATACGATTTTATTAAAGTTTTAATTGCTGTTAAAGATTAAATGTTAAAGTACCTATCTGCGTGAAATGTAAAATGTTAAATCACGATTAAATTCCTTCATCTTTCACCTGATTTTAATAGAAATTTAGTATGGAAATGTTATAAATATTGTTTATTATCATTTCACCTATGGCTACTCTTCTAGGAAATTTAATAACTGCTCTTGTGCAATAAATAGTTTGAATTTAATCCATCGCATGCTACTTATACGAGTAGTGGCTCAACTTAAGTAGGTAGTTTATTACTGGTATGGCTTTACTGAACTTTACTCTAGCGAGTAGTTTTGACGCTCCGACGCGGTTTGGCGTTGCGTAAGCGCGAATTCTAAATTTTTATAAGTCACAATCCGATGCGTTGATTTGATGGCATGATGATGGTGGCAGTCGAGCGAAGCATGCCGCTTATTATTTGCGCTCGCAGTTGATTTGTTTATAGAGTTTTACACAATCGCGCCGCCAATGCACGGAACACTCCGATGCATTTCCTAATTCCTATGAAGCGATCGTTGTAACAATTGCAACATCCAAATGGGTTTTTTGTTATGTTATATCGAGTGAGTGAGTCGTCAATCTGGTAGTATACGAGTATAATAATCTAGCTTAGCGTGTATAAAAATGTTTCAAAGTGACTTAAGTTTATTACACAAGTTTCCTATTGTTTTTGTATTAATTTTTAGGTTTTAATTATTCTTGCGGAATTTTTCGTGGAGAGAATGTTGACAAATTATGCAAGAATAATTATAATTTTTATGAAATTAATAAATTTCTTCATTTTTGTTCTTATTTCTTTTAGAAATTGGCGATATGTAGTGTAAAAATTGAATTTATTTTGTTCGTGCTTGCATTTTGACATGAATATGAATAATTGCTAAAAAGGTAAACGCGTGCCGTGTGCTTAACACTTTGCTGTGGATTTAAACCATGCGAGTTTGTTAAATTATGATACTTTCTACTCGCACCTCGTGTGCTTCATGCGAGCAGATGAATAGGCGCACACAACTTTGCAAAATTGCAACTGCAACTGCGAAATGGTTAAAAGTGCAACCAGCTATATATTACTAAAATATTATATCCTATCGTGTAGTGACACAGTATAGCTCGAGTTAGTAATACTTTAATGCTTGCAGTTTACATTCGTTTTTACTTCTGGTTATTCATTTGTGCACTTGTAGTTGTACTACAGGTGCTTTATGTATTCCTCTGATGAATAATGTGATATTTTATTTTTTAAATTGTTTATTTAAATTTTTAAAATATGTGCCAGTAAAATACAGTTAATTTTTTATTTAATATCATAATCGTAATGAGTTTAGTATCCACACTTAAGTTAAGTTGTTCATTCAGAACACAAATTATTAACATTGTAATTACACGTGTGATTTAGTTTTACTCACGATATTAATGTAGAAATAATGCAAATGAATACAACATGACTGAAGCAGCGTAAAATAATGATCGTAAAAAATGTCCTCCTATTTATTTTTACAAGTAGATTAATTAATCTACTTGTATATGAACACATTCAGTAAGTTTAAGTTTCGAAATTTCTAAAATTTCAAAATAAATTGTCCACAGTTGACAATTTTATACAATAAAATAAAGTAAACAGGTTATAAATTTAAAATAATAACAAAGTAAAATTTGTAAATTTAAATTAATTTAAATTAAGGGTATTCAGTTTATTTTGTTTAGTAATGCATGAAAATGCAATATGACACGCACTTACACTTAATAACAATCTGTGTATGTGCTTTATTTTATTATACATATTGTAATTTATGATAATCATTGCACGCTGCACGCACTATTTGATAAAAATCGGTAAATACCACAAGAATGCAACAAGGGCATCCAAGTCGGTCATTATTTCAACTTTAAACATTCATACACTGTGATTGCAACCCATCGATGCGAGCAATTGGAAATTTCAATTGTGAAAATGTGAAAATATGAAAATATTCAATTATTCAGAAAGAAATTTAAATATAAGTTAGTTAAGTAACCTTAGTAGTAATGTTTTGGTATTGTCTTACTCACCTCGCCATCATCGATTAGTCGCACATTTCGCACGCTCTCCGCGTAACTTAAGTCATCATCAACGACGGAGCCTGTCTTAATCTGTTCGCTATCATTATCTCCACCCTGATCATCAACGCTGCGCACTGCGGTCACGCAGATTGTCACCAGTAGAACACTGATTAACACTTTTAATAATAACTTCATAATGATGATTATATGAGTTTAATAAGGTTAAATTCGCACATTTAGCAGTAAAGACACACTTTTAACGATTTAACGTATTTATGTCGCAGTAGAAGCACTTTACTCTGGTCGGTAGCGTCCGATAAGTTGTTGAAGTTGATGTGTAAGCTGGTGTGAAGCGCGTGCGGCCGAGGTGCGCCTTTCACCGGCGAGCACTCGAGCATTAGTAACAATCGACGCGTACGCCGGCTTGTTGATATCTGCGCCTTTCCATTCTGCCATTGCCATGTCAGGCCGAAGTAACCCAAGACGGCCGAAAGCAGTAAGCCGCCAGTGGGGAATGGATCGGATCTTTAATTACACTGATTGAAATAGAATCTGTGTTTTTATACATCCAGAGGTATTTAGGAACATGGATTGTGGGTTTTTAGTAAAACTAACAAAGTAGAACATTTATAGAAGGGATTTTTGGTTGGGTGTTGAAAATGAGGAAAATTTATTTTCTAGATAAATTTTATAACGTGAAGAAATGGGTAATTCCAGGTAACACACAATAAAATTTGAAGGTGAGAAAAAGAAGGTTTTTTGACAAAGAAAAATTCAGTTTTACTGCATTTTTATGGTTATTTTCATGGTATTTTCAAGTTTATGTGAAGTTGTAATACTTCCGAACTGTTTTTACAATATTTTACAACTGGAATTACCTACAGCATCCAATTTGCACTCATATTTGTAAACTTGCAATTTTGTTGGTAATAATGCAGGTGTAATATTTTTGGCAATGATACTTTTACCTTTTTCATACTTTTACTCCATCTGGATGATGGTCAAAAACACAACATTGATCTTGATGAAATGTTGGGTAAATTAAACATCGACGGAAATAATGAAAGCAATATTCATGAGAAAAAATTATACCTGTAAATAAAAATTGCACGAATTCATAACATGATTTATGGTTTTACGCGCCCATTAAACTCTGTTCTACATCAGACAGAGGCTGTTTATGAAAAATGAACACACAATTTAAAAAGCAATTGAAATTTAAATTATACACAGCACACTGTGGATGTGGCTGATGAGCATTTAGATAAGTGGTAATCATTTGAAACGTTTTAGAAGACCGAAAAAAATGAGAGTAAAGAATGTAAAGCAAAGAAAGGCGTTTGAGCGTTGCGAGAGCAACAATAGTAAAAGTTTAAGCGCGACGGATACATTTGTTATATTAGTTTAGTTAATTTTATCTTCATTAGAATTACTATTTAAAACTATTCCCGCTGCGCTAGGAAATATCTATTTGATACATAATAATATTTACGCAGAAGCGGTAATAAACGAAAGGTGTGAGAGATTGTAACAAACAAACAGCAACAATAGTAAAAGTTATTTCACCAAAACTACCGATTAAGACTGAAGTGAATGCGCCGAACGCGCAGATCCAATTGTGTGAGAGTATAGTAATTAATTCAGAAATTGGAGTTGCGTATACCCGAAATATATTCGGGAATAGAAATTGATAAACAGCGAAAACAAAAGAATTTAAATTTATTCAAGTGAAGCTGAGCACCGCACACACTGAGAACTGAGACTTTCTATCACGTCAAATTAGTTGTTTGAAGATGAGTCGAGGCGTTTGTTTAATAATGCAGCATAAGTACATAAATTAATATCCACTTAGGATCCACTTAGGATAAAGTGAAGTCTAAATGATTTTATGAGCCTGCATTGTTTCTTTCTGACTTCGTTCAAATCATCTTTATTCTTTTATTTACACATCCGGTAGTCATTTATATTATTTTGTTTCTTTCGAAATGAAAATAATTAGTTTTACGTGATCGAATTTATATCGAATTGTTGAATTAAATATATTTTACGGAAGTGTTTAGACGTTCGGAATGTGAAGCGGAAAAAAAACGAAAACAAAAATTGGAAGTGAAATTATTCAATGCGAGTAATTGTTGGGCTGTATGACGTCCAGGAAATATGTATCATGCACAATGAACTTGTATTGAACGTCAAAGAAATGAAAAATGAGTAGTGAGAAGGAAGAAAAAGTTGAATAGCGTACAGAATAAGAATGGAAAGCATTGCGATGCGCTCGCGATGAATTAATGAGTGTAATGTATTGATAGGATGTGCAATTTTGTGCGGCATTGTATATTGTTATAAAATATTGGAAAAACTAGACATGAATGGAAAAATTGTCGTAATGACGTTCAAATTGAATACAATTGATTATCGGTTAACTTTTCCTACTTAGTAAAGTAATTTCTTTTTGTGTATTTGCTGCCAAGTTATTTTAATACAAAAAATGTAAGAATTGTATGAAATAGCTTAAAAAATTATTTTTTTATGAAAAACTTACATTTTTAATGAAAAAATAGTTTATTAATGCGTTTTATCATTGAATTAGACTTTACCGAGGTATAACTATTATTTTAATCAATAAAACAGTGAATAATCAACTAAAAATAATGAATAATGAAAGTATTATCGATAAAATTGATTAAAAATACTAGAAATAAATTCAAAAGTTAATTTTTTTATCGTTTTTGGTGTTATTCTAATAATATTGTAATTTTCTTAGTTAAAAATCATTTAATTTGATAACCACAAAAAGTTTAATTACACTTTTGTGTAAATTTCAAATAAATTGCTTTCACCAATGAATTATTTAATTGTTTACTTAATAATTAAAATCACATTCAGTGGGTGGTTCCACTTGTTTCTCACCTTTTACATTTGTTATTCTATCGAATATTTTCATGCAGTTATTAAAGTTTCGAAAGAATGTTTTTCACAGCGCGAAAAAGCGAATCAAACACAAAGCGCGCTCGCTCTTGACACTTTGGGCGAACAATGTTGAACAAACAAATGTTCTCATCTTGCGGTGGCACACGCGGCATGCTGGTTTCCATCGTCTATTAACGCAGTAAACAATTACAATTAACTTTTACCATTTTTATCATCACGTGTCGCCGTGTGTTTTGCAAATTTTCTTTTTCATGTTTTAAACGTTGAACGATTCGTTTGTGCATTGATTCAAAAACAATAGTTGTTTATTTCGTTATTTTACCATTCATTATAATATGACAAGTTTTTTGCTTTGCACGCGATGTGCTTTAGAAGACGCGCATCGTGTATAGGTAATTATTTAATTAATGAAGTCAAGCGTGCGGCATTGACGTTTAATCATGATTTATGAAATTCACGCGGGAGGAAAACGTGCGAGTTTTCTTCATCGCATTGTCTGCGTCTAATTAACCATGAATAAATTACCGGCGCGTAATTCGATTGAATCACCATCAAGATTATTGTATTCATATGTCATTGAATAGAATCTTATTCTATTTATTCTTCAGAAAATACAATTTTTATGATTTCTTTGAGGGATATTTTATTGTCATTGATGGTAATTAGATCAATTAATAGAAAGTGACTTGGATCTGTTGGATTTAGCGACAATCTTCGATTTGATACGCGTTACACTTGAATGTTTAATACATTTTGCACTTTCGTTCTTGTCATTGAAGATTTTATTGCACTGGGAATTTATTCAGCACGGGTGCTCAGACCTCGTTTTCACTCCATCGGCGTAAAGAATCCGCGTTTTGATGCGGATTCCGAACAAATGTAAGCTAATGAATGCGTGCGTACTTGATCTACGTTTAAATTGTACTGGTGAGTTCTAAATTATTGTTATTGATAAGTTGATCTAGAGATATTTTCTTTAAATTGACTTTTTAAAAATAAACACCAGAAATATCACGAATCTAGATTAATCTGTTTGATATTAAAATTAATATGATTAGTGATAGTTTTGTTAAATTTTCGTTTTGTTTTTGGTTGTGTGTAAAATGTGGGTCATACCTGAATTTAGTCGAAAAGCCATTATCGGATTGGTTATTAATTTAATGCGGTGATGTTTCACGCATCGCAGCTGTCGAATCTCGGACACATCTCTTTCGTGGTATACTTTAGTTTTGTGTGGTGTCACGTCACTGCACAGTTGGTTCTCAATATCTCAGGTATTCATGATATTATGATGTGATGACCATATGAATGAATTTCGGTGAAAGTGCACCACATGCCGGTTTTCGCGCGTTTTCGTTTTTTTGTTTTAAGCGCATATTTTGCACCACATGCCGAATTTTGTTCACTTGCGAAGTGAAAGATGCTTTATATTTTCTTCGGGTGTTTCGACATACGGTTTGCGGTAAATATGGTAATAAATGAAGTCACGCAGGATGCAGATGAACAAGATGCGGAAATATTACTTTTTGGTTGTGTTTTTTTCGCTTTTGCGAAGGTAAAATTATTGAATTTATTCTTTATTTACACCTGTATCTTTTTTTATTTGTAAATTTGAAACTAAAATATAATTTTTTACTGAATAGAATACATCTAGATTATCAATCATTATTTATGTGCATGTTTAAGTACGCTTATTATTGGATACTGATTTACTAAATGCTTTTCTTTCAACTGCGTGTATTCTTCAAGGTCATTCATCACTATCACTGCATCTTGAAACAATTTTCTGGTTCGGTTACACTATCGCATGCGCATAATTAGATACACCAATTAGAAAATGTTTTTCTTGTCACAGCTTTTTTTCAACGCTGATTTCTTAATTTAATGTCAAAATATGTAGAAAAGTTTTTTAAACGTTTTAGGTTGATAATCGATGTTAAAATTAATGTTTTAAATTGCTTAAACTTTCCATTTTCTCTGTGCACATTACGCCTGTGGTTCATGATTATTAATTTAACTTATTTGCTTAATTAGCGAGTCCATAATTCGCGATTTGCTGCAGTATTAAAGTATTAAAACTGCGTAAGACGATTTGAAATAAACGAATTCAGTTTAAAATAATTTCGGGTTACACAATTTTAGAGTTAATTACACTACACTTTTTCGTTCAATTATTAATAATTATAATTAGAAGTGTTCAACTTAAATTTGAATTTTAATCTATGGATTGCATAAGTTTCAGGTGAAATTTATTGCTACATATGTTTCAATTATTTAATTTGTGATTGAAAATTGAAATGTGAAGCTAAGTTTTGTTCCCAGCATTCAGCTGATGTTGATATTGGCACCTGTTTTGAAAAGCGCAATAAAAATTGTGTTCGCCTTCGTGCGAACGTGCCGTAAAATGGTTGGGTCATTACGCATGTTTGGATGAATATTATATTTAATCCTAGTGTGTGTGTGTGCTTGGTTTTGCGATTGTAAACTCGATACGTTTACACAGTTTACATACATATTCGTAGGAAATGTTTCCCGTACTTTCCATCGGTGTAAATAAACTTTCGCTTTGTTTTGCATATTTTATACAAATTGTTTTGCCCCTGGAACTGAATTCAATTGAATTGCGAGGAGTATAGTATGGATTTGTTGAATTTGATATTTTTCAATGCAGATTTTTGTTTGATTAAACATGGAAAACATTTTACCTTGCTTTATGCTGTTATGTTTTGTGGAATACAATAAAATTTAAATTAGTTTTTGCTGTTTTATTAATTAATCGTGAATTTTGTTTCTAGATGGGCTGTTTCAACGGTTATGACGCGTCAAAATACGATTCCCTCCGAGGATAAATCTTCAATGATCAGTGCATTGATTCCACTTTGGGATTTCTGTAATCACACCAGTGGTAATGTAAGTTTCAACCCAATTATTTTATTTATTTCCATTTCCGATCCTTTATTTTCCTTTATTGGCAGTTAATAATGTTAAAATTATAAATATATTGTAAAACAACACAATATATAAAAATGATTGATATCAGTAAAAACTTTAAATCGAAAATATATTTGAAAAATAATTTTTGCATCTTCTAGATATCAACTGAATATAATCCAGTGTTAGATAGAAGCGAGTGCCTCGCTGTAAGAAACTTCAAACTCGGCGAACAATTATTTATATTTTATGGAGCCAGAACAAATGCAGACCTTTTCATTCATAATGGGTGAGTATTAATTTTATTTTCAAAAATTCAATGAATATTCTCAAAACAATTTTTATTATTACTTAAAGATTTGTTTATGAACAAAATGAACATGATGGATACGCCTTGAACCTCGGCATAAGTCAATCCGACACCCTCAAGGAGAAACGTTCGCAACTATTGGAAAAATTGTTAATCAATCCGAACTCGACGTTTTATTTGGACGCCAGTCCGCAACCGGTGATGGGAAAATTACTCGCGTTTCTGCGTGTTTTTAACATGAACGACGGTGAGTTCCTGCTGAAATTTTACCGATTTGCATGTTCGTGCTGCTTTGGAAGCTTCTAATGATTGATTGGTTTTCCTAGAGCAATTACAGCACTGGTTGGAGAGCGACAAGTGTGTCGACTTGGAATGCCTCGATTGTGCGCTGGATACGTGCGTCGAGAAGAAGACCTGGTCGTTTCTGCAGGTGCGTATTAAGCTGCTGCTCGCTGCGTACAAGAGTACATTCGCTGATGATGTTAAATTATTGGCGAACAACGAGGTGGAGCTCAATGAGCGTCGTCGACTGGCGATTCGGATGCGTATCAGCGAGAAAAAGATTCTTTCCCATGTGCTGGACTACGTCGAGCAGTACATAAAACAGTAAATTATTGACTTTTATTTATTTAAATGAAATCGACAATAAAATTATGTTTGACGTATTTATAGTTCAAGTGTAGTTTATATAAATTAGCTATTATTTTATGCTTAAACTCAACTTTAACAGGTTGACGCCGGCATGACCCACCGGTGGGTCACGGCTCACAAGAAGCATGTCATTTTTGGCTACGCCACTGGTTAGGTTATGTCCTCTTTTCGTCTTACCTATACAATCAGGGCTTTGCATCTTTGTCACCAAGTGTGTGACACGAAGATTACGTAGTAAAATAAAATAAATAAATAAAGTAAAATAAAGGCATTCATTACAAAACATAGGTTTTTTAAATTATGTATTTATTGATTTTTATGAACAGTTTTAAAACAATTAATACAAAACGATGGCTTATTGGGACATTGCGGACAGAACGTTGTAACTTTGGTCGCCTTTAACCGAGCCATAGCAGGACCTTCGGCATTAGATACATTCTTATAACACTCTACGCAGCGTTTACGGACTTTCCGGCTAGGACCAGGCAGCGTGTCAATAAAGTGTCGGTTTTTCGACACATCACGGCAAACTGGAGTTTTTTCAACGAGTAATTTTTCAATTATGGACTCCCAAAATTTTAACAAATCAATTTTTTTGGTTCCAAACTTTTGGTGTATGTACCACGCATTAGTGACGGAAGTGCCACATATCAATTGGAATACAATTTTTTTGTACCATTTGATTGTTTTCCCGAGACTACTGTAGTAAGATGCTAGTTGGTCTGACAGATCCACCCTTTTTTTAACAGTATTATAATCAAACACAGCGTTTGGTTTTCGTTTGTTATCGCTTTCAATAATTTCACAAGTATGTTCAGGACTTGTTGTTAACAAACATATCGTTCGTTTGTCCGTCCATTTCACAAATTTAACATAGTTATGATTAATTGCTGAATAACATTCACCACGCTTCTGTTTCTTTTTTGCGTCTTCGGGTAGAAATCTTCTATTGGGTTTTATGGTACCGCAAATGTATGTGGAGTGCTGCAAAAGTTCCTCCGCCAATGGAACGCTTGTATAATAACTGTCCGTATATAATATTCTATTTGCGTCCAAACATTCACGCATCAAGCGCATCACTACGTCATGCGAGTGAGAAATTTTTATATTTTCGCCATTTTTTCCGGCATACACTTCAAACTTGAAAGTGTAGCCACCCGGAGCGCAAAGTTTGTAATGTTTCACTCCATATTTGTGCGCTTTCCCTGGAATATATTGCTTGAAGCTAAGGCGTCCTCGCCAGGGAACTATGCTTTCGTTTATAACTACTTTTGTTCCTGGTTTGACAGCGGCTTGAAAATTAGTATTAATTTTATCCATTAGTTCACTGAATTTACATAATCGATTTGTGGAAATATTTGCAGTGTTATCGCTAAAATGCAGGTATTTCAGTATGTCCAGGAAACGATCACGGGGCATCTGTTTTTGAATACATTGATTCGCATACATAGGATTATTGGACCAATATAGGCGAATTTCTGGAAGTTGCACAATGCCCATAATATGCACAATACCAAGAAATGTATACAGATCTGTTGATGTTATTGGTCTCCACATTGATTGATGTTTTCTACTTTCATTTTTATGGGGGTCTTTTTCCATACATTGTATCGCATACCTATTGGTTTCAAGAACCATTTGCTCTATTACCGAATCCGTCACAAATAATTGGTATAATGCAATTGGATCATCACAATCAACATTGTGTAGAAGAAGTTCATCATCACACACTATTTCACATCTTTGCACTTCGTTAATTGGGGTCCATTCGGTATCTCTGTTATCAACTTCGTCGATGTTATCTGTATCTATTTCATCCGAAGAACTGGTTAACACTAACGGTCGCGACTCGTTTCGTACATTTGTAATGTCCGATGATTCGTCTGAGGAACTTTCCTCATCTGACGAAAACATTTTAGATCTATGAATAATTTGAATGAATATTTTCCGTTTATTATCTATTATAATTATATCTTACCTAATATAAAAAAATTGAAAGAAATACGACAAAAGGTCACTGGCTAATTGAAACAATTATGGGGATTGAACAGGCGTGGCAGATTCAATGAACTGAATATTTGTGTAAGTTGCTATGGACACGAACCAGCGTACATCGGTTCACTCCGTGCGCAGCCAGTGGCAGAAAAGGGAACTATTAACTGTGTTTATAATTGTGTACCATGAATACTACGGAAAAGCCTATACCGTTCGGACTCCTTATATCTATACTTCATGGTTGCGAATTAAAAGTGCTGAAACACACATCGATGCACCTGCAAAAACAATCGTTTTTTTGCCATAGCAAAGCATAAACCACTAGTGGAGTAAGCCGCGTCAACTGGACGGAGTTGATAATGCTCAAACGCCGCCCTATGCGGCGGACGTGCGGCGGACAGCCAAAATCCGCGCCGGCGGCAACGTGTTAAACTAGTAGTTGAAAAGAACTTCCGTGTGATGGCGCTAGGTGTAGGTACGAATTATGCCATCTGGCGGAACTGTGCGTAACTAGTGACAACTGTCGTCTACGAACCTCCTGCCACTCGTAGTCTCTTTTCGATTCGGCGTTAAGATGGTGAGTACGCTCCGCTTGTAAATCTGCTGATATTTCGACCATCCGTCGTTCAGCCATGAAATCCAAAGTGCATCCGACATGACAAAGTAATCACCCGCCGTTTACTATTAATATTTCTCGTCTAGACTTTCTATATTTTACGTTTTCGGTGTTTGTTGTCATTCGGAACATGCACTACATGTTTAACCTCACACTAATCTTGTGTGTATATTGCAGGCCACAAGCAAGAAGAAGACCAGGAAGCTGAGAGGACATGTGAGCCACGGCCACGGTCGTATTGGTGAGTTTCATTCGATTATTCGTTAGAATTTTTCATTTAAATGATGAAATTTATGAGTTTAGCGACAGGCGGACTTAAATTCATTGAAGATTCATATTAGCTGATTTACATACAGAAATGATTATGATTTGCTACTTTTATTCATAAATGTGTGGTCTAATAACATATATCTTACATAGGTAAACACCGCAAGCACCCTGGAGGTCGCGGTAACGCCGGTGGTATGCATCACCATCGCATCAATTTCGACAAATACCATCCCGGTTATTTCGGTAAATTGGGCATGAGGAACTACCATTTGCGCAAAAACTCTAAGTGGTGCCCCAGTATCAATCTGGACAGGCTGTGGACCCTTGTCAGTGAGCAAACCAGGCTGAAGTATAAGGATAATGCAGAGGGCAAAGCCCCAGTTATTGACATTGTGAAGGCTGTAAGTAATAAAATCCACAGTGTTTTATTTCAATTAAAATTTAAAATGATGACATATTAGAACGGGCGGTCTTACTTAGTATGATGAGTGTTCTTTTACTGATTAACAACAAATATAATATAGCAATTTTAAAATGTGGCATGTTTAAAATTTAAATTTCTGTTTTATTTGCAGGGTTACTACAAACTTTTGGGCAAGGGCCGCATTCCCAAGCAGCCAGTTATCGTGAAGGCGAAGTTCTTCTCAAAACAGGCTGAGGATAAGATTAAAGCAGTTGGAGGCGCTTGCATATTGTCCGCGTAATTTTGTTTATACAAATAAGATCATCTAAATTAAGGACATTGGTAATTATTTTTTCATTTTCCTGAATTATTCCTTCGAAAAACCGATCATATTTTTTCTTGTTTTAATTTATTAAATATTGGTATATCAACAGTTTTACAAGAGGGCGAGTATTGGTAATAAGCAAAGTAAACGCTAAACCCCCACAAGTTATCATTGTTAAACGATTTTAAAACCATTGCAAATCAATGCTAGTACTTGTCAAGCCTCGTGCGGATTGCTATTTCGACCATCACATCTCAGACAGTCGAGATTGAGACAACGAACCTTCTCGTGACATGAACACACTTATCCGAAGTTGGGTATAAAGCAATAACAAGTCAGTACAGATGTTTGTCAAACCAGTAGGTGTGCTGAGAAGATCTCTAATGGTTGAAATAGCTATCCCAACTTGTGAGGGTATAGCATTTAATTTGCTTATTTCTAATTTATTAAAATTAATATGAAAGAAATATTGAAGCACAGAATTAATTAGTATCAATTTTTATTAAATACTCAAACAAAACCTTTCACATATGTAATTGAATATCACATCCTAGAATTGGTGTAGTCAGTTGGGAACTTGAAGGAATGTGATCCATGTGAGAAAATATTTGGCAGAAATCCTGCATTTGGAATAATGTTCCATGACAAAGTGAGGGTGATGTTTTTGTTGTTTCTGCAAAAATATATTATTAATAAGATGCTCATTTTGTTGCTAATAAATGCTTACTTCAAGCCATTGCCATCATCCCAGAAATAATACTTGGTATTTGCATTCTTGAAGTCTAAAACGGCATTTTCTCCCCTCAAAATAATCTTATCCCACAACACAACCTAAAATTTACATGATGTCAAACCAGTTTCAATGATTTCTAATTTATTATACCTGATTTAACTTGTTAGATGCTGTTTCATACTCAGCAGTAAGATAGAGAAACAACTGCTTTACATTCCAGTTGAATAGGTGAGTGAGATCTGTGTGTAGATCAAATGTGAGGAAGCCTAAGTCATTCTTCTCCCTAGATGCACTGTAATCTGGTACATTCTTACTAAAAATTAGAAGTGATCGTTATTTACTGCCAGGCGTTTTCAAGTGTGAAATCTTTAGTACTTACACGACTACTGTTACGGTTTTCATATCTGCTTGAGTGCGGTAATTTAAAAACACTGTGGAGACAAAGCAGGCAAATGTGAGGCACGCTAATACACTAAGGGCGTACGCAAAAAGCGCGTTGCCGCGCTGAAGCACCGAATGCATTTTAGTTAATTGACTTTTGTTGCTAAATTTTGGTTTTCGTCAATATTTCGCAGGTGACTGAAGAAACACCGCTGTGGAATGACACGTAAAGTAACTCCAACGATACACTGTCAACTGTCACAGAAATTGCTGTCATTTTTTTAGTGGTCGGCTAGAGGGCAGGTACGAGCGTCATAACGGTCATAACCTTAAAAGCAGCGATCTGTTTTTGTGAGTAGTCTCGCAAAATTTTTAATTTTCAATTTACTTAAGCAATGTTTATAATTTTAGGTTGCTTTTTTTAAAGTCAAGCATGTGAGTACACTACAGAATCTGTGTTTGAGCAGTGAAGCTCCATGCTCATTTGCTGTATGTGACTAGTTGGTCCAATAAACCTCTGTTCAGGCCACTGGTCTGTATACAGATTAGTATACAACACGTATTTTACAATCCAGTACAAATCCTTGGCACACAGGGAATAAATGCATTTAGATAATTTATAATTAGATTGTATATATTATGGACCTTAGATTAGTTGATTTAAAGACAGATATTACTCATCCAGTAATCTGCTGCAAAACCAACTTTCTTGTACACATTTCAACATCATTTTAAAAAAGTTTATCAAGAATTTGCATTGTACTGTATATTTAATTGGCGGAGTTGTCTCAGTATTGTATTATTATTGGTTGCCATACAAATGGGACTAGTTTACGTTTTATTTATTGGTAGCAATGCAGATAAAGGTATTTGGTAGTTCCTGTACTGTTGTTGTCTACCTTTTAACTCGCGAAGAGGGCGACTACGAAGTGCTGTCTCTAGAGAAGTCTAATTAAAATCTCGGCGTGCTGTTCATTGTTTGTTATAAAAGCTTTGGCTGCAGTGCACATAGTGGTAGGTTGTGCTTGTGCGTGTCACCCTGCCTTCCATATTTCCCTTCTTTCGTGCCCTTTGTGTTATCTCTGTAGAACTTCAGATCTTCTTATGTATAAGACTTGTGTTGTTTTCCTATTTACTAATGTGTGTGTTACTTGTGTTGCCTATGTAGATGGTTTGTATCATAATAGCATTCTGTTAATTTACATCATCAATTTATCACTCTATCGACAAATGGTTAAAAATTTAAAATAAACACCTTATTTACGAATGTTCGTGCGTTGCAGTAGCAACAAACACAGATAATTCAAATTTGTAGATATAAACGCCGCGCTTTATAACATTATCCAGACATAAAATTTTTGAACCTACGCGTGTTGCAGGCATATCATGAACATTAAACAAATTTCAGCATTTGAATTTAATTCTACATTTCTGCATCCACGCTTGCGTGAATTCACTAAAAAGGCGTACATATTAAGAGCACGTGTGTATAAAATAAGTAATTAATGATTCCATACCAGTATTTTATGCGTTGCAACACTCCGACAAGGGGTGATGATGATGATAAAGATTTGCGAAATAAATTAAATTCTTAAGAGGAGGTGCGTTCTAATGTATCGGCGATAGCTAGCAAGAAAAAAAGAGCAAATTGCAGCCGCCATTTTGAGCCACTTAAGCCGGAATTTTCCGATGAGGCAGACACTTCAATAACCAAGGGTTTCCAAGATATGACCCATTTTGCATTACAAGTTTTGGAAAATGCATAAAGGGCAAACTTGAGCGGCCATTTAGAGGCACTTATTGCGGAATTATGCAATAGGACAGAATTGTAACTTCAAGAAAAACTCTTGCGCTAACAGAATTCGCAGAAAGAATGAAAATATCACAAAGGGTTCCCGGGATACGACTCGCTGCGCCGGAAGTTTTGAAAAATTCAAAGAAAGGGCCAACTATAGCAGCCATTTTGAGGCTCGGAAGGCGGAATTTCGCGATGATACAAAATTGCATCTTCTGGAAGAACTCACGCAAACAGAATTCCAGGAAAATATTATTTACAGTCAGGCCCGCCGTAACCGGGCGTGCAAAGCGTGCACCGCACGCGGGCGGCAAATTGAGCGACTTCTTACGTACCTAATTCAAGTTTTTTTGACAAAACACTTATAGTAGGGCGGCATAATCGGTATTGCACACGGGCGACGAAACAGTTGCACACGGGCGACGAAACAGCTAGCGGCGGGCCTGTTTACAGTATATAATAAATATATCACAAAAGGCAACAACTCTCGTGCTATGAAAAGATGATGAAAAAACTAAAAAGTTAATTCTGTTAATGCACAACAAGTGCTGTAATAAAAAGAAATGATGTTGAAACATTCCATAAGATTTAATAATAATATTTAATACATCGGAGAAAAAATTTAATATATTATATTTACAACTCGACACTTTGTGAGTTGCATTATATACTTTGAACGCGATCAAAAACAGGCATTTATGGACAATAAACGCGCAGATAGTAAATAACATTACTATAGTCGCTAGTTAAAATTAAATATTCGATTGATGATTGAAACTACGCAAGCAACGACTATCGCGTTGAAAAGAATGCAATAGATATGCAAAGCCGGTGAGTTGAAGGCACGCGACTTTGAGCGCGAATTGCATTTGGCACGTTACCTGCGATCAAAACTTAACTTATATGCGGCGTGAGGGGATGGCACCGACGACACATGTGAATGCGATTAAAAGTACAAATTTTGAGGTACTTATTATTGGGTAATTATTTATTTTGTTCAAGACCTATTTTTTGGGCAAACGACGAGTGGTGACTAAAACAGAGAATATTATTCGAATTAGATAAGTTATAATGCGAATTAACTAGTCAACTACCCTGACAATCCGCACTGGACGACGAGGAACTGTTACCATTGCGCGGTGAAAGCACTTTCGGACCAAAGCTTACTGTATAACATCCGTTATTTGATCCACTCGCTGATGCCAAAGTTTCCGGATCTGCTAATGCAGAAGTTATTCCAGAATTTGAACTAGACTGAGCGGGTGCAGTAGGTAAATCCTCATTTGCATTATCGGGCAATTCATCCTAAAAATAAGCTTTTATAAAATATGATTGATATAAATGCACATAACTAAATACTGTATTCTCGTTTTCATTGTTTTCTCCTCTTCCAGGAAGACTGTAATGTGGACGACCAGGTGGATCTATTAAACAGAATTATATGAACAAATATAAGTTTAATAATTATATTTTTTACTTCCACCTTTAAAATGCCAGTTTTTCAACGGTTTTGAGACACAAAAAGTGATACTTCAAACATGGGTGCTCAAGGCCGTGACTAAAGTTCTTTAGTAATGGTTTTATTCACGGGGTGGAGCTTGCGCATGCGCATTTGTCTACGGTGCCGTACAAGACCATATGCTATGCCATGCGCCGTGAAATAGAAACAAATAGAAGCTGCTAGTAGTGTCGGTGCGGCACGGCATTTATAACCTTAACATTCTTAGTTGTGTTCGAGTGACTCTCGATGATTTTAAATACGACAATTCAAAACGTTGGTGAACAAAAACTCCCATTTAGCCACTTGATACTTAATATACTATTATATTAGGTTCTTACCTAGGTATTCAATACCATCCAAAGTGACCAATTGAGGAATATATCTTCTCACTTCCGCTCTATAATTAGGATTACCAGTCAATCCAACGTTTTCTTCGAGGACCAAATGTTGTAAGGTCCCGCATAAAACCAGAAAACTTACTACATTAAAGTCATCAATAAGATTTCTAAAAAACAACCAATTAAATCTTTTAAATTGACTAATTCCACTTTAACTCACCCTGCACAATCAATATGCCTCACAAACTCCAAGGAGGTACAAGGCGTGAGATCTGTAAGTTTATTATTGGCCGCGTACAGTTTCTCAATGTTCCGTAACCCATTCAACCCGTCCAAACACTTCAACTTGCACCGATTCACCTTCAGCACTTTCAACGAATGCAACCGACAACCCAAATCCCTTAGCGAACTGACGACACTGCCATCCAATGTCAACTCACGTAGATTCGGCGTGTGTACGCTTAAATGTTGCAGTCCTGCATCACGACTAATTACTCTCAGCTTCACTTCGGTGACGCTTGCTAAATCATCCGTTCCGGTCGTACGCCGCTGTATAAACATTTAAATACAAAATCAAAATACCGCTTTTGGGTGCTAATGGTACTAAATTATTCAGCTCGAGCATTACCAGCAAATCTCTTAAATTCGGCAAGTAAGGCACCGGTGTGCCGGCGTACGGATCGATCGGGTCGAGCAGGACGCGATTCGCATTATTAATGATGCCATTCCGTAGCATCGTCCTGACTGCGTTCGCCAATTGCTGCACATTGGACAACGGAACAACATCGTCACAATGGCCGTAAATGTCCTCCGTCGGTGGCATCTTCAGTTTATTCAAAAATTAAAAATTTACTCGTTGGTGATGAGATAATCTGACGGCGCGCACTGTAAACGAATTGAAGTTTCTCGCTGAAATAACAAACGTTCCCATGGCGACTCATAATCGATCAAATAAACTTCAACATCAGCGCGGCCCTTCGAAGTGTGAGCAAATGCTCACGTGAGCTCGTAGGATGCTGTGTGCTTTATAAATTATTCATTACCGATGGGAAGCTACTACGCAAAACGTAATTAATTCGTAACAATTATAATTTATTTTAATTTGTTTTTCATTTACATACAAGAATAATACTTAATATCCGGTATACAATTTCATAACAAAATTGTCACATTCGGTGGATTACATGTTTGTAAGCACACACATTGTGTTAATACTATTTTAGTTAGTTTTGTAATATGTGTAATCCATAGATATGTTGGATGCGCAATCCTTATTTATTATCAAAGATTATTAGAAATGTCACCGCTGAAATATTAGATAATATTTATAACACAAAGAGAACGAACAAAAAAAAAAGATATGGTAATGTGCGTTTTTTTTTGTTATGTTACTATCAACATAATCATTAATATTTAAATCATCAAATCGAAATGCTCGCTATCCGCGTATCCATATCAGTAATTGTGGCCCACGACCGCAGGTGACATTAATAATTCATGTTGATTGTACCCGATGCGATATCATAACTTGGCGCTGTCCATTGCAAGCACACCAGAAATGTTGAGCAATAATTAGGCCACCGAGGATAGAAAATCAGTAGTCAACGTGTCGGAAGAGCGACATGTGAAACGAAAATGTAACAATATACAAAGATGTCTAACTGCTAACATTAATTGACTCGAAATTACAAAATCTAATCGAACGCGGACACACACGTAGGTTAATATCTTTTGTTAAAACATTACATGCGTACATCAGTATCATCAGCGATCATCGCTTGATAAAGCCCACCACCTGTGCACAACTCCTATCACAACAGTTAATAAGTTTGTTTGCGCACAACAAACGCCAAACAATTTCAGTTATCGCCTCAATGAGCGATCTTCACAATGCAGCAGTTAAACAAGTTCGTCTTGACGAACGTGACAAGTTCACCTGAAAGATGCGATGGGATTGCATGAGTAGCATGCAAGTGTTTGGTAAATGGGGAGTTTGTGCACTCACCTGCTGTGCAAACAGCTCAAGCTAATTGGCAACGCCTCGGAGAAGCCTTCGGGAATGTGGCCGGGAATCGATTCGGTGAGGACGTACCATTGAGCAACAGGTTTCCTTGGGTTGTCTAGCATCTCAAGCCAGTGGTCCTTGCCTACGCCGATAAAGTTCGATCCGATTGCTGTGCAACCCATTAACTCATTCGATCCGATCCTGAAAACCAACGGGTGGAATTCGATTAGACTACAAGACCGGAAATTTGTTTTTTTCTTCTTTTTCTTAATTTGAATTAAAAGCGAAACGCAAATAATAGCTCTGTTAATGAATTCAAATTAGTCTTGTTAGTCGTAATCAATTAATGTCAATTGCGTGCTTAACTTAATTGTCTGCGGTTGGTGCCCTTCGTTTTTATTGAGTTTGATGTAATTTACCTGTCGTAATCGATGACTTTGACGATCAGGCAAACATCCTCAATGTTCTCCGACGGCACGTCAAACACCATCGCTTCGTTATAGATCGGATGCAGCGTGTTTTTCATCACGGACGTTTTCTTCTTCTTGATACGCTTACCTTGACACAGTAAGTACACCTTGACGTAGGGATCTGTCGACGCAAACAACGGAAACCGAGAGAAAAGAAGAGAAAAACACACAACAAGTATATTAGATTTCTGGATTTGAAAGAGGGTGACATTGTTAATGTAAAATCGGTATGGGATTATCTTCCTACCTGACTTTCCGGTGATGTCCATTGCTTTCAAGTTGCGCCCTTTAATGACCGTCAATGTAAGCCTTCCGGCTGTTGGTAAATAGCACAAGGAGAGCATCAATTCCCCCAAATCCACTTTATCCTATAAAAGTGCAATAAAAACATTAATATCTTTGTTAATTTTACTACCCTTAGCGTGGCATAATTACAAGAACACATTGATTTTGTCCCGTTATATTTCCCCAAAATATGTGCGCAAACGTAATATCAACGAGAGTCGAGAGTTTATCAACATATTTATTTCGGGAAGCAAAGCACGGTGCGTAAAACCAGACGACCTATTTTAAGCCGGCATTTGGGTCAAGGGTAGCGCGATGCGGTACGCGCCCCGGAGCTGGAGGACACGGCATAGAAACGCCAGACGTTTCCTTGAACGTGGGATGAAAACTGAATGCAAGACATTCTTTCCACAACGCCGAGAAAATTAAACACCACAATCATACGAAAATAGGGGTGCAATTTCCGCACCCTAGGGAACCTTTAAAAGTCGCAGCGCTAGTTGATTGAAAAGAGTAAATACCACTCACCTGCGGTGGACAGAGAACGTTCATTGTGTATTCGATCTCTTGCTGAAGGTCCGTTGAGTCGATGAGGCCTCTCAGGACGACGTGGCCAATTAGATCGTGCCGCGAGAACCTGTCAAAGTCGTAGACGGAAAACTGCAGATAGCGGAAGCGTAGATCTTCCTCGCTCACGCTGCAAATTGATGACACAAGGTTGCAGAAAAAGAAAAAAAACTCACACATACGCAGGTGATTGATATAAACGCACCTGAATATAAACGTTTCGTTGAAGTTCGGGTTGAGATTCTTCCTGTGCACTTTGGTCTGGAACTTCTTTTTCCGATCGGGCAAAAGGTAGACTTTGATATAGGGATCGCTACTGCCGGTGACGTCCTTGATAGGAAGGTCTCGAGCGGTGAAGATCTGTCGCACAATGAATTATGGATTGACTTTTGAGGCAAAATTTAAAAAGTTTCGGAATAATGTTTACTATATGCAACCCAAATGCATTTATTATGTATTAAGAGTTGCCAGCGCAATTTTATATAAATTTCGTGGAAAAACTAAATACTTTTAGTAATATTTTTGTTCCAAGAAATATAAATATTAGATTTTTTTTCTGGGAAATAAAAATCTGCTTAAATTGGCAATAAATTAAAGTAAACAGCGTATAAATGAAAACGCAGCAAACTCACCTTGACAACCAGTCCTTCGACCTCACGATCATAACGTAACGAGAAATGTAACATGCCGCTAACTTCCATATCCGGGCCGTTGGAGTCCGTTGACGGTTGGCGCACTAATTCCTTCTTGTACAACTCCGGCTGACAAAAATTAATTAAATTGTTACGTATCTACAGGTGCGTCAAAACGGAAAATTCCCATTTTGCAGTTATGATTTCAAAATGCGTTTTGGGTTGGAAAAAGATTGAAAACGCTTTTGTGACAAGGATCAATAGCCCCAGGGCATTGAATGCAAGTGCGCCGTGTATCTACTTACCTTGATCAATCCGATTAGACTCGACTCGCTTTTGTGCTCCAGGCTGCAAATGCTGAATTGTATCGGGGTCGGGACCACGTCCAGTCGATGCGACAATTGCCGTTGAAACGTTTGATGGCGCGTCGGGACGATTGGCAGCGTCGTCTGGCGCAGGACCTGTATAGAAATAACCAAAAGTCGTAAAACTCATCATATTCAATTAGAATTTGTGGTAATTAATCAAAGAGACGGTGATAATCGTATAATTGCTTCGGAATTTTTTGTTGTTCTTATAAAAACCATATAAATTGTTTTTTCGCATCATTTAATGGATTTTTCATTAGAGTATGAATATGTGAAAATGTGAAAGTGTTGCTTTTGTAGTCTGCTGGTCAAGTGTACGATTTGCGCTGAGGCCAAAATTAGTTTTCCAATAATAAATGCTCGCGCGCAATTTTTTTCGAAAAAAATAATAAAACGAAACGCACACGCTATGTGGCCAGCAGGACAAGCACATGAAACTTGGCACGCCACATCTGCCCATCCTCATACATCATTTCACATAATACGCGTACTTTGAAAAGCGTTCGACTGTAAATTGTTTTTTGTTCCCATTTCCACTGCTCTCGAATAACCATCAGTATGCCCACGGCGTTATGCATTTGTAATCTATATTTGCACCTCTATACATTCTACTAATTCTTGGAAAATCGAATCAATATATTAAATATTAAATATTTCAAATAAAAACACAACTGTAATTGAATTCATACGATTGTTTCAATGCACGATTGATTGAAAATCCCACAACGCATTTTGGTTTGTTTGTTTACTATTTCCATAGCAACCGCCATATTGTGATTGATGCGAGTGTGTTACCTTTTTGTTATCCTTGTGCTCCTGCACGTATTCCTCTTGCAGCTGCTCGGATTGCATGTCGGGCAGCGAGTGGCTGATGCGAATGGCGGCGTGCATTGTTGAGGAGGGATCCCCATCGCCATTATAGTCCCGGCACGTTCTATCCTTGATCCATCGCCATGTTGCGGCGCATTGGTACGTCATGGTGGCGAACAGCACCATTGCCATCACTAACACGATGGCGACCACAATCAGGTTCACCAGCAGTGTCGAATTCCAATCGACTACATCCGAACACACAAACGACAAAACACCATTGAACTTTCCTTTACTTGTCAACATTGTATGAATGAATAAAGGAGGGTGAGTGCGCATAAATACAGTGCCAACATAAAACACGTTGCTCAAAGACTAATGAATAATAAATAGTTTGTTGCAGTTGCCGTTGCAAGTTCCATGCATCGCGTATATAATTCCGAACGCAATTATTCGAGCCCGTGCGACATAATACAGTTTGTTGAAACGTGACATGCGATGACAAAATCCCGTGATAGAAAAGATTCAAAATCAATTTGTTGTATGTACATAGGAAATATATAATATCAATTCGGAATTGATGTATTGCGATATGTTTATACACCACTTTCTTCTGAGTTCTATTCCAGGCGTGATTGTGGTTTGGAGTGGGCTGTAGGGTGCGTGGGTGGCGCGCGACTCGAGATTGATTCACGTGTTATGAAATGTGTGTGCGAGTGCCGTCTCTGCACGTGCACGCAGGGTGTCAACATCGAAAAAATGTGTACGGTAGCTGAACGCGTGCGTAGATATATACAGATGCTCGCAAGCAACACGTTTTGTTTTGTGTTCAACGTGATTATTTAATTCACGTGGTGTTAATGTCGTCAGTAATATTTTATTTTTCTTGTGCAAATTGGATTATCTTCGAAGAGAATTTTAATTTAAATTTTAAATCCGTCAGTGTGAGGCTTTATTTTTCCGGAAATTGTGTTTTAAGCAAAAAAAGTAATCGATAAAAAGAAGAGAAAGTGATGCTTTTTTTATTTGTTGTAAAATATAAAGAAAATTATATTTTGTGATGAATAAATTTGTCATGTGCATATTTTGCACATTTTATAAATATTAAATGCAAATATGTGTATAATATTTATAAAACACATAAAATTTAATGTATAAAAAGCAACACATGCGGACCGTGCAAAGCTCACCATTTAAATAACAAATCTCCAAATCCTTGCTATTAATGTCCTGCGATAGCGCCACCAATAATTAGCAAATGCAAATAGCAACACTGAAAACATATGTAATTTTGCGCACATTCAATTTTAATATTAAAAAAGTTTTCAAATTCATGTGAACCATTTTTTTAAAGTAGGTACATAAGTGTTTGAACTTGAGTTAATTTGTTTTGCAAGTTAATAAAACAAAGAATCCTTTGTCCCACTTAGCGGTCCCAGGCACAAACGACGTCAAATTGTGCCGCGAGAGTTGGAGGACCTCGCGCGCGCGGAAAACGCACAAAATCAATGCGTCTGACCTTGGACAGAGGATTGCGAGAAAATCCAACTGTTGCTTAGACTCATTTCCAAGCAACAGGTTTAGAGTGTGTACTCACAAACAATCACGACACAAAAATTAATTAATTATCGCCAGAAAACTATTAATTATTGTCAAAAACTGAACATGCATCCAAAAAGAGATCAAAAAGATCAATCTATGAGAGGGGAACTCTAATAATGTGTTTTGTGGTACAAATAATACAAATCATTGTATATTTGTGCGTTGAAATGAGCTACTCTGCATGAATGCACAATGAATCATAATGGAAACTTGTTTTCTCATTTCAGCTGCGATGCATTCACAACATTGAACAAAACGGAAATGCACGTTGTGGTACTAATTTGTTTTTATAAATTAAAACAAAAAAGTACCACACAAGATTAAAGAAATGTCCGAGCCAAATTAATTAGTTGAAAGTTTCAGCCGTCGACCCTTCAAATTCGCAAAAGTTAGATGCTTTAATTATAAGTTTTGAACGCGTAAGAAACTTTCACAAGCTTTAATCATATAGTGGTAAAATATATCGCTTACAAAAAATAATAATAATAACAAGCTTAACTTTAGTTTGAATTAAATTGTTAAACTTTTTTTTTGTTTGTAAACAAAGTTTTGTTTTGTAAATAAAATAATTTTTAAATTTTTAAACGTTTAATTAAAAAATAGTGAATTTTTTGCTTACCTGTTGATAGTTTGTCAACAAGTCCGGCGGCGTTAGTAGCGTTCGCACTAGGAAATGCTCCCTTCAAGCGGCTGACAATACCCATGATCGTCGCGACATGAATGTGAGCGGCGACTGTGGCGGCGGCGAGCGTTTCGGGCGGCCTGAACTTGGCGGCGCGGTCGCGGCTCTCGCGTACGCACCCCCGTGACGTCAGCGCCGACCTAGAACCTGATTGGGCAAGAGCAATGTCAGGTCTAGGTTAAGGATAGTCCACGCAAGGTAGATCCCGGATTCGCATTGCCTGCGTGGCGGCGGCGGCGGCGGCAGCCAGCGAATCAATCGCGCGCATATACATCCACACGCCGGGTGCATCCAGGAAGGACCTTGAAAAATAAACATATTAAAATATTCAATGTTTATTTATTGAATAAACAATATGTTTAACTATACTTCAGTATAATTAATATTGCCCATGGGGGTTGGCTAGACGGCTAATTGTAAATCAATCTCAGCGCGGGACAAACACATTAATCAAATAGCAGGACATCAAGGGTATTGAATGACAGTCGGTGGAAATTATACGCAAACACCACGTGAAGGCACCTGTTAAGATCAAAGCGCTTTGATAGTAATTGAATTCTAAAGATATCTGCGTAGTTGAATTAAATCGAAGAATTGTTTAAAAATTTAGATGTTTTTCAGTGGAGTGCAGTCAAGGCCGGTGGAACTTTTGACTGCTCATTCATTATGGATGATAAATGAGCCATCATGTGACGTAGCATCAAGTATATGCAATTAGAGTGGGATGTGGGCAACGTTTTGGATTAACTTAATTACTAACTCATGCTTACGCATGGAATTACACCTGCTGAACACTGCTATATCATCATGGGTGATAATTATTTGATTATTAATTATATATTATTCCATTGTCACACAATATTAGCAGAAATTCTAACTTTTGCATTGTAAAACAATGCCGTACGAGGAAAATTGAGTTTCAAATTTTGGGTGTCAATATATTGTCAAATCAATATCAGTCAGATAAACTAGGTTATGTTTACTTCAGAAAATAGAAATATTTGAAAAATATTTATTATACTCTGAAAAATTCTTTACATTTTTATTAAATGACATCAATATTCTGTCTAAACATAAATATGGAAGCGAAATTTTTATCAGTTTTGTGTGGCCAGTAAAAATAATTGAATTTCCATGCTTTTAATTCAATGATTATCACTTTAGAAAAAGTACCTTAAGCGGAAATTGAGTTTTAAACTTTGATTGTCAATACAATGTCAATCTGGTATACTAGGTTATGTTTAGAATAGAAATAACACCGCAAAATTCATTTTAACCTTAAAATAAAATAATTTGCTTCTAACTTTATTGAATCACGTCAATATACTCTCTAAATATAAATTTTACAGCATAACATGAATCATTTTTCTTTTGCAGGTTAAATAATTAAATTTCCATGTTTTTAAATTAAAAATATCAAAAATAAAACACCGTGTATAATCTACATAAGTATTTTATTATAATACACTACAGATTCATATTACATATTACATATATGGAATTTACATAAGTTATCAGTTCATTAAGTAAATTACCCCTCATACAATCACACTCATACAAGAACGCATGCAGTACGTACGAATAAAAATCGTTAAACCCTAAAAGAAATTGGCGGCCATCTTGTACACACACATACCTAGCCCACCGCCAGGAAATTACGCGCGAATTCAGCTTAATTAAAACGCACCAGCCAAACAATCAACAGTCGGTGCTAAATAAACCCGCGAATCTATTTACAACGGCGCGCGCCCAAACATCCGATAACACAAGCACATTTCAATAATTCACCAAGTCAATAGTTAAACATTGCATTGTTGATGATGCTCTGACATAGAGTTTCATTTTCATTCATTTCATTTAGTTATTGACATTTTTATTTCCTAAGCACGTATCTAGCTACGATACTAAAACTAATTTTATATTTTTATCAACTATGTAAATGCAAATAGATTTAATAAATGAAGTGAAAATTGGATAAACATTGCACTAAAACATCAAACGAGTAAATTCACTTTTATACATTAGATTACTATAATATGTTTATTAGATTTTATAGATTTCGGAAGACGTCAGACTTCATTTTTCCGCTTGTAGATGCTGGTAAATAAACGAAGTTTTATAATGCACAGGATGTGCATTTTACCAAACCAACTTCATCGCAATTCATGCATTTCAACGCGACAAATTCGGCGGTGAAGTGATTCCTGTGAACGGATTTCTTGCTGCCATTGCACACCTGACAAGGAAGCAGATTGTATCCTCCGCACACTTTACACGTTGTACATGCATCCATTGTCTAAAAATAGAAATAATTACAAATTACCTTTACTAAAGCGTGTTTTTTAATAGAAATTACGCAGATGTATTTTTAGCTCTCATATTGAGAGTGGATAAAGAGCTTTAGGCACAATGTTGTTATTTTTACTTTATCCCCCACAGCTAAGCTTCAAAAGAGAAGTTTACAACTTTCAAGCTACTTAACAAGCTATTTACGTCTCGACTTAAATATTGTTGTAATTATTTTTTAATGAAATTTACAGCTTTGATGTTCAACCATGTTTATATTTAGTAACAAAACATAGAATACGAGTACAACAATATCCACCCGGTTACGTAATCGATATCGGTGGGGAATTGAGTTTATTGCGACCCAAAACTCACTCACTCACCTTGTAGGGCTTGAGTATCCTCCGGAGCTCGCCGGTCTCGTTCAATTTCTCCACGGTCTCGGCGTCCTGTAACAGTGAGACGTGGCTTAGCATTGCGGGTACATTTTCAAAACAAAACAAAATTAAATTAAACCCGCTACAGATTGTATCTACAAAACGTAAAAATAGCATTTTTTTTTCGATTATTTTTATTTGTGTTCAATTTGTTTTAGCGTCCATCACGGAATTATGGTCCTTTATAGAATCCAAATAGTCTGGCTGTTTTCGGTGGTATTGGAGGTCGCTGGCCTGGCGTCGGTAGACGACGCCCGCCCCCACCCTCTAGACCTCAGCGTGTGGTGCTTTTTTTAAGTTACGTGCCTGAGTTCGCTTTGCAAACTGCATAACATACATTACGAAGCGTGACAATGCATTAGCGCCGCCACTCGTGAATGTCAAATACAAGAAAAGACAAAATATCGAAAAAATGTAAGTTCATAACGTGATAACTTTTTTATGCAGCCGTCAAATTGAGCGACAACTGTCGAGATAATTTAACATCATTAGAGAAGTTTTTCTGATAACTCCTGTAAAAGTGGCACAAATTGCTTATATTTTAATATGTGAATATTCTCATTTGCAAAGATTCGATTAATTTTCTAATCCATTAAATTACTTTTACATTTTACAATCTTCGCATTTCAATAAGTTTCAATGCGCGGAATCTAATATGTTTTTGATAGCTTCTAGAATTTTTCGAATTGTTGGCGCGCTGATTGCATTCGCCGCCGTGTTGTGAAAACGCGACAGCGATGCCGTTACAAAAATAACAGATGCACAACACAAGCCACCAGCTGCTGGATGGTGCAATAGATTTTCTTCCTCGCTGCGCGATCGCGAGATGGTCAAGTAGGACGACCTGAATTGACCTTTTCACTCTATCTAAGTCCAATTTAATAAAAATTCTGTAATTTTTCTGCGTGTGCCTACGATAAGCTGGGCATTAATTTCAGTTTAAAGCTGGATCATAATTCAAGTTTTCGATTTTCGCAAGATTTTGCGTGCGAGTGCATTTTTGTCGCATGAGATTAGAATCGAGCCGAGGAAGAAAGAGCTCTATCGATCTTGCACGATGGCCTGGCACCTGTGGCTCACGCCGCCGACACAATGTTTATCTCAGGCGAGAATCAACACAGAATACAAGCTGAAAGCAAACTAAAACAAATTGGGAAATATACTAGACTTTAGGTTAGAAAATTGAATAAAATATTTGGATTATATTTTTTGCGGAAAAATTTTTTGGTAATTACTCCAAAACCAATCAACTTTTTCTAAAAATTCTTTCAATAAGAAATGAAGTATTAAATTTTGCATCGATTTATATAAAATAAACAACAATAAAAAATACTAACAAAAAGTTATTGACAATTTTATAATATTTTAATAATTTTTTCCAAACTTGATTTAAATCATTAATAACTTGTTTAAAAATTAATAAATTGACAGAATGTGGACACATTTAAATAAACATAACTATTTGATACTTGATTTGCAAAAATCATATTTCAATCACAAATAGTTTACGAATAATTTATAAATAACTAAAATTTGAATTTTCATTTACATATTCTATTTAAAAATGTGTTTCATGTTGCATTGTTTAATATTCTAATGATTTTGTATTGATGTAGGTATTTGCGTGTGCATTTAAATTGGAAATTTTTGCGTTTATTAAAATCCGATTATGTGCTTTTTATGTATACTTTTTTGTGTTTCTTCTTCAACTCGCACTCCTCAGAAGGACGCTGCGGAAAATGTTGTGTTGTCTGTGCTCATTGTTTTCGCAGCGCATTCGTTACGTCCGCCGAAAGCTAGGGCAAAATTAAATTGCGACCTTTCTTCGCCATTGCCATATTTTCCACGGGTTTTTATTCATTTTTCCTTCCTTACTTGCCTCAAACATCCAAGTATGTATTTTGTGAGTGTGTACCTGGCTTCCACTCTGATATATACGCCGGCTGCTTGTCGAGGACTGGGCGGCCGGGAGTGGAAAGCCGAGTCAAGGACGCGTTCAAGGATACGCAAGGATAACGACTCGCGGAACGGCGGCGACGGCGCGTAAAGTTACCGACGCCGCAAAATACACACACACACACATACATACCCATCAACAAACGTATAAATATTTCTTGTTCACGAGAAGTACTCGTAGATTGTTGAAGGAAGAGGATGTTTACGTTGCTTAAATTTCTTTGAAACTCGATTCAAAACAAGTGTTTTTGCTCTAATTTCTATCGATTCCGGCGTAAATATTCCACCTCAAGCGGAACCGAATAAACAACTACATTGCGGTTGTTGTCTCAAGACGTAATTGCGTAATTATTAATAATTTACTAGCAAATTGTCGTGCAATCAATGCGTTGACGTTGTTCATCGCATGTCGGTTACGTGTCGAACTAAGTGACCTCCTTATCGAGCGTTCCAGTGACCAACGCAACCGACTTGTTGTTAACTTCTTTTTTTCTTTTTGACCAAAAGCAGAACTGTTGATTTCCCCATATTTTAAACCAGCATCTCATACCCGACATCCGTAAACTTTATGGAAATGTTACTTAATCCACTTTTTTAGTTTTATGCAACAACCGAAACCGAGCTTGCTACAATAGTATTATATTTAAGCACTCCACAGAAAGTTCCCAAAAGCCTCATGGCACTGCGCAAAAGAAAACTCAATTTAACAATTATTTGAATTCACATTTAAATATTTTAGTGAGTAATATAAATTTAAATTATTCCACGAATATTTTAGTTCGCAAAATCGTTGTCAGTAAATGTTTAACTAGAATTGAATCAAATTGATGCTGGCAAGAAAAATCCAAGACCTGGATTCACGAGCAAACAAAGCTTTCTAATTAGGTATACGAGTATGTCTTCGTTGTCGTCAGCGTCGTCGGCCAGATATTTATTGACACTCCGCCTTTCTTATACATTTTTCATTGTGGATATCTTCATTGTCGCTTTTTGCAAAGCAGTTTTTTCAATTGGAATATATTTGGTGGAGGCGCCGGTTAAAAACTGATCAGTAAACGTTTTTGCGTATAAATCACGATGTTTTCTAAAAGATTCGAAAGGTGTGACGCAGAAAAGCGCATTAAACTAAGTGAGGCTGTAAACTTTTGTGCTGACTACCCTGCGGTGGAAAAAGTGCGCTCGGCTGTGAAGCATTTCAAGAAAAGGAAGTCTGTTACGACGCGGGCATCCGTCGAGACTGCCCGCACTTTCCACGAACCGGTCAAGGACATCTTAGTTACACACAGTAAAAAAAACAGGGTGATAGGAAAATACGAGTACTAGTTCAGGAATTCATAGAATCAGGTTGTAATGAAGTCACTTCAGCGGAGGAAAGAGGAATATAAATGGCTTGTTGGTTCCGAAACTGTTCGAGGAAACATTCACCCGGAGTGAGTGGCGAGATTCGTCGAATCTAACGAACCCAACTAAGCAAATCCAAACGATGTGCCGATGCGGTTTCCAGTACCTCCGTCGCTGTTGTTGACAAGCTTATTGCTTGCCGAAATGATTGAAGCGCGCGCGCAGAAATAAATTGCCAGCACGAGTTCGCTCGGAATGATCGGGGTGGTTGCGAAGCAAGTTTTCCAATCACCGCAAACAACGCCTGAAGTAATAAACCATTAACCGCGGGGCGGTTAGAAAAATATGAGCACTATTTTGAAAGTTATGAAACGTCCCGGCGGTGTGTTTACGAGCTTTATAGATTAATGACACACTTACACCAATGTGCTGCCCATCGACAAACACCTGTGGCACTAGGATATCGCCACATCGCATGCGGTCCCTGATCTCCGCCTGATAGTCGGCGCTCATGAAGACGTCGCGCTCCTCGAAGCGCACTAGTTGTGTGCGAAGGATCTGCTTGACTTTCATGCACGACTGGTAGGTCTCGCGCACGATGCCCATCGTCGTCGTGTAGACCACGACCTTGCCGGCGTCTTTCTCCTTGTACGTCTGAAAACAAATACAAACGGTGAATTTCTATAAATATTTACGCTTATTATGTTTATCTAATTGGTTATTAAAACATATATATAGGTGTGTGAAATTTCGCAACCTTGTGTGCAAAATTATTTATGTCTACGGCGGACAATCGCGCGTAATTGATTGTTCACAAAATGTGATACTTGTGCTCGTATTCGTATATACTAGTTGTGCAAAAAACACCGTTAAATTATGCTTCATTAAATATGAGTGTCCTTGATATTTGCCAACGTCTTGTCGCGCAAATTTTGTAAACAGATAAATTTACGATCGAGACAGACATTTACAAGTATTTTACGTTTACATTAATATGAAGGTTAGGGTTTTTTTATAGTTATAATGTGAATTAAGTGTGTAAAAATTACTTTTTCGGAAAAATCCATCAAAATTATTTTTAAAACATCAAAATTTCTTAACCGAGTTGATTTTATTGTTTGCTTTATTTACTTTTGCTAATTAATAGATGTAAATTTAAATCTAAACCTATAAACTTAAACTTAACCAATATTTCAACAAAACAAGTATGTAAAAGTATTTTTTTTCGTACAAATTTACCAAAAATATCCAAAATTACCTTAAAAATTGCAATAACAAAACAAAATTTATTACTTTAGTTGATTTTATTGTGTGTTTTATTAAAGTTTGCTAATTATAAGGTTAACTTAAAACTTAACCTGTAAACTTGAACATCTATTAATTGCAATTTCTTTTACTTTTTTACCTGATAGGAAGTTAGCGATTAAATTTAATAGATGTGAGGTGATGAGAAATAGCGGCACGGCGCCTGATCGCAAAAAATGCATTTACCTAAATTATCCTAATGGTGATTGGCGTCAAGCAGGGACTTAGTGATGAATCATTAATTAGAAAGTCTAGCTCTAGCAGTTTCTTTCATCTTCCGTTATGAACTCTAGTGCCATACTAGAATCACAACTACTCACTTAAAAATGCAATTTAAAACTAACTCTCGTTTCACTCATTTTTACAAAAAATAAAAAATATTGTATTTTTATGTGAAATTGTAAACTTTTGTTACATTTCTTACGAACAAATCTCATTTCTCATCCAGTGTACACGTGTTTTAATTATTTTTCTGGTGAGTGCAACGAACACTTTGAATAAGAGAATGAATACGATGCTACGGTGTGAGGAAAAAACTCATAAATATAAAACTTCTGGGCGCCAGAAAAGAAACGAATATGCGAACATAGTTATCCCGTGACAGTTGAGTACTTGAGAAGACTTTCACTTTCATTTTCGCACATATCATTACTGCGTATACTGTGCATTGTGTATGTATGACAATACCAATGAGTAAAAAATTACAAATTAGCGACATTGAACTATAAACATTTAAAACATTTAAAACATAAGCGTAATTAAAAATTAATTTTATAAACGTGATGTTCCTTTCAAACAATTACTAATTGTTGTAGATGAGAATTTAATTCGGTGGACTAAAACACGAAATTATTCTAAGTGTATAATTGCATAATTTGTGTTTGCAGGTGCAAATAATCTGGAAGTGAAACACGTTTGCGTTGCGCGAAAGGACAAACGTAATAATAAGATGCATTTAGGTGCATTGGAATTGGTGATGGTATATCGCGATGGGAAGATGGGACTGGTATGGGACTGGTACGCGAAGATGTGCGCTGATTGCGTAACTGTTGTTCTCACGAGTCGCAAAAGTTCAAGGTATTAATCACATTTGATTCTGCTATTTCAACGATAATCGATTTCTACTTATTTCTTACATTTCTGTAAGCAGAACAAATAATTATTCTAATAGAGACTCATTAACTTGACAAAAAATACATTTTACATCATTTACTTGGATTTGTTAAAATTAATTGACGTAAAACTATGAAATATATTCAAAGGTAAAGTTTTAATGCCCCAATTATATAAATTAGATGCATTTTCTTGTTAAAATATGAAATTTATGATAAATAATGACTTCATGAAATAATTTTCGTTGCAGAAAATTATAATGGAAACTATATTAAACTTAATGTATGTTGGGTTGCCTGGTTTTTTTGCTATGCTATTATTCCTATCACTTCTAAATTTTAAACCCCAAACGAAAAAGTTGTCTATAAACTTTATTAAGCATATAAAAATTGAATAGTTGTTTTATTAAGCAATAAACATTTACCAAATCGTTTTCAACACGCCCGAAACTAAAATAAATGTAAAACAAATTTCAGACGCGACAATTCTAAAGCAATATCATAAAACACATTGCACTGTTATACACCTTTATAGACCCGAAGGTGTGCGCAGAAATAATCTCCTCTGGCAGTTGAATGGTCGTCATAAAACGTAAACAATGCGTATATAACACGCATACACATCTAGATGCTTAATAATTCCGACTCAAACAAATAGCAAGCAATCTTTTAAAGTGCAAATAAAAATAGAACAACTGTATACTACTGCCATCTAGGTAATTAATTTTTAACCAAGGCAAATCGAAACAAAAAGTATACGACTCAATTCTGGATATAATTCTCAATTTGCGTTTAATTCGCATGTGTTTTATTATAATTTATGACTTAACGATCGCACCATCGAGCGTTTCCTTTTTTTCTTTCTATTCTCCACTCTTACCAATTTCGTTTGCTTCTTCGATCGTTGTTTCTCGCGCCAGCCGTTTCTTTTCGTGCATGGCTTGGTTCGGCGGCTTCTTGTGCTCGAGCATTGGCATTAGAACAGAACCGTTTTATTAGAGCGTCGATAAAAAGGCATGCATAATATAAATATTGTTCGACGTGTTGGTATCGCTTTCACTTTGTCTCGCGACTAATGCGCTAAGAATGCCAGTTGGTGTTTTTTCTCGACTACTGTGTGTGTGATTCTGCGTCATGATATTGCTAACTATTATTTTATTGAGGTGCAATTACATTGCATTCCCAGAACAGCAGGCGATTATAACATCTTGCTAAATAACGGTACTAGTTTATAATTCTTTTTTTCCAGAAAATCAGAAAATAGGTATTTTTGCAGAAATAAAATTCAAAAAATTGAATTTTTATGATTAAATGCAGTAAAATTGAAAATTCCGCCTTGTTATATTATTAACTAGTATTTTATTGAGGGATAATCATATACAATGGTGCAGTTTTACCATTTTTTTTTGCAAAAGTTTAGGCAAAAATCTATTTGTAAAATTTTCTCAAAAAAGTTCAATTTAAATGTTTAAATGCATTCAAATATAAAATTCTTGATCTTCATATTGTCAACAACTATTTTCTTGAAAGGTTATTATAATTAATAGTACTTTTTTACCATTTTTTTTGCAAAAACTTAGAAAAAAATGTATTTTTTGCAAAAAAACCTCAAAAAATCAAATTTTATCTTTTAATGCCCTAAAATATGACTTTTACAACAATTTTAACTAACCAATCAAAATGTAAATAGTAACAATGATGTATCAAAGCACCAGGTGGTTGCTACCAAGTCGTCGGTCGGTAATGATGCAATTAACGAACGCTTCAAGTGTTCAAGCACATGCCAGCAAGTGCACAACGTAATATTACGCGATTATAGACGACTATAATTTGCAACGCAAGTTTGCTCCGATACACTCGATTAAAAAAAGCGCAATTAATTTGTAAATGACGCTGAAAATTGCCGATCTTAACAGCACTCAATTTTTCTTCTCAATTCTTCCGCAACAAACGCGTGCGGCAAGTAAAGCAAAGTAAACTTTTCGCTTTTTATTTCAAAACACATTTATTCCTACACACTCATTAGCTTCAGCTCTGCACTAATTATTTCATACAACAATTATTATTTATTCGGTGCAGTGCAGTGTGGCGTTGATTTAATTTTCCTTCGTATTCACTTTTCCCTGCAAAATACCAGTAGTAAGGATTGTTTTAATGCTCGCTGGAGTTCATCATTGTTCAGACACATGATGATTGTGCGTTTCCGAGTAAAAATTTCTTCGTACGCGGTCATTGGCGCTGCAGTATAATTGAATTAGCACGCAGCATTGTCTAGCTTACATTCGCCATTCGCTTTTTGCTAAACACACACATACATCAACGAAGAATAGTATTTTATTTAGCATTTAGTGTTGACTGTAAGTCACACCTATTTGTAAGCACGTAAAACACTTGAAACTCTTGGGATATTTCCGGTGAATGGGATTTTTTTCTATTTAAACATGTGTAATCGCAATGGGAATGAGAATAAGAATGTGAAAATTTGTTTGTCTTAGCTACTTTCACATTTTTTGGAAATCTGTCATTTCAGTTGAATATTTTACTTTTTATGTGTAAATATGACTAATTTTGCAAATAATATCTTCATTTTTGCTGTTTTATATCTTGTATTGTATCTTTATGGCATTTGTAGCCGGGAAAAACTCGCAATAATTTCATTTCGAAACTGTAAATCTGCAACAAAGCAAAAACCATGTGCTATAGCGTGTCGCGAACAAAGTTGATTGCTTTTCATTAAAATTTATCCATTTTCCAAGGACATTCATTCACGCGGCACGCCGCAGCTGATGCTGGAACTTCTTCGAGGACATCGTGCGCGCGAACAAAAGGAACGCGCACGTCGAAATGGATTTTTATTACATTTTATGATCCGAGAAGCGTTGCGCAATGCCGTCGTCGTACGCCATGTTGTCACCGCTGTATATAATCGTAATTGAAAGAAAATAATTTATCTAAGGCACAAAAAAACTACGAAACTTTGGTGTGTCTAGCATAAAATTTATAGTTCCTACTCAAAAACATAAATAAAATCATTCAAGGCTGAGTTTTAACGTCCAATTATTATAAAAAAGGTGTAACACTCGGTTCCTTATAAGACTTGTGCCAAACCTAATTTTAAATATTTTAAAATGATCCATTAATCATCAAAACATTACATAAGTAAAATGTTCTTGTTATAGTTTAGTTATTAATGAATAACTTTAAAATAAATCAAGTTATTCAACAAGTTTTTGAAAAAAACTTATTTATTATTAAATTATTTATCGTATTCTCAAATTATTAAATAATTAATAACTATATTTTATCAAAAGTTATTCAACAAATTCTGCAAATATAGCAATTTTTTGTAAACATCAAAATTACTTGTCCATAACTTTTTAAATAATAATTCTATTAACAAAAGTATTCCTCCACTAGGTGTAGAATATTTTTAAGAATAGTTAATAATAAATATTTTTAATATATAAATAAATTTGACGCTTAGAAACGTGAAATATGAACCTGGAAATTGATTACACCTTTGGTAAGCCAGAGCGCAAAATATAAGCATTTACTTGGTAATACCGTGTAACACTGAGTAACATGGCAAAAATACCATGACGATTCCGCTAGATATACCGCTAGATTATAAACCGCCATATGGGATCGCGATCAACATTCTACATTCAGTCTCAAGCCCGTCCGGTTCTTGAATGTCGGGGCATCATGTCGCGTTACTTCGTTACAAGTACCTACACAGATCCACTAACAAAGCATAAACATCATTTCGTCTTCTCATAACAAAAAGAAACACACTCATTAAAATTTAACTACCATTCCTAACAATTGTCCAATCTTCCAGAATGTTATCCTTCTACTAAATCAATAAAGTTAAATCATTTAATGCGGTGAATTTTTTATTCTTCACCGAAATCCCAACTCACAGGTAACTGACAACTGAAAAGTTTGATTCATCTGCATTACATTTTTGATGCTTTGAATTTATTCACATTCAACATTTTTTTGATATCATGCGAATTACATCTATTGTTGAACGTTAGATTATAATAAACCGTATAAAACTTACCGTATTCGTTTTAACTGTAAGTTTAACTTCAATTTTTAAGTGCTTGAGAACAAATTAATACCAGACTTAAATTTAAACATTCATAAAATAGTTTTATGTAAGATGGTTGCTTGTTTGTTTGTTACTTTTTACTTTTAAAGAAGTAAATTAAATTGTTTGTAAATTTATGATTAGTTTGAGTAGGAAACTAAACCAAAACGAATCAGTTCTACGCTTTCTCATTGTTTATAATTAAGAATTATTTTTAGTTAGAGTGCATCCTCATCAAAATCATAATCTTTTGAGAGTTTAATGATGTGAAAGTTTAACTACTTAAACACTCAAGAAAACAGCAATAAATAAAATATAGTACCCAAATTCAAATCTAATACTAAATTTTAAACACTATTATATCATTTTGTAGATGTTAATCGTTTAACAATTAAACACAACACATAATTATGTTATTCAGTGGTCGTATACGTTTATATGTCGTTATATAATAAGCATATACCACTTCTATACCACTTTTTATTTTGGTTTTATAACCAAACTTGAACGGTTTTTGTGTTGTAACAAGGGTGACATACGTTAAATCACTTTAATTAATATATGCAACCTGATAATCATTCATACATTCCAAAAGAAAGTCTTCGTTTTGACTATCACCTGCCTTTCATTCGTAGTTAAATAAAACTAATATAAATATTATTAGACTTCGTTTTTCGCTAACGTGTAAATAAGATGGCGATTTGCTTCGACTGCGAGGTGACAGTCGCGCTCGCGCCGATTTCATTCGAGAGTTCCGCTCGTGCGTGAACATGACTTCCGCATGCGCTAATTCTCGAATCCTTTTACCATATATTTTCTATATGCGATTATTCCGGCGCGTAGATACACATTCAATCTACGTGCGGAATGCTCGTGTGCATTTGCACTGCTTCTTTCTATCCTCATAATAAATATTTTATAAATTAAAATGTGCGTTTCGCGCTGCTTGCATACTAATTGAATGTATTTTTTTATTCACAAGTATTAATATACTTCAAAACGTCAACTTTATGTAGGAAAATATGTAAAAACTAGTATTTTACACGAAAATAATAGCATTTCACCCTGAATAATAACAATAATTAAATTACAAGTAAATTCCATTATTGTGTTTTAGTTATTATAGTGCTTGTGCATTGTTTTCATATTAATCTCGCACCAACATGATAGCCACTTAAAAATTATATTAAACTCAAAATTCAATGATTATTCTCACGCGAGAACAATAACATTATCTACCATTATAACTCTATAAAATCATTTAACATCATTTGCCATTCACCAATCTGCAAATGCATTAATTAGCTGAGAATTAAATTTTCCTTTTTTCTTGTTTTGTTTTTATAATGTGTGTGTGTTTTGTTCGTCTGGTTGCGATGTCGAAAATGCTGAAAAACTGGCTTTGTCTGTGCTGTACACTTTGTGGAACATAATCGGACACTCAACGATGCGTGGCATTTTTCGGCGTTTCGGTCTTTCTTTGCGGCGGCTTTTGCTTAATTTTCATCTGGTTAATATGACCCGCTTTCTCTTTCTCGAGCCAACGCACCTGTTTGCCGGTACATTTTATGAATATTTTACATCAATAAGAGATGTGGTAAGCAGTAAGCGCACCATTTTGGACCGTTCGGTTTGTTCTAGACTCATATTTCATGAATCCTAAACAAATCGACAAATTGATTTAATGTTTGTGACGTCTCACGCTTAGCATGTGTTGTAATTTATTTGAGAGTAATTGCTATAATCGACCAGAACTGATACACAACACGAACAAATGTTAGTAAAGTGCCAGTTGGTATTTCAATTATAATTTTTTTGATTATAAAAGGATAATTGTACTTTTTGCGGTTTGTTTCATTTATTTATTAGCTATCATGACCAGAATCTTATGTAGATGACAAACTAAATTCACATGACAGATAATATTGAGATGTTTGAATTGATGACAATCAAAACAACTCGAGTTGAATATTTATTTGATTAGATTAAGTACAAAATGAACTTTAAATTATTAATACGTATTATCACATATTACAATAACTCAAATAATTGTTTTGTTATACTTTCAGTGTGAATCATAATTTATTTATCAAAAAATTTTTTTATTGCGACTTAAATTTTAAGATTATATTAATAATTACTGTAAGATTTTGTAATATATATATATATTATTTTTGTTTAACTTTTCAACATTGTGAAACGATTGCGTTGTTTGCGTTCAACTCATGTGATGTATTAGTTCATCAAACATTATACACACTCGTTAGCTTTCAAAAGAATTATTGTCTAGTCTTAGACTATTAATGTGAAGCAAGCAAAAGCCTCGAGAAACAATACAATGCGGAGTTATGCGATGTGTGCTCATACGAATCATCTAAAGATCGTGAATCATGATAAAACAATTATCCTGCATTAATATTATCTATGAAACAATATATTACAATTACAAAACATAACCAAACATAGTTATTATGTGTATTGGGTTGCATATATTGCATTGACACCAATGTATATACAATATATGCTAAATTGCTACTGTTGCTATGAAATTCAGGTGAAAAAGTAAAGTAAACAAAAAACATCAAGTTGACACGAATATCTAGCGAATACGATGATGAAGATGGAACGATGAGATGTTTCAGTGCGTAATTGTAATAATATGCTAAGTGTGTCGCTTTGCGTCTTTCCCACATTCCACATTTAGTGCAAATTGTAGGAAAAAATTGTAACAAACTTTACAGTTACATGCGTAACATAATACAAGTAGTTCTACAAATCGCTTTATCTTCATTCGACGATAATAAAAAAAACTATTAAACGTGTGATAGCGCTTAATACAACAGATGGCGTTAGATACTAAACAGTGAAATCAATTTTGTTTAAATAAATTATTAAGACACATGGCGAAAGAAAAAGTTAATGCATTTTGTTTAACGAGTTATAAAATGCTTTTTTGAGTAGCCAAACAACAATTAACCTAGATTCACACTGAAGAAGTCGATAATCAACATGGAAATCAATCAATAGATTACGATTTCTAGAAATTTTCAGTTTTCATTTTGGAAATTATAAAAATAACTCATTAATTTTAATGATTAAGTAAATTAAATATATATGTAACTGTATATGTCTCGACACTCGTCAAAATATACTGTTATGATGAGTTCTAACTGCATGTATCCGTTAAAAATCAAAATAAAAACATTTTCTTACCTTAGTTTGATCATTTATACTCAAAAAGGTGGCAATCCCAGCACGCACACGATTTTTCACACCACGAATTGTCCCTTTCGCGCTGCGAATGGTCGACGAGCCATCGCACTGCAACAAGTCTTTATAACCCGCGAAAGATTCATCCTCATGCTCGGTGGATTCTTTTTTCGGCTCGGGCGCTTTATCGTGTATCATCTCGTTGAGGTGGAAATTGATGAACTTATCCGACTCATATTTGAGCCTGTTATTAGGCACTTGCTGCCTACGGCGTTCCTCATACGTGCATTCCTCGACGATGACTTTGAGCGGTTGCACTAGAAACGCATCATCTGCTCCTTCAACATCTTCAACATCTTCTTCTTCCTCAGTGATAATGTGTTGTGTTACTTCGTTGTCTTGATGAGTTTCATCATCGGCCGGGTCGTGCCTTGATAATTTCACCGAACGTTCTCGAATATCTTGGAGCAAACCCTGCGGCAGAAAGGCACTGGCCTTGCATTCATCTAATTCTTGTAATTGTGGTTTGTCTTCCGAAGGTAGGTCACCGCTATTGAGCGAGTCACAACTTATATTGCTCTCGTTATCATCACTATCGGCATCAGCTCCACTGGAAGTCAAGCTGGAAGCCCTCTTATGTTGAGCCCCAATGACTGTAACCGACACCCCTGAAGCACAACCACTTGTAGAAATACTTTTATTCTTTTTGGTTGGTAAAGGTGGTGGAGGGTGCTATCCAAGTCACTACAAGTACCAGAATCGAGTGTGTCACTTGGAGATACCTGCCCACTGGACATAATTGCACCACAATTAAAAGGGCTGTAGTAAAAGTACGCTGGTGATGACGAATCGGCAATCCCGACGTTTTGGATCATCTCGTTTTCGGAGTGTAGATTAATCCGAATGCAAGGCGATGATGGTTCATCCAAAGCGAACGAACGTAGTGAAGCAGATATCCCGCACGTGGTCGGCAATGACCCAGCTTCTGGATTGATACGAATCTTAACCACGTGGCTGCCTGGCGAAGAGGCTGTACTCGCGATGGACGTTTCTTGATGTGCAAAGACGTCCGGCTGAGATGCGAGTACCGTTGTCGTGTCTGGAGGGGACCTCCGAGTCTTCGGCGGCAGCGGCGGTGGACCAAAAGCGACTACTTGCTCCATCGTGCTATCTCCAGCCTCATACACACCACATACACATACACACACTCAACACACGTTAATTACTTTATAATTTTCAGTTAAAATATTTTGTCTATCGACTTATGTACGAGTGATAATCCTCTGATTAGATGCGTATCACTCCATTGCACTTAAGTCGGACGGATGGCGGATGATGATAGTGGAATCAATGCATGATTGTGACTTTGAATTCACCGTAATGATAGGTAATGTCGGCGATATAATGACGACAATGTGTGCACTCGCAGAAAAAGACGATGGATATAACTGTACGTGCGTTCTAAAGACCGAGAGAGCGCGGACTGCGGACTGAGCAACTCACTGAACGCGATCGCGCCGACCGTCTTGCGATGGCGATCGCCTTCTGCTTCTTCTTCTTCTTCGACGGCGGGCTGGTCGCCGGTGTGTGCCACTTGCGCGAGCGTTACAGTCGCCGGTTAACACTTCCAGCCGGGGTACGGTAGGCGCAGCGCAAGGAGCCATTAGCCGAAGACACCGTGGCAGCTTTCTCAATGACACACGTCGACGTGCGTGTTGCGCACCTGAGACTTGGTGATAATTGAGAATTGGGAAGTAACATGTGGAAAACAACAAGTGTAAAGTGAAAAACCACTAAAATTGAGAAGAAATAACTACAATTTTGATATTTTGCGTACATAACCTATTTTTTCAACATGGCAGCCATTTTATAGAAATATGTTTCACGTTAGTTAGTGATAGTTGAGAATTAAGAGGAATGAGAATTAAGTAACCTGCAAAAAACACATGTCTAAAGTCAAAATTCCTTGAAATAAAGTAAAAATAACCTTAAATTATGCCCAAAATTGACATTTTCCATACATAACCTATTTCTACGCATCGGCCATTTTGAGAACTTGAATTTCTCATAGTTATACTAGTACCCACTAATGTGTTAGTAGTTACAAATGCGTGGAATGCAAAATACTGTTACACTTCACACGTGGAGCCGTGCAAACGTGCAAATACTTAACACGTGAGCCTCGCAGGCATGCACCTCGTCGAAAGTTGCCTCAACGAGTTTTATATTTATTACCTTGCGCGACCTTTCCGAAAGGACGCCGAGATTATTTCACTCGTACTCTCTGTGCTGCGCTTCTTACTGCTGAAACAAACTTGTCAAAATTTTAAATAAACAAATAATAAAGTGTTATTTCCCATATTTATGAGGTAGTAAAACAATATTGTTTTTAAGGACACACGATAAGTGCTCACCTAGATGTCACAGTCAGGGCTATTAAAAACAAATTAATGTTTGCAGCATTTCAGTGTGCTAGGTGTGCAAGGACGTCAATTGTTACTTTCTAGGTTAATTTCTTACTTCCGCACGTGCATACCTACTAGAAATAATAGTAGAGTGCATTTTAAGTAAAAATATGTTCAGTTAAAATATTTCAATAAGGAAAACAATTCAGTAATTGTAAATGCAATACAAAATTGTGATATTTTCAACACAATTTCTATTTTAAAGCAAAAAAACTATATTTTATTAAGATTTATGAATTAATAGTTTAAATATAAACTTATCTTATCAGTATTTTAGTCAATAATCAAAATAATCAATACTACAATTGATTTTATAGTGATTTTATAACTACTATACTATTTTGTATCAAAACCCGCAAAATATAAGAAATCAACACAATACTCAACTAATACATAAATCAGAATAATTTAACAGGTGCTCTTTTATTATAAACATGCAAATTTCTTTCTTTCAGTGACAGTACAAGTCACTTTCGTGGCTTTAGACGTCGTTTTACACGTCGGCGTATTTCTAAACCCAACTTCCCGTAATCGAATGGTGTAGTAGCAGCTATTATTCGCGAATTGTGCGAAACAGAATAAAAACGAACAAATTTTAATATGCGCAACGGCGAGATGCGGAGAAAGTCGCACTCGAATCGTTTTGGCGCGGCGCGTTTCTACCTTCCGAGAGTGGCAAATCAAGTGATTACAATTTCAATAAAACCAGCTTGTTACCGCAACCGATTATATATTTATCTGCAAACTCGTGTCCCGCACCTTCAAAATTTGATTGCTGATTGGTAAGTGGTGATAACAAGCTATACTTTTTGTAAACACTCAAAATAAGTTCATGTATATATCTATCAATCAAGATTTTTTTTTTGAGTAAAAATCATCAATTTCACTTAATTTCACACGTTGTGGTATTGCAGAATAGAAGCTTGTTGCGAATCTTTCTCCATCAAAATAATGAGATGCGGTGGAAAAACTATTAGCCACACGATCTCAAGTCGAGCAAACCAGTCACCATGAAGACCATGAAGCATCATCACGACTTGGCTAATTTCAAACCGCAGTGTTTTCACTAGCGATTTCTTACGCTTCTGATTCGATATTTGAAAGGATGATAAATTGATTACACGTGTTAATCGTTTAACAAGCTTTAACTCTCCTTCAATTCAATTTTGCATGCATTTGTCGATTCCAATAAATAATTCAAAACTGATGAAGTTTTTAACCAATTCTTAAAACAGCGTAAATTTTATTTTTAAATTTAAATATTGGCATTGTTTGGCAAATATGGATGGTGTACTCGTACGTGCAGAGATTGGCAAAACAATGTTCCGAACAATTAGTTAACGGAATCTACAACTTAAACGGATATCCGTTTCTCGTTCAAACCAAACAAGAATTTCTATAGTGTTTGCTTCAGGTAAATATGAAATTTCTCAACTAATCACAAGGGTATTATAGGTTTATATTAAATATTGATTTCCCAATATATAAATATAAACATAATTGACAAAATTGACGTTTTATCTTTGAGGTTAGTTTAAATTAATGTAAATTTCAGGTTAAAATATGTAACATACTTGTAAACATAATTAATTTACGTTTTTGTTTGTTATCTACCGTTATATCGATTAATTTGAACTTAATCTTTGACTAAATTAACGCTGTGTTACTTTACGTCCAGTCAAATCTCACAACACGTTCGTAAAATCGTCTATAAACGTTCATTCTTTGGTTTCTTTGGTTTCTCGATATTTCTTTGGCGATATGATGATGGCATCGTTGACTTGTTGATATTATGTAAAAACGAACGGAACAAATCGGTATCGAGAACTCGTTTTACTAGTAAATATGTGTCGACGCACTACCGTTATGATTAATTGGAACAAAACTATGAATTCTATGCATATTATGAATATTACTAACGCTGTGAAACGCACAGATTATATATTATCTAATGAACTGTGCGTGAACTCAAATAGAGGCAAAAAAATCTGGATTTTATGCATAAAAATCAAAATATGAAAATGTAACCTTAAAATTCTTAATAGTTTTAGTATAGTGGAAATCCCTTAGCAAATCTTATGTAAATTATGTTGATGTTGGAAAACGGCTGCAAGATTGGCGTTGAGGGATTTACGGTGCGCAAAGGCTCAGCAGTAAGTTCTTGTTGTGTACGTTTCGTACGAAACGAGTACTTACTATGTACGAGACGCCAGGATAATCTCGTCCTGAATGTATGGGTGAGTGAGTGAACCCTACCGCGTAGCGCGCCAATATTTCAGATTTTACAAGGTATATTAAACTGCGCATTCGGTTTTATTTACGAATATAACGCGCGCGCCATACTCAATCGATACTTTATGGTTAATCGCGCAAATCTGCTGGATCAGACAAATTGTGAGGAGCGGCTTATATGGGTGCATTCAACTTAATACTTCATAAAAATAATAAATTACAATGCGTACCTAAAATAAATTGTATATTATGCATCAAAAGTTTAAATTTGGACCCAAATTCAACGATTTTCACAGTTTTATGGAAGTAAAATGTTTAAAATTAATATTTTGGAACATTTTTCTTTAAAAAGTACAACTTTTAATGTTTTTAGCCCACTTTTACCAAAAATTAATTAAAAACCATAGCCTTTGACATCCAGAGGTAATAAACAAGTGGAATATAAGTCAATGGTACAAATTCCTCCATGTTCTGCATACCCAACATTGCTGGTGTGTTTGTTACCTTGTTCACCTTGCACTCAAGGTGATTCTTCGGCGGACAGCGAACACTATCCTCACATCTTGTATCTCCACTTGTGCGTGTTCATGTTATCTGCGTTTATGACATGTACCGTACGTCCTCAAATTATCACCGATACGAATGCATTGGGCACAACACATACATTTATAATTAAACATAAAGAACCACAGATTTAAACGCTGTCAATACAGAACCTTGACTTGAATTTATTTTTATAATTTAATTCAATGTTTAAATTTTGCCTGTGAGAAAAAAAACTTAATATAAATATAATAAACGACTCAATTGTGTAGTTAAACAATACATTTTATAGAATGGCAGGACAATGCTTTTGAAAATGTTTAATTTGGCGAAATAGTATCTAACGAAAGCGTGATTCAATTAATTACAGTTAATGGTTCTGTAATAAACCACACTATTAGCACGTTTCTAGTTGAGTTGAATATTTAAATTAGTTTCAATTATTTTTTCGGAATTTTACGTTATGCAAAATTTACTTCCTTATTAATTAAATTTTTATTGTTCTTATAAAATTACTGGATAGAAAGTTGACGCATTTGGTGCATTATTTTCGTCTAATACACTTGCGCGTGCGCATAAGCACCTTTTTTGTAAAAATAGTATTCAACACTTGGAATAATTTCCTCTTCAGACGCGCACTTCTGTTAATATTTTCATTTCTGTCATAACAAGGCGCACACGCCACATACGCTCGACACGAAATATTTCCGATCGCTTCTATGCTTCCATAGGTTGGTTGAGCACGTGAACGAGGTAATTTCCGGTGGCGAGGAAACGAATGCAACGAGCGCAACGACCACCACATACCAGCAGGTTATTAAACGAGTACAACGCGAACAAAACGCGCACGTTTCTTGTCCGATCGTCCAAGGTGTATATAATTTCATCGTGAACGTGGGTGGCATAAACGGTTTGTTATTATATCATATTTTATTGAATGCATTCCATTAAAACGTATCATTAAACAAACTACCAATGCGTTTTATTTTCGAAAAAATTAAAAAACGATTTTTATACGTTCCATAACTTATAATTTACGAACTATCGTAACACTTCAATAAAGTACACTTAGAACTTTAATTTATCGTCGAATGCGGTTGAAAAACTTTTCAAATAACACATATTCCTGAAGAATATAAATCAAAGCATTTTATGACACAAATAAATTGTAGAATCTTAATAATATTGCATAAACTGTTCAATTTCATTGATTGCAGGTTATATCATCATGACAATTAAAATCAAACAAGTTGTTGAAAGAAATTCTTCAGGAAGTCAAAGAAAAGAAACCGCACAGTATGCACAGTCATCACAATCTTGAAGCGATTAACAAAGTGCCGATGAAATCATTATTGAGTTTCTCTTCGTTGCAAAGCAAAAACGAAGAAAAAAAGCCAACGCTACAGATGGGTAGTGAACAATAAATTATAAATAAGTCTAGTTTTGGTGGATTCGGAGAAATCTCAAGAAGTGAACCAAAAATTAAGTTTAATTTAATCGCTGGTGGTCCAAAAGCAAAAGCAGAAAAAACAAGACGCAACACCAACACAAGAAGTGAAATGAGTTATGATTGGCATGACATTCACGTATTGTGTGCGTTTGTATGTGTGCTGTGCGGCGCGCACGTTTCGATTTCGATTAAATTTAGCAATGCTCGGCTTGCATCTGCTGGCCTGCACACGAATACTTTCTACCTGGGAGCGCGTGCATTGTGTGCAATTATTTACAATCGTAATTAATTGTGTGGTGAGACAATTAAATTAGGAGCGGTGGAGTTTATTATTATGCCTCAATAAAACAGATTCATTGTCATAAATTTAGTTTCACCTTTCAACCCACGTTAAACTATTAGTTCTAATGAGAAAATAGCTTAATAAATCTTAATTAATGCTATAGTTTATTCTCAAACACTCAATAATACTAAATTGTGTATATTTTTAATGTTTAATAAGCTTTTTATGTTTCCGGGCGATTTTTATAATGTTAATATCGATTTCACTTGCGTTTGTAATAAAATAAACAACACGCTAATAGATAACTCTTGCTTTTAATGTTTTATTCGTCGAATGCAACACTTATTTTATGTTTATCGACTAACAGGTAGATTTATTGCGATTGCGCACACGGAGATTCTCCGATTGTGTAACGTTGCGCGTCGCGAGTTTGCGTTTTTCATAAATTACTTAAGTCAGAAGACTTAAGTCTAAAAACCGTAATTAGAAACCGATTGTGCAATACACTCACAACTTTTGCACGCTCGCATATACCTACATAACTTTAAATTAGACATCACAACAAGTGTTAATAACAATACACTTAAAAGATACTTACTATAAAATGCAATTTATTGAAAATAATATTTATGAAAGTATACGAAGGTGTGTCATGTGCATAATTTTGCGGCAAACGAGTGTGAAAGATGATATATGATGTAATTTTATGCGCATCTTTAATGTTTTCTAATGGAATTTATGACTCAATCAATAATGGAAATTGCCTGCTTTCAAAACGAAATTATTCTTCATCAGTTTAGAATTAGTTGAGTGGAACTGTGCAGATTGTTAAACTTAGATTAGTAACATCTCGCTGCAGCTCGTTTCAAGATGATACGAAAAAGAATCAAGAATCAAGGTCGATTGCCATCTCACGATGCGCGATTACTACTTGTTTACTGTTGTTGAACATATTCGGCAGAAAACCAGAGACATTTCAGTTGTTTATATTTGTATAAAATTACAAACAAGCGGATTAATACTTGTGTTACTCATTGGAAGTATAATTAGAAATGATTATATATGTTTTTATATGAAAACACAAGTTTTTTTTTTAAATAATTATAAATACTCGTATATTAAATTTCAAAAGGTACTCACACACTGGGTACATTAACGCATCTATGCAACTCATGAAAACACGACAAACAAAAAAACGAACAAAACAACTCACTACAAACAGAAACCGCGTGCAGATAAGTTACTGTCCGATTTATGGTGAATAAATGCATCCTAGCGCCCTCTTGCAGCCATGATGTTCACTAGATTGTTTCCAAACACAAGGAACAGCACCATCTCCTATTAAATAATGAACTATGGTATATTTATTTTAACTTAAGATAAAAGAACAAAAATAAACAATGTTTGATTTCATTTTTTTACATTTATTTAAAGAATTAGTGGGAAAATAGAATATTATCCCAAAAATAACGAATGAAATCTAATTTTCATGAAATTAAACTTATTTGTATTTATATCATAGAACTTTATAAGATTTTAGTAATTTAAACATCATATACATATAATTTATATCTATATTTGCTGGTTTTAAAATGTAATCTTTCTCCTCTAAGTGTTTAAATACTTTGGTGAACAATTGAAATAAAGTTAAAAGCTGCATCCATTGTTTTACTCTTTTTACTCTTTTCGGTTGAGATACCAAACATCCATTGGTTCTGACTTTCCCTTCATTGTGACTGGTCCCCTGTAGGTGAACACAAACTGCTCATCGTAGTTTTCCTCTAGGTTCAAATACCTGAAAATCAAATAATCAAATGTTATTTAAATCAATAAAACCTTACAATTTCCTAAATCCTATTATAATTTTTACCCAGGAAGCACTTGTAAGTTATCTTTTCACTTGTTAACTGTTCAAAAACACCAACTGGTTGTTCAGTTGACGATTTGTTAGTTTAGACAAACCTTGTCAAACTATATTGTTGCGTGTAATTAAAAAAATGGATATATTAATGAAGTGTTTTTTTGAGAATTTTGAAAACGCCGAACGCAATTCCCTCCATGCAAAATACAGAAGACGAGCGATGGTGGCATACTTTAACACTTTAATTGAAGGATGCAGATTAGGTACTAATCAACAATATACCACAACAAAGAAATTAATTTGTTTTCCTAGGGCAAAATTCTGAAGAACAAAAAACAGTCCGCGAAGCAATAATTTCCATTCTTCGATATCATGAACAATCACGATCAAAAAACTCTGGAGTATGTATGATGGGTAAATACCACAATGTTCTCTACGTTGCCTTGAAAATATGCTACGACTGGCAATTACAAGACACAGAAACAGTCGCTGCTCTTTTGGATGAGATCTACGCCTGTGAACGCACTTTTGAACGATTATTCGTCGGCGCATTATTTGGAACTAACGCTCCGCACTTTATCGCCGGATGGAAGTCAGATTTTGATAATCAGGAAGAAAACCTGCGAGCTATGGTGTTCTTTTTAGATCACGCAACAAACGCTGCTTGCGAATATGACAATCAAGTGAGATTCATCGATGTATCAATTGAAAGTTGTGGAAAAATGTCCCCATTAAAAATAGCAGTCCAACTTGGACTCCCGGACAAAGTCCACATTCTATTAAGATTTGGAGCTTTGGTTGATTTAAATGACCATCAACATCAGGATACTATGATAGAAGGCATTTTGAAGAAATTGAATGAATTTGATCATTCATATCCGTATAATTTAGTAAGTTGTCTACAATTTTTACTTAGAGTTGTTCCAAGTATAAATTGCAACAACTTTAATAAACATAAACAAGAATCAACACCCTTTGAGGGAGTAATGCAACAGTTTCCTAACCTAGTTCAAGATTGTATTCTACCAATGAATAGATGTGGACTACAACCGCCTGAATTAAAACATTTGGCAAGATGTGCAGTGAGAAGTCAATTATGGTTAAATTGTCAATTACCAAACGGAATAAGGACACTTCCTATACCCGAAACTTTACAGAAGTATATAGATATATTAGAAGATTAATTAGAGGTTATACATACTTATAAGCTGATTCTGAAACGTTGATTCTTCCTGGTCCACCTGTGGTTTCAGTACGGCTTGTAAGATTTACAGTGTTGCCAAACAGACAGTAACGTGGCATGCGATGACCAATCACTCCAGTTACCACTTCCCCAGAATGTATACCAACTGTAATTTTCTAGAAGAAAAAATATTTTAACCACAAATGTTTATAAAAATTGGTTATTTTGATAATTACCACATTTTCTCCATCTAAAAAGACATCCCTGCTCATATCCATCATATCCAAAGCTAGTCTTGCCATATCCCGTGCATGGGTGGTACATGGTTCAGGCAGACCACTAACAGCCATGTACTTATCACCCACAGTTTCCACCTAAACAATAATTATATCAATTATTTAATACCTAATCACTTAAATATAAATACTTTTACCTTGTATATGTTCGGATTGCGTTTTGGATCTGTCAAAACATCAAAAGCAGTATACAACTGATTGAGCATCTGAACAATCTTCATCACTCCAACCGAATCGGTCCTGGTGGCGCAAATGGCCGAGAAACCAACGATTCCAGAGAATAATAAAGTGACACAGTCGTATCTCTTAGCAGGGACTGGTCTCTGATGGCGTAATTCATTAGCCACACTTATCGGCAACACTGAATACAGCAAACTGTCAGTTTTCTTCTTTTCATCATCAAGTTCCCGGTAAGTCTGTTGTAGTTTATCAGTAAGTATCTCGAGATTTCTGGTGAGTTTATAATCAGCTTCAAATTGTTCAGACATCAGGACCAGATCCCTTGTGGCATCATGTAAGGGGATGTCACTTATGTACAACCCACGTCTGGAATGATTAAGGTTAATATCAAGACTTTACGGTATAAGTAGGGGTGATATGTTACCGGGTTAAGTCATCAAGGTTGACTACACTTGGATAGCATAAAAAGATGACCAAATCTGTTTCCGGGACGTACATCATCTGCCCTTTAAGTCGCAGAGTGCGATATTCAGGTGGAGCGTTTACTTTCATCACTCCCGGGCGGGTTTTCAGGACGTAGATTGTGTTGATGTGAGAAAGGATGTTACCAAATGTGAGTTCCAGGTGTGGGCGCACCTGAAAAATTGAAATTGATTGCTTTCATAAAATCTACACCTGGAAGATAAAGTTTATTAACTTACAAAGTCTAAAATGTCGGTAACTTTGCATTGGTTTGAGTTTATAGCGGGTATGATGCGCGCAACAGTTGATCCACTCTGTACAATCTTCAAGTCGCGATCGAACATGATGTGGAATGGGAAAATTCGACAAAATGTCGCCGCGCTTACCTTAGGCTCTAAAAATAAATCAAATTTAAAATTTATGCAATTACTTAATATAAATATACCTAATGAAAGAGTTTCAATCTCATCAATTTCCGGTAATTGCTGTTTTCCCGGCCCGGAAGTTTCCGTAATCAAAAATTGGACATGATCACATTCTTCTTTGGTCTTTAAAATCTCCACTTCCACTTCAGTTCCGTGTAATTTACTCGCAACAGCCTGAAAAATAATTTTATCCTTTTTTCTGATTTAAAAATGTATTTATTTTTTACCTTGACGATGCCGATGACAATATATTCCAATGAAGGTCTGTCTGAATAATAATGCAGAATGAGTGCACCGTCTTCGGGACGTTCTGTACAACGGAATGAAGGAGCTTTCATTCCGGGATACAATGTTCCCAAGTGATCATGAAGTGCATCCAAATTCTAAATTGAAAAAATGTTTGTTTATCTTTGAAACTTTGGATAAATTATTATTTTACCTGTAAGAAATCTCTTGGGGTAGCACCCAAAACTTGTAGAATTTTGTCATAGCCAGAATCCTGACAGAATTCAAAGAAAGTTTTACCGAAAAGTTCCAAAATTGCTGTCGCTGGAATTTCTGTCAACAGATTGACGTAGGTATAAAGTTTAGTTCTCAAAGAAAATCTCAATATTCACTTACTCAAAACTTCAACTGCTGCTCCGATCAAGTTGTACGTCAATTCATCTTCGTAGATCTGACGCACAAGAAACTGTCCTTCCATTTGTAATTCCGCATTTTTTCTAATAAATGATTGATTGTTAGAAAAATCAATCTTATATATTTCAAAATTTTCTTAAACTTACTTTATAGTTTCCCATATTTCTTCTCCAAAACTTTTTATAACTAATAATTCCAAAGCGTGATTGACAAAACCATACTGAAAATGATTATAAGAATTTAAAATTTACTCGTTTTGGTCAAATTTGGAGAAAATTTTTGAATGTAAATACTTGCCATGATTTTCCGACGATGTTTTCAACTCTTTGCGGATCAAAAGGGTGCGTGCCGTCGTCACAAGATATTCTGGTACACTGAACCAGTTTGCGCTGCGAACGGGTAAGTCTTATACAAGCCAGATGGATCGATTTTCCACGGCGCAAGCGTTCGACATTTTCACTTAGTTACCCAAATTACACATAGATGGCGTTTAATTCTCCTGCTTGTGGAGCTTTGGGTTTTCCCACGAGGATAAAAATTTACTTAAGCCATTAATACCGTTAATTCGGTATTATATAAATGGTAAATTAAAGTTTTATGCACTATTGCATAATTTAAAGATTTTCAGTTAAATTCACGTGTATTTTATATACTTATCATTAAAAATATTACTAAATATATTTTTATCTTTATTTGTTTCACTAATCAATATTTTTATTGTATTTTGTAACAATATATGCGCACAACAACAACTTTTGGCGTTAAGTTTGAAAAGTGTGCTTGTTTCTAAAACTGCAGTGTCAGAGTTAGTGCATAATGATATTTCGCACATAATTTTATGCATTAAAAAAGTTTAAGCGTAAAATGTGAAGCAACTCGACTCAAAATGAATAAAGTTGAGCTCTAAAAACTAAAGTAGTTCATAAAACATCAAATAAAATATGCACTTATGCAAAATTAAGTTATTTAGGCACAGATTCTTACTTGTTATTGTTGTAATTATTTCGAAACAGATTTAAAATGTTTTCTTCCACTGGATGAGCGTCGAACGTTTTAGCCTCTGTGCCCCCAGTTAAAACTTTTCTTTTGGCACCGACAAAGTTTCATTGTCGTTGTCGCTGGTATCATTCGGCTGCTCATCCACCGAAAGTGTTTACCAAGTGTTCCTTTTAAGCCGAGGCGGCAGATTCAGCCATGCAAGCGAGCTTTTGTTATCTTAGTACCTTTCTGGTGGTAGGCGCCAGCTAGGTATCAGGATTGTTGTTTATTGTTCGTCTTCGAGCCGGAAATGCACTTTAATTGGCTCTCCGACAGTTTGACTAAGTGCACACTGCATATTGTATACGGAAGATTTTCACGGTGCGCCAGATAGCGGGGTTTATTGTTTCAAGGGGTTAATTTGATTGCGTAACGGGGAGGAAATAAATTAAACTCATTTGCGAATGTAAAACAATAAAAACAATAAAATTTTGAAAATTATACGTGTTATAACAGAAATAATTAATTATACAATGAAAGCGGATACGAAACATAACGTGCGTTGGCAGAATGGCGATGAATGCACGAAAGACAAATTGAAATTATTGTGGAAACAATTGTAAGGCTCTTCTAACGCTGTGTTACCGGAGCCTGTGAAGCCTGAAGCGAGCGGAAACCAGATTGAGCCTTTGAATTCACCCAACGTGACTGCCGAATGGCGAAGTGAACATTTGCACACGCTGGCGCTGTTCTTATTTATAAAGAACATAAAGGATAACGGATGATAACGACAGCGGGCGTGCGTATCGATTACTCGAGCGCATTGTTTTGTGATTTATTCCACTCACAGACTTTAATTCGGGAATTTACATACGTTTCATCAAGATGTATTCACTAGTTTTAGTTTTATTTTGTATATTTAGTTGCCTGTACTTTAACGCGTGTATACAAAGGCATGACATTTATCTTCATTCTTTCTGATTTCATATTTTACATTCACACACGTATGTTATATGAAGAATTCGTATTCGTATCGTGATTGGCTGAAAACTGGTTTAGTCGTGCGCACAAACACGTAATATTTGAGTTCACCTCTGAACTGCTCCAATGAATCAACAAAAACTAACCTAGAATAAAATAGAAACGCGAGATGAATGACATAATATTTTTTAAGCGCAAAGCAAACAATGCATTGTTATGTTAATGAAGTACATACTCATGTTAAAATTAGCATGCTTAATGCATGTTAACAAGTTTTTTTTTGATGATGATGATGATGAGATGAGTCGACGAGCGGGGGCTGAAATTCCAACTCGTTTTATATAAATGTAAAACGAAGACGACGACTTTTTGGTTGGTCTTTCGGGAGCGTAAAAACTTAATCAGCACCTCTTTAAACTTCCGTAATCATGTTCTTGCAAAGGAAGAGTAAACATTTTAGGTAGATTAAAAAAAAAACGACGAAATGTTGGTTTCATGTTTTAATTTGTAATGAAAAAAAAATTTGAAATTAAATATTAAGGAATAAATCATTGAAAAGTTAAATTTTTAATTAAAACTCTTAAAAAGTAAAAAGTTGTATTTTGTAGGTCAAATTACCATAAAAGTATTTTTATGTCATTTTTATGCATAAAACACTATTAAGAACCAATTATATTTATGTTCTTGATAATATCTTCTCTAGAGTGTTGTTAATAATGTAATAACATGCAATTTCTTAAGATTACACTTCCAATTCCCACTGGATTATTCATGATGGCGATATAACGACATAATTTTGATAAATTGAGTAAATTATTTTGAAAGCATTTTTTTTCGTGGTGATATGAAACAACAACATTTCTAAGAATTGTCTGAATGCATCAAATTGACTGTAATGCGCATTCGTAAGAAGCACAAAACACAAAAAAAAAATCACCGAATTGAATTGCAGACGACGTTGAGAGAAAAGCGTCGCATTGGCGTGCGTCCAATCGGCGTAATGTGCTAACCAATTTCGCAACTTTGCGGTCTGCACCACCGAGAAGAAACTAATTGCAAAGTGCACTGGCGCCCACAGGCCCCCGATTGTGTCATTCGGAGTGCTGTTTTCTTACTAGGTATATGCAATTTGCGTTTTGTTCGAAACCTGCTTAACATAACCTTTTTTCTGAGCTTTTCAAGGTCAAAGCTATTGACGTCAGTCGAATTTCTACACAATAATAGAATTCTATGGAGTTGTAAAATCTGCAGTTGCAATTTTTATCACTGACAGATTTATAGATTTGTAGATTTTGGGATTAGTTTCAATATAAGAATGATGCAATTTCATCTCTTGGCATGAAAAGTAAAGCGGGGAAAGTTTTCCGGCAAACCGAACGCGTTTCTCAGACGACAAAGATTTTGCTCTATTTGCATTCGCGTCGAACGGCAAAGAAAGCATGCAGGTTTACTCTGCAGCGCGCAAAAAACGACGAGAAGATATATCCTGAACGAAATCTATTCATATTTCTTATCCTTTCAAAGCGGCGCGGAGCGGAATGAGGAAAATGATGAGAGCGCGCCTCGGAAGAAATAAAACTTGTAAGTACGCGTTGCGTAGTCGCGTAGAAATTCATGAATTTTGTATAAAATATGCATTCCCAGGACAATACAAAAAAATATGTTTCTAGGAAACGATGGTAATGATAATAAACATAAATGTTTACATTTCTAAAGTAAATACACGTTAAATTACACTTAAAATAAACAATTCGATATAAAATAGCAATTAGTGATAATTGTCGTAGACGTTTGCAGAATAAAAACAGGAAAAATTCGAGAATAAAACACGCTCACTGGTATTGTCCATTTAATGTCAACAAACCGTCGAGCATACCAAGCAGCCAGTGGGAATTACTCGAGATCTGTCGCCGTGGTCTTCCCCGAGGATAATATCGTTAGTTCGGAGCGGCTAGTCGCAAAATAATTAACTGCGGTGAGTAATTAGAGCCTCTGCGCGACGTGCGTGTGTGTGTTTTCTATTCCCACAGCAGCCGCGCCATCATCGCGAAGGAGAAAACCTTTTTGCGCCTGAGAGCACGCAACCAACATCACCACCACCACCTAACCATGATCGGGAACCTATTAAGTCTTCTCGCCTTCATGGTGAACACTGTCGGCGTCTATTATTCCTTATTCTATTGTTACGTGTGTCACACACACACACACAAACACACGTGCAGACATGGAGATGTACGCTCGGGCACATGTTACACAAGGACAAAGGGATGCGAGTCGAACAAACCAATCTGCCAGTGGTAGAATGGTATAATTCAGCTTTGTAGCTTTAGATTCTCGCTGGCGGGCGGGTTGGAGACGATCCATAGCCTACTAATAGATGAGCAGATTGAGATACGCGCAAAGCCGGACCGGACGTGACGCAGCTTTTAGGTGGGTGGTAAATCCGGAAGAACGTAGATAATATTTGCACTTAAATTGGATACTTATGATGTGGTCTTAAGCTATATTTAGCTATAAAACCTTTAAAAATCAAATTGGAATACAAATTGTTTTAGAAAGTTTGAAAAAGTGCATTTATCAAAATCTAACCTTAGAAGAACATTAAATTCTGATAAAATTTAATTTATATAACTATAAGACATTCTTAAAATAAATTTTAACTCAATGGACTTAATAGCTATCAAAATGTTTAACAAGTCAATTTATGAAAACAATTTTAATCATTCAGTACTTAAATAAAAATTTAAAAAACTGGAATTTACCAAAATCTAGCACAAGAAAATTGAAAACTATTTTAAAACATGATTTATACAACTACATCACGTCTCTAAAATACATATTACCTTACTTAGTTATCAAAATATTTCCAAAACAATTTTTGACGTTGAGAAATAATATAAAATCAGTTCAATACTTTATAAAATTAAATATTTTAAGCACACTAAGCGAATTCATAATGATTAATTTCATTGCATGCACAATGTACACTTTTCGAAAGTAGTTGATTTGTTATCCAACGGCTGATTGCGTCTCGTTTTCTGAAGACCATTCGATGCGCTCGGCTAGATCCTCTCCCAATCCATCCATTACCCACTTTGGCCCCGATGCTTCGATGCTTCGTTACTTCGGCGCTTTTCGGCGCGATTCTTCTCTGCTTCATCACCAAAAAACTCATCTCTTTGCCCTACCCCACCATCGTACAAATTCATCCCATCCGTCGTGCACTTCCTGCGTCGGTAAGGAATGAATGAATGAATGAATAATCTTCTAATGCATAAAAGTACAAGCTCGCACAGATGTTTCGAGCTGTTTCCACAAAACGAAAAAAAAGGAACAGGAATCTCTAAGCACCAATAAAAAGAATCCAATGTGAAGATTCCGTCCGCAGAATTTTGTTGATGGGAATGTGCTGCGCGCACTGCGCATTATCACAATGAAAAAAACCTACGAAACGCGAAGAGCTGCGGAGGAATGTGAGAACTCCAAACGTGCGGACAAATACCAAGCAGTAATTCAATTAACGAAATCCACCGCCAGCGTGCGGCAATTGGCTTTAAACATGGTGTTTAGCAAAAAAAGCAACCCTGTTTGTGCCGCTTGTGTTTAATTAATTAGACTAGCACTAATGCGCTTGTTTTACGGCGCACATATATGTTTGTTTAGTTTCATCTTTAATAAATTAGACATTATCTGTACACAGACACCCACGCATATAATTTAATATTCAATTTTGTTGGCGGTTTTCAATTTTGTTCGTTTGGTTTTTATTTGACAAGTTAGGCGTAATTGCAACATTTGTGTAATGTGAGTGATGCAAGAGAAATTTAATTAAAAGCTGTAAGTTACACGCGTTGGGTTTGTTTTTCGTGAAAACAGTTTTAATCGTTTGCGGCACAGACCACAAGTTTGGTAACCAAAAGTTTAAATTTCAAAAAATGCTACTTACGAAAATCAAACGCAAAAAAACTTAAAATTGGTTTAAAATTTTGTTTATATTTATATAAAACATATATAAACTGAATTTCAAATCAATTGATTAAAAAGTAATCAAAATATTTTTACAAAATCAATTTATGAAAACGATTTAACCATTTAGTGCACAAAACACTATTTTTACAACAAAAAATTTAAAAAAATGCATTTTACAAATATGCAACGTTAAAAAATTTCAAAAAGTTCTTTTTAAACTTCTTTTTAAAACATTCTGAAAATAAATTTCAATTGATTGATTTAAAAATTATCAAAATATTTGAAATAAATCCAAATTTTTATGAATGCAGCATTGATTTTATTAAGATATAAAGGTACAAAAGTGTTTCCTTGTTTTAATAGGCTTTAAAAAAGAAGAACATGGAAATGCGTTTTGCACGCGAAGTGGTTTTATGTCCATCCCCTTTTAGAGGGTGCGCTGGCAAAACCTCGGGGATTGTTCCGCGCCAAGCGCTTCGAAATCGCTGATCCAAAAATTTATTGACGACCGACATTGATTCTAAATCACTATTACCACCATGCGATACAAAGATAAATAAGAGCTCCACTCACAATCACCTCTTCATTCGCGCCAGCGTGAGGTGATAGCACAATTGGCTATAAAATGTGTTGTTTTCCAATTATCGGCTTTCATAAATCGCGAAGAGATAATCCCTCGCATCGTAAACCACACCTACATAACCTCACTCACACATCTGAAACAATCAATTGGCAAACAGTAGTGATAGATCTGTTTGAATTAGCATATTTTGTGTGTTTGTCAGTGATAAAAGTTGTTTTGCACAATCGGCGTTTTAAAAAGTTTTGTACGCGCATTGACCACAATTCGCAGCTGGGAAAAAAGGAACAAATCGATACGCTCGCCTGGAGTAAACTTATCAAACCTCGGGATTGTCCTTCGAGTCCGCCGCTGTGGATGTGGGTCATGCAGCGAAAAGAGATCATTTTCTAGTAGATTTGCTTTCGTTTTCCAATGTCACATGTCGAATCGCAGTCGTGGACAACAGCGTGTTGCGCTGTGTTGCAGACTTTGAGAAATCACTACCTTCACAGAGAATAATCGCAGAGACTAGTGACCTTCGGGAATGGGATAAATCAACGTTTCTATTCTTTACATGCGGAGATGTTGAAAGGAATATAAATGATGATGTCAACAAATAATATCAGTGCATCAACTGACAATAAAAACATTTTATACTGGCGTGCGGCATTTTGGTTAACTTTTATTCCCAATTTCACACCGTTTAAGTTATGTTTTTGCATCAAAAAGTAGCTTATATTTTATTTTCATGTCAAAACTATAACATTGTATAGTTTTATGAAAATTGGTTGAATAGTATTTGCGTGAAGGAGGAACACACATACAAATACATTTATATTCGTGTTTGTAGTATTAAGTAACATGGTAATTTTAAAAATTAAAAAAAAACTCAAAAAGCGTAAAAATTAATGCGTCGCAACGAATTATTTCTTTTCTCATTAAAAAACCCTTGTTTTGCAGAGTTGAACTCGAAACAAGGGTGCGTTTAGACACCGGAAGACACAAAGAATTATGTAAGTCAAGTACACAAAGTAAATAATAAATAATTTTCTTAAAAGCTTGTTAGCAATGTAAATTACATAAATTTTTAACGAAGAATAAAAATTCACACAGAAACAAATTGTAAACTTTTGTTATTATTTGCATATTATTTCACAAGGGAATAATAATAACCCTCATACATTTCTATTCTATATGGAATATTTATTTTATTAACTATAAAAATAAAAATAATAAATAAACGTAAATATTTTAAACGTTTGCATCCCTTGGCGGCGGCAATGTATACCTCGCCATAGCGCAAGTCGCGTTTGGCGGCTGCGGCGGTGGCGGCGGATCGCGTGCGTCGCGTTTGTCAGTCCAACGGCCGTCGGGACGCTGGCACGTCGCGCGCGCGCGTGTTTTTCCCTCGCCGCGTCCACCGAACACGCATATTTGTATTTACAAAATAAACATTGTTATCCCATCAATTAATAACATTAACCTCCACTAATTACCCCACTTATTATCAGTCAAAAGAATATAAAAGCATTGGAAAAGTGTCAAAGTGACAATAGTATGAGTTAGAGATGTCGTGCCCGTTTCGTCGTTCGTCCTCACATGTCATCGGCGCGGCTGGAAGCGGCGGCGGCGGTGGTCCGCCGGCAGCGCAGCTTAAACGCACCCTTACGCATCGTCAAAGCTCCGTACACATTGCCGGCCCGGACGACATCGACAGCGAGGATCGCAACACGCTCAATCTTAAGAATCTCAGCACTGCAATTTTACTCCTCACATCACCACCTGTAAGTCAACAAAAAAAATAAATAAACAAAAGTATTTTATATATAGAGATATAATCTTCACATGCGCTGGAAGTTGTTTCAAGTCTAAAGCTTTGACGCACACATTTGAATGTTAAATCTTTCACGCGGCGTAATATTAAAATTAGGATCTCGATTTGCAACCTAATGGGAAAAGTTGGGGCGGGTCTTTAGCTTCCGCGTAACCAATGCTCGGGATCATCTCGTACTTCCGACTTTCCACTCGAGATTTGATATTTGCGACGCGCCTCACAGCCTCTATACATTTATAATGTCTTTATGATGCTTGAAGTTAATACGAAATTGATTAAAGATCAAGCTGTCACAAAGTCTTGCCAAATTGTGCGAATAATTTGCGTTATTTACCAGTTTTTATAAGAAAATAAATACTATACAAAGCAAATTGTAGAAATTCGATTTTAAAATGTTACCTACGGGTCTGTCACGATTGTGTATGGTTTCACGTTGATCGACATTGATTTACGCGTGGTAGCGGATGCAAACAAACAATGACATGCTATGCATGTGAGTATTAATTCTCGGTATTAGGGTCAAAACAGCATAATTGGATATCGGTCAGGCGTGTGCAGCAACAAACAATAACGTTTATAACATTTATTTTTATATTTTTATAAAACAATTCCATTTTAATGTCTATATCACATTAATATTGACAAACAACATAACTTATTCATATATAATGTATTTTTGGTTGCTTACGACTCGAATATCTGTCATATTTTGTTTGGAATGTCTGGAAATTAGATGTTGAATGTAGAAATATATATGAATGTTTTACGCGTAATATTAACAACCAATTACTTCTGGAGAGATATTAAGACGTTAAAAATTACATGTTATAAGTAAGTAGACGTGTGCAACAACAAAAAATATCGCATTTATTTCTATATTTCAATAAATCAAATTCAAATTTAATATATCTCCGCAATATATGCAACCAACATAACCAATTCATTTTTAATGTATTTTTGGTTGCCTACAACTCGAATATCCATCATATATTATTAGGAATGTGTGGAAATTAGAAGTAGAATATAGAAACGTGTCTGAATGTCTATCGCGTGATAGTTATAACAAATTACCCTCGGAGCAATATAAAGACGTTGAAAATTACATTTTTCGCCGCAGCACGTACACCTTTCCTCGCCTCCACAATTTCTCAACGCATCGCTCCACGTCGAACTTCCGTTCGATTCACGATTCACTCAAAATGTGCGCCCGCGTTTTTCCCGCATCGCAATGCGAGTGGTTACACTGCTTCACTGCATGTGAAGTATGTAGGGCGCTCAAATACTCCCCACACACACACATATATCTATACGTCATCTGTGGCACAAAGAAGCTGTAGAGTTGAGATGAGCTGCAAAAAAGTTTCCGTCTGCGGTCTTGTTTGGGGTGCAAATAGCTTCGCTCAACTAGACTCAAAAAAGAGGAAGAATAAAAAAAAAGCGTCTTCCGGAGGGTGAAGAATTTTAATAGCTCCAGCGTTGCACGCCATTATATGCGTCATTGTGTGGTGTATTTTGAAAATACTAACCATCAAGAATTTTCCACGTTCCCATGACGTATTACTCCGAGATATGTGAGATCTATGTTGTGAGGAGCACTTCTGGAAACAGATCACTTTCATGCCGTGCACGTTTACCTTTTATCCACGACTGTCAACGAGCTTTTAAATTATTAAACGTTACGTTTTATTTTTAGCCCGCCGCTCTTTTTCTCTCAGCGCTACATCAATAAATTATATAATAAAAAATGTATGTCTTAAATGCGCAAATTTTCACTTTGGGTACAAAACTTAATGGCGGCATTATGTAAACGTTTATTCAGTTATTCAGTTTCCGTGGTCGTGAATAGGTCGTGATGCTAATTAAGGGCGGTTGGAAGTCGTTCAAACAAAATGATGTCACTCGGCAATCATTTTAATTGTTGACCCAGTGGTGCTAATAGCGGAAACCAGTTGGTGCGACAAATTGCAGGCAAGCGCACGGCGCGACGTGATCATTTTTCATTCACTAAACTCGTGTTTTTTAAGTTTTTCGGGCGGGAAAAAATTAATCACAAAGAAAAATCTTCTCGGGAGCACGAAAAAACAGTGATTAGCTGTCATTATAATCTCTCCAACTCATCATTCAATAATTGATTTTTTACAACGCATTTTAGATTAATAAAAAGCAAAAAACATGATTAATGCAATTTTATTAAGTTTATCAAAGAATCATTATTGGAATAATAAAAAATAGTCTGATGTTCCATTAACTAATTTGAAGAAAAAAGTATTTTTACGTTGTTTTAGAAAAAATATTGAAAAATATATCCAGAACTCAGAATTCATGTCTGTATTATCACGTTGAAGCATTGTATGCAGGGGTGGTTTGCCGCTGGATCCGGTGGTTGTGGTTTGCTGATGGCAGGCACACCAGACGCCTGCCGTTTTTGACGATAAGCGAATGAGCCCTGCGCATGATGCACACAGACGAACCGCCGACGAGGCCTCAAAATTTAATCACGCAAAAATTCGTCCACGCGTCAATTTGTCGCAACGTGCGAATTATTTCGTCATTACTTCGTCAGAAAATGCATAGGCAACCAACTTTACACAAAAATAACCTTGCAGTGAATTATTCTAAACCATTACACATTGTCCTGATACCGATTGCAGTATATCTTTCTTACTACACTATACTATGCTCTATATCCTAGTTGGAGTCTGTAAATTTACCTACCTACGCTTTTCAAGCACTGAATTTCCAGTGGTAGTAGATAGTAGAGCTAGATAAATGTTAGTTGTTTTGCGAACGTTCAAACTGGCACGATGTGTTAAATTACACAGAAAATACCATTATTTCTAAACAAAGCGTATTCTAACCTCAATGTGACGTTTAAATTGTGTTCTAGTTTATTTTTAGAAAAATAATTAATTGTAATATTTAACTGTAGTGCCAGTTTAGTATTATTTAATACTCTTGAGACGCCTCCCCATTTTGGAGCATTCTAGTCTGAAACTCGAAATAATTTGCATTCCAAGTGCGCTTGCAACGTCATATTTGGTATGCCCGCAAACTGAAACACGAATTCTAGGTTAACGTAATTATATCCAGGTCACACTGGGAATTTAGTAATTAAATTATTATTAACAATTTAAATTTAAATCCATTTTTCACATGAAGACCTAAACATAATAAAAATAAAACACGGTAATAATTTACAGTACATTAAATTTTTATGAATAAGTTTTAATGTTGTGTGTAGTTTCTAAATAGTGTTTACAGGACGCGTTGGTTTTGAATAGCGCGCATGGTGAATGCGCCGGGCTAACGTGTATGAAAAGTTTTACGTACGTAGAGATGCGAACGCATACAGAAAAGTCGAATAATCATCCAATTTGCATACGAAATTCGCACGGTTTTCACAGCTTGTGTCCTGCGGGTGTTTTATTGAAATGCTCACCAGCAAATTTTCAACATGCGACAACTTCATAAATTATTAAATCGAAAAAAATTATGTTTAGTTATAAATTTTGAAACTCTAATCAAGAGGAAAATTTTAATTATTCCACGAATCGTTTGTATAACAACTTTGGTTTGCAGTTTTGTGCAACCTGTCGATTCCATCCGCTCCGCCCACGTAATTACTCCGTTGTTATTAGAGTTTACGCATTTACCGTCGCATGTCGTAACGCCCTGGGTTTACTATTATCATAAACAATGTTGAACCTCTAAGGAAACAAAGGAGACGGGCGAGCATTGCGTTCAAATGCTTCTATAACTCACATACAGTGTGTTATTACCTCTTTAAAGTAAAGTAATGAAAACCTATCTAGCGAATTTGAATTCTTTGCGTTTTGGTTTCAAATAAACGTTTTAATCGAGTATTATAGGCTGAATGAAACCCAAACTATTTGTAACAGATGATACGCAAGCGATTTAGGCAACTCAATTAAAATTTGCAATAAAACTAGTCGATTTGTTCGCTGGTGGTTTGAAACAACGTAATTGTGCAGAATTTAATTTGTGCGTTTGAAGAGCAAGCTCATATGCTCCAGTCTAATAATCGCGCACGCTCAATTTACCCATCGGATGGAATTTGCGAGCTTGCGTTATTAATTCAGTATAATGTCCCAATAATCAATACGGATTTCATTCAATAGACGAGTGCAATTATAAAACTGCTCAACATAACCTTAAAAACCTGAAAAATATTCAATGTAGACATGTTTTTATTACATAACCTTAAAATTTATGATCTTATCCTAATTAAACTAGCTATTCGCCCGTCAATTTTTCCATTATCATTGTTTTTTGCGCATTTCGCGTCTTTATTTGCCAGGCGTCGGCGCAAAACACATAAAGACTTTTTCAAACGCAGAAAATACTCCAGATATAAGATAAATCTCGGTATTTTTTGTATTTTTTACGCCATCACATTGAGGGTAAAGAAAAAAAGCGAACTGATTTAATTGAGAGCCGCAAGTTCTAATAATGTTTGAGTTTGTGGACGCAATGAAGATTAAGCTCAGATTCGAGTGTGGGATAACTTTCCCTAAGAAAGCGAGTACTGAAAAAAGTGTGAATGGAGAGTAATCTGATATGGCGTGCACGCTGGAAAATGTTGACAAATGTTGGAGAGCATTTGAGGAATCTTTTGCGATGCGCCGAGATTTGAGAGCTCAGTCGGACTTGAAGAAACAAATATAAAAAGTATGAAGCGCGCAAAGTTTGTCCGTTGGTGTCGTTGTCGTGTGGCATTACCTGACAAACACACCCACAAACACACACATACACATATTCATCCAGAAGAAGCGCGTCTTTGTCCTTTGTTGTGCGACTTTTATCCCTCGAGGTGATTTTCACTACGCGCGCAGTTTGTTTACTCTTGCGCTTTTTTGCAACCACATATTTAATACTACGACATGTTCTTCGATGCAATGCGTCGTCTTTTTATGATTTTTTTGTGCTTTT